ATAACAATCCAGAAGATGCTGTCAAAATGTTCAATGCCCTACAAGTCAAGACGAGAGCCGTGCCCATTCATTGGGGGACCTTTCAATTGACACGAGAACCAATCATGGAACCAAGAGAACGACTGGTGGCATGTCTCGAAAAGGAAGGAATTGATAAGAACAAGTTTGCGCCATGGCTGATTGGTGAAACTGTAGTGCTGGATCCATCCGTCTAATGAAAAGTAAGATGACTATTAGAAATATAGATAGATCGAATCAATCTGATGGCGATGAGAAAGCAAAGTCGAAATGTGAAAACTTCGTCTCTTTTTATGATAGACAATTATAACCATCGTTATCTATCACTGCTGTTCCACCCTCATCGGCTGGTGTCGATGCTAACGCTGCTTTCGCAGTTCGCCTTGCTGAAACATTTCTCTCAAAACTCGACTATCAAATCTCCGCGAGCACCAGGCTCTCCTTTGATGGGCATGCCTCTCTTTCGAACCACCAGATTTTTGCGAGCACTCGTGAACTTCTTGGCAATGGATTTCTTCCATACTTCGCCAGCTGTAGCGAAATGGTAAGGTAAGACAAGATGAGAAATGATACTGACCGAACTACTACTTACTCGGCAATAAAACGTTTAGAGCAATATCTCCTTCCTTCGTCAGTGATTTGGATCTTCGATAACTATAATACTAATCGTTTCCCTCCCGACGCAAGTACCTGTGCTTGGCTTCCTCCACCACAAATACTATGGTTGGGAATCCATTCTTGCCAGCAAAGGTAATCTTGGTACCGGCCTTCCATCCCTTTCGCAGTTGTATAGAATATAGTTTCTCCCCCAATGCAGGCCCAAAATTCAGCTTGAGCCTTTTGCAGGCACCAGTGGCCAACTCTTCCAGAGTGCAAGAGACCTTTCTGGTGTATTCCTTCTTGTCGTTGGGTGGTCGAGGATCTTCTTCTTGCTCAGGCGCCGAAACATTATCTCCTTCTTCCCCATAAGTGTCATAAATTTCCCTTTTCTTCTTATCTGACAAAACCTCGCACGCCTTGTTGATTTTCTGAAATTCTTCTCCCATTCCACCCTTGTCTGGATGATGCTGCAGCGCTAGTTTACGGTATGCCTTCTGGATTTCGTATTGAGAGGATGTCTTGGAAACTCCCAAAATATCATAATACGAGGCATCCCCGGCAGTATTCGATACCAATAGAGACAAGACTATGAGAATGGCAGCCTTGGAGAATGAGAAAGGACGAGCATGAGTTCTCTCCAACAAACTCAACAGATTCATGAGGAAATCGGGGAAGACAGGGCCGCGAGATCCTTTGTTCACAATAACATACAGTATATGAAGGTAACATTGTCACGATCGGGGGGGGGTCGTTACTTGGCCCCCTAAGCTAAATTTTCGATCAACCGCTATGATCCGATCACATACATACAGTACGAAACCAATACACATACAAATGAACAAAAAATATATCGATCGTCCAAATAATGGGGGTCGACAAATAATTTCAGTCCTGCTTTCAGTAGGTACCATGTACAATTCTACTGTGTTTGTACCAGCCCCCTTTTTGATGTCGTCTGCAATTCGTCCAACCAAACAAGCTGACAATATAAGCGAGAATTCTTCGATCGCTTCTATTTTTTGCTTCCACCACAATGGTGAGCCTTGTGGCCAAGGAATTCATCACCCACTTTATGAAAAGGGTTGCAAAGCTGGTGATATCTTTATTATGATCATATCGATCTTGTTCACATCAACTGATATGGACGAATTAGCCTCTTTGACCTTTGAAATGACCACTCATGACACGCCGACAAGATCTGATGTCCCGTTTTTGGAGCCCCCTGGACGCCATGTCAATAAATTGGTAGCCAACAATACGCCAATCCCCCCGATGATTCATAATGAATACAGAAGAATATGATCCATTGAAAGACTTTGATCAGCTGAAACACAGAGTGACCTGAAAAAATGAGTTGAGGGAAAACTAGTTGTGAAAAATTGAACTAAACATCCGGATGCAAGTCGAGCAGTGCACAATCTTCATACTGAACATGTGCCAGAAAGCTCAGAAACAATCAGCCGGACACAGCCATCCACTCGGAACAGCTCTGCTACCATTATTGACAATTTTACCGGCGTGAAGGTAAGTTGGTGGAATACTAGTTGTGAAAAATTGAACTAAACGTCCAGATGCAAGTCGAGCAGTGCACAATCTTCGTGCTGAAGATGTGCCAGAAAGCTCAGAAACAATCAGCCGGACACAGCCATCCACTCGGAACAGCTCTGCTGCGATTATTGACGATGTTACCGGCGTGAAGGTAAGGTGGTGGAATAACAGTTCTACATCAGTGAATGTCGCTGGAATCCTTCTCAGTCGCCGAGTCAGTGCCCTGACACGATGGCTTAAAATTCAAAGTAGTTCAAAATACCCCTAGTATCGACTTTCGGTGATGGTTTGGGGTGCAGGGGCGGTAGAGAGATTCTAGGCTACCATTTTTTTTCTCACATTCCAGTATCTCTATTTGACTTTCTGGAATTGCCTTGAATGGGATCGAATCTAGCAACAAGCGTAATTGCAAGCATACCCAGCTCTAATATAGTTATATAAAATACAATATCGCTTGCTGGAAAACAACATTTTTATCCAAGGAAGGTACTATGATACTAAACCTTGCCCTTTATCTTACTTTTCGTCGTGCATTTTTTCGATGTGTCTGTTTTGGCTAGAGTAGACATCCGAACTAACTCCCGCGATCTTCGAAATTGTATTTAAAAATTTGGACTATGATTGTTCTTTTATTTTAAGTACTGATTCTACGGGTCCTCCTCAAATCAGTCGATTCATTTTAACAGCTGTACTGTTGTATTGGAATGGTAGGTATGCGAAAAAGGTGAGCTATTGCAATTCGCTTTTGAATAGTTATATATTCTCTTACTTGTCTGAAATGGAAGGGAAAATTTTCCTGTCGACGATGGGAAGAGATGTTTTGGAAACCCTCAACAAATCTGCAAACGAAATTTGGCCACTTGTGATTTATCGAAAGAACCAAAATGACAGAAATTCCAGGTCACCTGACCCGTGTGAAGACTGGATAACCTTGTATCCTGGGTGTGTCGATACTGTACTGGTACAAGGAAGGCACAGGATGGTCAGGATGGTCTTTCTTTGGTCACACGGAGCACAAAAGGTTGGAATAGGTAAGCAAGCAACCCCCCCTCATTGTTCCGTTTCCTCAGGCTGCAGCTGCCGTATCATTACCCTTGTTCTCACTGCTGCCGTCGCTCGTGTTGGTGGATCGCTTCACTCGAAACTCAATAATCAAATCTCCCCGTTCGGGTCCTCCCTTGATGGGCATGCCTTGCTGTGGAACCACCATCTTTTGGCCATGCGATACCACCTTTTTGGTTTTATCATTCTTTTTGGTTTTATCATTCTTGTCGTTGTGCTTCTTCTTGGGAATGGATTTGGTCCACACTTCACCAGCTTCCGTAAGGCAAGGAGTGATAAGGTGAGCATTTTCAATCTATCGATCCAATTAGCCTTAGTCTTGCCAACAATGAAAGAAACTACTTACTCGGCAATGGAACCTTCAGTGTAATACCTCCCTTGGTCTGTGATTCGGATATTCGACAAGTATAGTGCAAATCGTTTCCCTCCCGACGCAAGTACTTGTGCTTGGCTTCCTCCACCACAAATGTCATGGTTGGGAATCCATTCTTGCCAGCAAACGTAATCTTGGTACCCGCCTTCCATCCCTTTTGCAGTTGAATAGAATATAATTTTTCTCCCAAGGCAGGCCCAAAGTTCAGCTTGAGTTTTTTACTAGCGCCAGTGGCCAACTCTTCAAGAGTGCAAGAGACCTTTTTGGTGTATTGCTTCTTCTTCCGGCTGTTGCTCGGTCGAGGACCCTGTTGGCCGAACGATGATTGTTGTTGCTGCTGAAACATGTTGGCAGCACCATCCCCCATCATTTGATTTAAAATATCCGACAAGTCAATATTGACACCACCGGCGCCATTGCTTCTACCATCACCAAACGAAAAACCTTGAGATGCACCAAAGCCACCCGGTACCCCTCCTGCCGAATTGAAAAAGGCTTGAAAGTCACTGCGTCGATCGCCTCCGCCACCAAAAGCAGCCCCAAATGGATTTGTTCCACCGGGGTTGCCACCATTGGCTGCTGCCGCAACTCCGTCTTCCCCGTAGGCATCATAAACTTCCTTTTGCTGCTCATCTGACAAAACCTCGTAGGCCCTGCTGATTTCCTTAAAGTCTTCTTCCTTCCCTCCCTTGTCTGGATGATTCTTCAGCGCAAGTTTGCGGTATGCCTTTTTGATTTCTTGTTGAGAGGACGTCTTGGACACTCCCAATACATCGTAATAGGAATAAGCACCTGATGCAGCATCTACCATCAGAGTGGAAGTATTCAATAATGATGACAGACACACGAATATGAAAATTGCAGCCTTGGAGAATGAGAAAAGACGAGGTCCATCAGTTTCCTCGAACAAAGTGAACATCTTCATATTGGAACCTGCCCTACAACATGAAGGTGCTAATGTGATGTAGTCTCAAAATATACCGGTACGCACGACACATATTTTTTATGAATTCGAAAGATGAGGAACGTGGCAATTGCGGGAGGATGGACAGACGCAGGGAATCATAAATCAATATATACTTTTGCATGAATGACCTCCCCTTGACCCTTCACCTTACCTCTACTCTTGCCCCTATCGCACACGTGTACAGTAGAACTGACCCCTGACCCCGACAGACCTACAACCCCATTCCCAACTTCCAAAACTAAACTGATAAAAAATGAAAATAGCGTACACCTGCAAAGGGTATAAGTGTCAAGTGTTAAGAAGGTCCGCAAATAGTGCGTAACGTGCCTTATCATCATGAAGGCTAAATTTTCATCTCAGTTTTCACGTGCACACCAAGCAAACCCGCTTTGGGAAAAGAAGACTGGCCACTTTGCAGATCAACAGGACTGAATATTTAATAACTTATTGTTTATAATTCCACATCAAACCTTTAACGCAACTGTTCTTGGCAGTAGCAGCACACATCCGATGCATCATCTTGCCCTTCTTCAACATAGTCAGCGGCGTTGTTGCAATCTTCTTCTGTGTACTGGATGCAAGTGAAACCATCCATATCTTTCCAACTGGCATCGTCATCTGCAACGCAGTCAGCACCACCAGCAGGTGCTTCGTCAATAGGCTCTTCTTGAACAGTTTGTCCTCCATCACTTCCTCCATTAGAGCCAGAGCCAGCACCATCACATACGACAGAATCCAAGTTCCATTCATCGCAGATGGTCTTTTTCATCCACCCATATGCACTGCTGGTACTGGCATAGACTCCAGGACTGGTCGCACCTCCACAGAAGCCGCCTGATAGCAGTGGTTGTTGTTAGCATTCATTGGTACCGGCGAAACAATGTATCTAGCTAGCGAGATTGAGAAACTTACTGGAAGCGACAACGCCAACTTGAACTTGAGTCTTTCCATGAACTTTCATAATAGGACCTCCAGAGTCGCCGCCGCAGTGACCAGCTCCGTCAGCACCTGCAGAGCAAAACCAATATTATTAAGCGCGCTAATATTCTTCTCTTCCAACAGTAGATACACTAGGCACAACTTACCGGCGCAAAAGTTAGTGGGGTATGATACCCCACCATCGTACCAGTCTGGGGAGTTACATTGAGAATCCGAAATGGCAACGATATTCACCTTCCGAATTTTCTGGGCCACGTGCTCAGGATTGTCTGTATCCCAGAGTGTTCCTCCACCGACAACTGTGAGGATATCTCCGGGATTTGGAACAGATTCAGCCAATTCCAACGTGATGTCCGTGTCGACATAGACAGGTGACTTCAGCTTCAGCAACATGATATCCCATAGGTCTCCCGTCTCTTCTTTGAAACCCGGGTGTGCGAGTACAGATTCCACAATCCCAACCTGGGCTTGTTGATCATCGTCTGGAAGAACAGCGCCAATGTAGACTTCTTTGCCAACATAGTTGTTGGGCTTGCAATGGGCTGCGGTCAACACCACTTGGGGACCGATCAAGGACGCTCCGCATTGTCCTCCGCCAGTGAGTGCGCTCACTGAATGAATGAATCAATCATTCGAAAGGGAAAGGGACAAGACATGAGACCCTAGTACCCAAGCACAAGCTAGGATGTTCACTCAGAATGTAAATGAAGACTCACCAAAGTAGGGAAACTCTGAATGATGAAAGAAGACATCGGAAGAGAGCACGCAGATATTTAGAATTATGAAAAGATGACCGTAGCGCTGTTGTTCCACCTATTGAAAGCAACGTTTGTACTCACCTCCGCCACTAACAGCATTTCCTCCAACGATACGAGATTGGATCTTAGGTTCAGAACTCCTTTCCTCAGGAGTTCCCACAAAGCTTCTCTCACGAGGACCTTCTCCTCCGCTTCTCCTGTACACTCCATTTGCCTTCTTTCCCTTTGCTTCAACGGTAGTATCCGTGTCGTCGTTACGAGACCTAACGTGATCCGCCTCCGCAAGGGAAGACAACGCGAGAATGCCAATGAAAGCAGCTGAAAGGGAAAACTTCATGGTAATAATGCTTTAGAAATTTTATGTGAAAACTCTTCAATCCGAAGAACAACTTTGCGCTGCTGGGTTTTGTCACCTACCGGTACAGCACTGAAAAGATCTAGAATGACTTATTGCGTGACCCAGGTAGACTGGACAAATTACCTACTGGGTCGTACGTGTTTTTAAAACAAAAAGGATGAAAGATACATCGCGCTGGATGCATTCCACTGTACAGTACAAGTGTACAAGTACAGGTACATCTACCTGGTTCTTGTTCTATGGCGATCTGCATTTTTTAAATAAAAATACGAATAAATAACCCGCTAATAAAAGGCTAAATAGAAAAAGGCATATAATAGCACGTGCGAATTCTATTTACGAAGTGTAAAAATATGGATTGTACTTCATCACGTGTACCACGCGCCGGCCAGTTTTTGTAGTCAAATTCGTCATGGCCAACAAGAGCTTCCATCAGCTGTAGAGTTTTAAAAACTTACAAACAAGCGAATTGATCTTAGAATGATTTTTTCATCATCCGATCTCCCCACTATAGTGCAGTAACGTTTGGGCTTTCATATCATTATCATCATTCTGTTTTTATTTTTTAAACTCACTATCCATTAGCCACACTCGATCACCAGTACATGAATCCTATTTCCCATATGAATATGCCACACAAAAAGCCATTCCCTTTTCATCCACCCAACCGTGCTAACTTGGTCTTGAAATCTTGGACTGCTGGAATGTTGCGAGCCACGGGTGCATGCAAAAAGTCTTCGTAGTTCCATCGGACACTCTTTTTCAGTTGATCCGACGGTCCTTCCACACGTCTCATATTTTGCGCTTCAATAAAGCAATTGAAATAGTGTCGGTAGGATTGCTCATCGTGTTCAATGCCCAACAAATTGTCCAATACACCCTTGGTAAATGGCACCGACTCATCCATGGCATCCAAATCATCTGGGTTCATGGCGGCTACCAACTGCGCGATCAAATGGAATCCCTTTGAAAATGGCAGAGCCATACCTTGATCTCTACTGACTTCGGCCGCTTCGTCTCTGAAATCATCAGACTCGGAACAGTAGGGTGCCACTTCTTCAGCGTCCTTCATCCATTCGACTTGATCATCCTCATTGGTACAACTGATAAAAGTCATTGGATTACCTTCGGGGTTGGGACGTTGGACCAGCATGCGTGTAATCTCCTTTTGGGCCATCATACCGCCATTCGGGACACCATCTCCAAAGAACCAGCGGGCAATGCTCATGTTTGGATTGGCTTGAAGTGAATTTCGAATCTTTTCCAAGGCTGGTGTGGTTCCTGAGGCTGATCGGGCAAAGGCGGCATCAATTCTTTGGAAGGCATCCCTCAAAAAGGTCTTGGGGTCCCGTCCTTGTCGGGTGAGCGACACACGATCTTGTCGATTCAAAAAGACGATTTCCACTTGATTGAACGGAACATATGCCAGAATTTCAATCATTTCCTTCAAGCGCTTGTGGGCTTCGGCCCAACGAGTTTGGGGGCGACCATATTCGTCAACCGTGTCGGACGTCAACGTCATACTACCAGAGTCGTCTATAAGTAAAAAGTAACATGGAAACGAATCGGAATGTGTGAGCCTCTAGAACAACGACCATCTAACTCTCAGACAATGCACCACAATTAATCAGTGCAATCCATTTTACGTACCAATCATAAACTCCAAGACTTGATATTCGCTGAGCATCATCAGTTTGTTCATCAAACCCATCGGCACTTCATATTTGTTCAAAATGGCACCTAGTTCATCGACCATTGTGTCTGGGGACTGTAGTTCACAGGTGAATAAATGATGGTAGCAAGCAGACATAAAAGATAGAGCATTTGACAATTACAAGGTGAGAAAAAATCTTGCATTCCAGTTCAGCGCTAGACGCGCATCATTTCAGTCCAACGATCAATCAATCAATCAATCACATACCATTCCCGCTTCGACAGAAATTTCAGGTTCTTGCATCATTTCAATGGTAGCGTTGGTGGACTCGGCCAGTCGAACCTCCTTTCCTCCGGCAGCAAGAATATCGGCATTAAACGCCTCGTGCTCTTCCATATTCGTGATGATGGGCAACGCCTGAGACGAGTTCGCAACCGTCGTAGCAGGAGTACGACCACCGCTTTGCATTTCCTTCCAGCGCTTGTATTCGGGGTTCATCTTCATGACGCCATTGATCTTGATGTACTTTTTAGGTTGCATGTTGTAGTTTGTTACAGTTGTTCTTTTGTATAATTGTTGTGTTGTTGTTGCTTCTTGGTTTCTGACTATGACATATTTTCCTGTCGGTCGTGTGGACCGTCGATGAGAACCAAGATCTCAGGTGATTTCTTCAGTTCTCCGCGTCTCCGCACGAGTCAAAGTACCAGGTACTATCTCTAACGGTCGGACACGGAAACAATCGGACAGATTTTTTCTCCATCGGACAACTCCAAGCCTCCCAACCTCCAATGGTTGCACACATACAAACTCCCGCCATAAAACGGATATCAGGTCGTCATTCTCACCTATAATAGTAGTGAGGCAGTGGGAATCCCCGGATTTCTCCCCTAGTTGCGAGATTTTCCCACAGCTCAATTTTTCCCACAGCTCAATTTTTCCCACAACTCAATTTTGCTTCCCACAACTAGTTGTGGGAATTCCCTCAACAGTTGTGGGAAAATTGTCATTTCTACACAGAAAACCACGTAGGATATGTACTGAGACAAATTTGAAGTTTCCCACAACTCTAATTGTAGTTGTGGGAAGTTTCCCACAACTCTAATTGTTTTATTGGGAATTATGGGAAAACTGTCCGTTCTACGGAAAACTGTCTGTTCTACGCACAAAACAACGTTTGATATATGTACTGACTAGAAAATAGACAACTACATATGATGTTTCCCAAAAACTCTAATTGTTTTCGTGATATTTCGTGATACATTTAAAGGCAAAAATAACGGACATCTGAGCAACGGAAATTCCCACAACTAGTTGAGGGAAATTCCCACAACTAGTTGTAGGAATTTCCCACAACTATTTTTTAAGATTCCTACAACTAGTTGTGGGAATTTTTGGCAAAAATCTGTTCCCACAACTAGTTGTGGGAAATCGCGTTAAATATCGCGGGGACGAAATAAAATGAAAAGGGGGAATTCCCACTGCCTCAGTGGTACGATCAGTGTCTGGATTCTCAATTTGAGTCTACCAGCCGTGTTGCCTTCAGTCAATCCATTGCTCGGGAAAGCTTTTATTCTGCTGAAACAGCCTCGATATTGGACTTGAGACGACCTCAACATTGCCACAGTTGGAAACTCGAGCTTCAACTTGAAGTACGATCTCAACAAATAAACGACTTCTGCAAGAACGAATCATCATCAGCATCAAAAGTACTTGAATACGACCAGTATCATGGATCATTCTGAAGAAAACAACCATCAGGATATTGTTCGCACTAGCCTATCGGAAGAAGCTGTGTGTGCCGCACCATCCTTTTTCGAAACCTTTCGCATTGGTAATGAACGAGGCATTGATTTGAAATCTTTGCGAGCCTTTTGCCTAGCGCCGAATGGGTTGGTATCGCCGGAATGGAGAAAGGCAGGGTGGCCCAAACTAGTGGGTGCACATGTCGAAATATGGAGAGCTGCAGCCAAGATACCACCCATGGATAATGATGAATGTAGCGAGACAGGCGATAGTAGTACTAGTACCAGTACTCATCGTCTTCATCATCCGTCCAAAGATGAAATTACGTACATTAAACAAGTGGTTTCCTCTTGCGAATGGGAGAGTATTGGTATTCATAAAGAAGATGCTATTGTCATGCCTGAACACAAGCCAAGGCGACCCTCCTCCAGTCCCACCACAGGGGCTGAAAATAAGAACAATGGAGAAACATCCACAAGAGTCGAACGACGAGTCAGTTTTCATCTGTCAGAATTAGCGTTTTCGACCAAGCGTCAAAAGGATCGCAAGACACTTCGGAAGGTGTTGATTCATCTAAAGAGAACGAATCCAAATCTTGCCATTACAAGTGCTACTTGCAGTGCGGTTGCCATGGTTTTGTCGATTGTCCAATCTTCCTCCTTGTCCACTCTGGTCGTCCAACAGCTGGTAGCCTATCCTTGGAAGTATTCTCGCGAGTGGCCACGGTCCAACAATGCATGGGAATTAGATGACAAATGGCAGAGTCTCGTGAAGGAACTCGCTCCAGAAATAGTCCAGCATTTCGAAACGAATGATGTTGACGTGCTGGAAGGGACGATACGATACTCTTGGATTCCTTCGTGGTTGTCTCAAAATATGCGCAACAAGGATCTACTGGCACGAATATGGGATGTTCTAGTACCATCCAAACCGGATTCGATATTGTGAGTATACTTTGTTGCAAGTGTATTGAATTCTCTGTTTTTGCATTTGAATTTTTTCTCATCATCATCATCAACATCATCATCATCATTCCCATTAGATATGTTTGCATTTCCTTGCTCGTGTACTTTCAGAAAGAATTGCTGGCCGAAATGGACACGGACAAGATAAGAGCCGTATTGATGGACCTTCCTTCCAAACTGAATTCCACAGAGAAAGCAGAAGCTGTACTGTCCCAAGCGATGGAATGGATGACGAAATCAGTTTCAGACGAAATAGAAGTGGACATTCCAACATGGGTGACCGCCACAGTAGCTCCAGCTGATAGTGCCATGGTAGAATATGCAAGGCATTTGAGAGAAACAGTGACAGAAAGGGGGAAAGCGTTGGTATCAGATGGTCGTTGCGGCGACAAGGAAGAAAAAGACTGGTTCTCTGTTACTATGGAGGACTCAAAGTCTCGGTTCGTTGCGGCATTCAAGGCGAAAGCATTGAAACAAAAAGAAGAGGAAGCAAGGAGGTCATCCAACAAGTCGTCATGGGTTCTGGTACTTGTCCTATTATTGCTGGCAGCTTCCGTGATTGTTGGGGTAGAGACAGACTGCAGCATCCTGTTGGGTACAAAGAGAACTACTTCTTCTCGAAGTGACTGTTTGCATCAAATCTCAGATCTGTACTTGGAGGATACAATGCAATACGCCTCCCAGCTACAAGCCATGGGACACAATTTGTGCGATGAAATCAAACAAAAAATGATGGAACTGAAAATGGCATATGCACCTCCAGATTCGTCGACCGTATCAGACAATGGAGTAGTTAAGGGTATCCAAGAGGAAGAAGCAGTCGAATCTGACCCTTCCGATACCGTCATGTCGCCATCTGAGAATCTTGACGACGACCAAATGGTGGAAGCAACGAACGAAGAATCTAGCAACGAGGCTCTTGAAAATCTAAGTTCATCAGATATCACTAATAATGATGTAAAGGCTCTCGATGAATCCGAATCCTCGATCGATTCTGAAGACGACACAACGCTAGACCGAATCGAACCAGAGGCATCAGCGCCAATTCTGGAGGAACCAGACAGAAGTCCAGATTCGACAATTGTCGACGACCATGATACAGTTGAATCAGATGGCCCCGTGGAACAAAGCCGTCAGGATGCCGACCGTTTGATGAAAGAAACCTTACATCAAGCAGCGGAAGCATCCAAATTTGCTGAAAGCCTTGTGTCGCAGTTTCTTGAAGAGGCAAAGCATATTGCGGCAGGAGAAGTAGTGGAAGGTGCCTTTTCAGAGACAACACAGGAGTCAAGCGGGGAAAGGCAACCTGAGCAATCGAGTGACGACCACCCAGTTGCCGCGGAAGACGATTTCTTCGATTTAGATCATGACGTTGCTGTCGGTGACTCCGTTGTAGACAGCGTGAGCTCCAACGAAGATGACCACGGAGGTCATTTAGATCAGGAAATTCGGGCGGCAATGACTACCGATGAGGTGAGCTTGACAGGCACAAAAGTGGAGGATCCTAAAGAAACCGATGAGCTTTCACCTGAACAAGAAGAATCATCCAAACAAGGATCAGAATCTCCCAATGGTGACTATGATGAAGTTCTACGCTACCCAGTAGAAGATCGAATTCACATGGAAGGCATCGAGGGCGGTGGGGAAGATTTTAACGATGAAACAACTGACATGCAGGCTGAAGAGGCCGAGATGACAGCGCAAGACCAATCAGATAGTCCTAATTCCCCGGTAGATACTGAAGAGAGCGAATCGACTATTACTCTTGACGACGAGGGCACTAAGGAAAATTGGGCAGATGAAGTTTCTGGAGACACAACTAGTGATCCGAGACCCATCTCAGAACATTCTCTTACGAAAGAACACACCATTGATGAAGCCATGGATGACCCAGTGAGCGATGAAACGGACGAGAGGATGGTGGAAGCAGACGACCAAGCAGCCGAACCTGAACCTACCGAAGAGAGCACTGTGCTTGGGATGGCTCATGGCCTCCTCACTCGATATTTGGGATATTTCGGCTCCGAGCCACATGAAACCATACTTCTTTCTACGCCCTTCTACAGTAAGGATGATGTCGCTGCAGTGTTTGAGCAATTGATGGCTTCCAGCATGGATGAGGCTCCAATGCAAAATTGGGACAAGAGGTCCGTTGAAAAGATGAGAACGTGGGAAAGCACAGTTTTGATATAGCTTATTGTTAAAATCATTGAAGTCATAATAACCCCACTAAGCAGAATGAATCATTCGTCATGACATGGTCACGCCTTTAGTGGTATCACTGTGTTGACACCTCATGATCATCGATGGCTTTCAACGGAAATCGATTGACAAATTTTGAGAGAGCATAATTACGAAACAGTGTCGACTCCTCCGATTGCTTCACTGAGAACCACTCCACAAGCGGTGATCGTGAAAGTGAAAGCAGTATCTGGCTGACAATACTATGAGATCACAGATTCACTTTAGAAGAAAATCCCTTTCCTTTAATGACCGAGAGCGAAGACAAGACAGATTATACGTACATGACAAATAGACTGGAATGAGCCATTGCAAAGAGTATCTGATATGAATAATTCTACAACAACAAAGGAGGACGATGATGAGCCTGACCAAAGTGAAGCCAACATCACTACGACGTTTCCACAAAACAGCTCGGGCTTCAACGAGTCATCAATACCCCCACAACTACCATCTCCTATCGGTAATGGATTCTTGACGAATGCTACAAATTCATCCAAAGGTCCTTTCAATATCATTTCTAACAATAATTCAACCGACCAAACCGGTAATGAAACCAACAGCAGTCTTTCTGGTCCACTGTGGGGTCTCATGCAGGAATGGAACGGTAGCCACTTTTGGAATGGTGGTGGCGACGATCGTTTCGGGAGAGACACCAACACTACCGAAGTAACACCGATATCAGGTCCAACCATGTGGGAAGGATATGTTCTGGGACTATTTTGTCTGGCGGCTGCTTTGTTGTTTATCATGACACCAGCTTGGTATATGGATCGTAGACGGCATATGGAATTCGTTGGTAGCGAACGAAGGGAAGCACGGAGTGGAAGAAGACGACGACGACGGCGGAGGCGACGGCGGCATCGATTTTTGGAAATTTCAGGAATGAGCCAAGACGAGGAACAGGAGGGATTTGAGGGACAAGATACGGCCTCCTCGTTGACAGAAGAATATATTCTCAGCATGCTCGTGACAAGGGTAAGGGAAATTTTGGGCTAATTGATTCGTTCCAGTTTTGATGTTGTTGGATGCTAATCTGAATTGTGTATACTCAACACCCCTCTATAAAGCCAATCGAAGCATTAGATTTATGTTTGGAAGGACACCAGTTGAAGGAAACGCCTTCTCTCACTAACGTTGTTTCTGATGAGACCGATGCGACAGTTACCATTAGTTCTAACAAGGATCACGACATTGAAGACGACGAGAGCTATGATCCGAACGAAGATAGCTGTGATCTAGACGACGACACCAGCATGGATGATGAGGACGCGGATTGCTGTGCCATTTGCTTGCAAGGGTACAAGATTGGAGATGAAATCTGTAATCCCACACAGAGCCCTTGCTCTCATTATTTCCACCGAGGATGCTTAGTACCATGGCTTTTGAAGCACAACGTTTGTCCATGCTGCCGAGTTCAGTACTTGCCTTTGCCTCGAGAAAAAGGGGACAATGAGGCGGAAGAGAGCGAACTTCTGGAACCCACTACTACGACCGGGCCTTCTATTCTGGAGATCCCGTCATCAATGACATATGCAGCTCTCGGTGACAATGAGAGTACTGTACGAATAGACGAGGAAGTTGGGTCGGACGAGAATGGGAGTCTAGAAGGAGAACCGACAGAGCTGACAGTCGGCATGAAGGTAGATCATCCTACTCCTCTTGAACAGTCGCTACCTTCAACTCCGAGTGAAAGTGACAGTGAGCAAGCGATTCGGGAAAGTGAAGAAGTTATAAAGGAGGAAATGGGCTGTGACGAAAGCGGTCACGAGAAACCTACCATCTTCCTAGACATTACCGCTCTGAGCAGTCCATCAGCAGCTTCGCTTGATCAAATGCAAAATGGTGGTAGCAGGATTAAAAATGAAGAATACGACATTGGGACGCAGACTGAAAGAGATCTTGAAGCTCAGGCCAGTGCCATCTCCAGCCACGACGCTGGGAATGACCCCAAAAATGATGCAGACTTGGACGATGCCGCGCCCGATGCAACCTTCTCTGTACCTATCCCCCAGAGACGACTCGTCCGACGGGTATCGTCTGCAGAGTCGTCTGCAGATGAGACTTCACTCAGCGCATAAACTATGTCAATAGAAGAAATGCTATTGCAGCATACTAATACGGTAGTAGTTTGATAGATCATGGATTGAAATACTGTATATTTGTAAATCGAGCGGGTCGGGTGCCACAGCAGTCGAATGGATCGAAGAAAGTTATGGTGTCGCTGTACTGTGTTGTGTTGCGCGCGTGTGCGTTCAACTGCCACGCCTCCTTCCGTTACCTTCGCCAACTACAATAATATATCCGACCCGACCCGACCCGACCGCCCGCAACAAGCAATAGTTTGCAATATACCGGTATAGGCTCATCATTTGCCATTCATTTGTTTCAATAGCAAGTCTGCATTGAAAGATGGAAGCGAATGACTGTTCTTACCGATTCCAAGGCATTGAGGGAGAAGAAGTTCCAAGGAATGTGCAAAACCTGACTTTCACTCCAGGCATTCAAGTTTTGCTGGATGACTTGTGCTCCTTCTGCAAGTTTTTGCAGGAAGTAACTCTGCCGCAAGGATTGATCAGCATTGGTAATGAGGCTTTCAGTTTTTGCAGGAACTTGTTGGATGTCAAGATTTGTACCTCGGTAGAAAGTATTGGAGAAGATGCATTTTTTTCCTGCAGACAGCTGAAAAATGTAGAGTTTCAATGTTCAATGTCTTCGCCCCCTCGGCTAGAGACAATTGGCGAATCCGCTTTCCAACGTTGCAAGTCGCTGCAAAGAATCAAGATTCCCTCGTCCGTGAGCATGATTGGTGATTTTGCATTTGACGACTGCGAAACCTTGGTAGCAGCAGATCTGTCAAAAGCGTCCATCACACAAATTTCAAGTTGGACGTTTTCTGAATGTATGTCCCTACGAACTGTGAGCCTACCAAGCTCATTGGAGCGTATTTGTCGAGAAGCATTTAATGACTGCGTTTCTTTGGTTACAGTTATAATTCCCCTGGATTCAAGGCCGATCCATATGGAACAAAACTCCATCAATGCGTGCAATGCTCTTGCAAACCTTGTGCTCCCGCAAGGGTCCAAAGCCGAAAGAGACGCTTTTACTAAGTGCGAACTATTGCAAGGTCGGTATGGCGAAGGATCAGATAGCATTGTTGCTGGTTTGGCATGCCGGTTTGACAACTTTCCTGTCCACAAAATCTGCTACCACCCTTCCTCTACCACCGCCCAAGAACTTTGTGACTGTATTCAGAGGACGAATGACGACATTTTATCGCTCGTGGATGAGTTTGGAATGACTCCGTTCCATGTTCTATTTTCTACTCCCGAGCCAAGTCAAGATCTTCTCAAAGTCCTTCTAGACAAGTATTCATACCATGTTCTTGTGGACTGTCAAGACGCGAATGACAATCGACCGATGGATTACTTGATTTCAAACTGGAATGAAGCAACCGCACCTATGGTCAAAGAAACTATGCAAAGATGGATGATTGATCCATTCCTTCGTTGGGGTGCTACATCATGGGCGGAAGCTATGCAAAGTAGGGTGCAAGCTCTACTTGCTGGAGATGATGACGATGACAGGGAAATTTCGAACTATCATGCAATTTGTGACTTTACACTGTTCAGAGATATGGAAGTCACGTCGATCTTGGAAATGGTATTGTGGAAAAAACAGCTGAAGGGTGGCCGGAACAACGATGGTACCAAGCGACAGGCGCTTGACCGAGAAGAGTGCCGTTGTGTCTGTGGATCGGACGTTGTGATTCCAAGTGTCGTGGAGTTCTTGGATTTTATACTTCCGTCCTAATTCAATTTTAAAAGTTGGCAGGATTGTTTTATTGATGATAATCTATTGAATAAGAAATATTTGTAAGTATCGTTTCTATCGTTCCAACAGTTTCGGTAGTCGGGCATTGTTTAGCTCTTTCTCCAAATTCAATTCAGAACCGCATCACACGCCACAAAAGGTTTCAAACTGAGAAATTTTAAATCTACAACCGCCAAGCTGGCTATATGCGCATTTGTTTGTTGTCCAAGCCAGTATTGATCTGTGGGATAGTTCCTCATGGCACTATTGTGGTATCTCATTAGTTTCTTTCCCGGAGGAACCACGGGGCTGTTGATTGCATCCATCATTACGGTTTGGGTTCGTTCTTTTTGTCACAGCAAGGAGGTGGTAAATGAGCGTTTTTACGAATACCAAGGCAGAAAGGGAGAAATGGTGCCATGCAGTGCTCGAACGCTGACTGTCAATCCAGACATTCAGATTTTGCCTTCGCTTTTGTGCTACAACTGTGAGAAATTGCGTCTAGTAACTCTGCCCAATGGATTGATCAAGATTGGGAATGGTGTTTTCTATCGCTGCACAAGTTTGCTGAAAATCAAGATATGCAGCACAATAGAATCTATCGGGGGGTGTTCCTTTGCAGAATGCGAAGCGCTGAAGAAAGTTGAATTTGAATGCTCCTCGTCTTCGCCCTATCAGCTAAAGACAATTGGCGAATCCGCTTTCCAACGTTGCCACTCGCTAGAAAGAATCAAAATCCCTTCATCCGTGAACTTGATCGGTGATTCTGCATTTGACGGCTGCAGGGCCTTGATTGAAGCAGATCTGTCAAGAACGTCCATCACGGAAATCCCCATCAAGGCGTTCATGGGTTGTCTCTCCCTGCAGAGTGTGAGGCTACCAAATACATTGAAGTATATTTGCGACTTTGCGTTCGGTGCCTGCATTCGTTTGGTCACAGTTGTAGTTCCCCTGGACTCTAATCCGATCGAGATTGAAGAAGGATCCTTCGGTATGTGCAGTGCTCTTGCAAACATTGTGCTCCCTCAAGGGTCCGATGCTGCCGACGAAATAATTTCTGCTTTTGGAGTTAGAGCCATATACGGGTCTTTTCATGAATGCGCATTATTGCAAGATCGCTTCGGTAAAGAAGCAGATAATATTGTTGCCGGTTTGGTACGCCGGTTTGACAACTTTCCACTACACAAAATCTTCTACGACCATTCCTCTGTCACCACCCAAGAACTACGCGAGTGTATTCAGAAGACAAAGGACGACAATTTGCCACTAGTGGACAAGTTCGGGATGACTCCATTCCATATCCTCTTTTCGACTATCGGACCAAGTCAAGATCTTCTCGAAGTTCTTCTAGAAGAGTACCCATACCACATCCTGGACTGCAAGGAAGATGCAAATGGCAAGCGACCAATGGATTATTTACTCTACAACTGGACGAAAACAACTCCATCTTTGCTTCAAAGTACACTGGTTGGTTCACTTGTTCATTGGGGTGCTAAATCATGGGTGGAAGATGTGCGAAGTAGGGCGCAAGCTATATTTTCTGAACATCATCATGGCAAGGAACACAGGGAAACTTTGTACAATCAGACCCAATCTGTCTTGGCACATTACAAATGTAAGGAAGACACGTCAATCTTGGAAATGACCTTGTGGAAAGGGCAACTCAAAGGTGAATGGAGCAGTGATGGTGGCAAGCAACAGCCTCTAAGCCGAGAAGAGTGCCGGTATGTCTGTGGATCGGACATTGTGATTCCGAATGTAGTAGCGTTCTTGTGAATTGTGAATCGATCATCCCGTAAGAGCTTCATCTCAAGTCGATTGATTGATTTTGCAAGCTTTCATTGATATTCGACCAAATACTGTAACAACACGATTATAGTTGGGCTAGTAATTAGAACAGAACCTGTTGCTTGCGATATTAGAAGATGGAGAGCAAATGTAATTTTCAAATTCGTTTATTGGACTCACTCGAGCCAAAGTTACCACAACGATAGTTTCGACGAATATCACAACAATAACCGCACAGCAGTTGCATCCATTGCAGAACCGAACAATAACCACTGATAATGAGTCGACCACTTTCACCAGTATTATCAGCCCCAACATCAGGGCCTGCTCAATCTTATTTCTTTTTCCTTCTGGTGGCGACCTTTTCATGTTGTGTCAACAGGTGTCATGCGCTACTACCACCAGCACCTGCAACCGAAAGCAGCATTCAGAGTAGTGTGATTTCCAACAACGTGGTTGCTTCTTTCTCACGGTTATCTCACTACAATGGAAAAATCTTAGAGTCAAGAACAAACTTTCGAAGACGTACCACAATACGCTATGCAACTGAAAAGTTGGCAGAAGTCACTAAAACATCATCCGACACTTCAGCACCATCGTCATCGTCAGAAGCCCCCAAAAGACGACAGTTGGCACGAGGTTTGCTACTTTCCTCCTTTTCCGATGGGCTGGTGCCCAATCCACAAGCTCTTGATTTTTGGATGGACAGTCTGGTGGAATCCATGTGGAATCAGTACTTGCAAGGTCTGCAAGAAAAGGTGGAATCTTCGGCCAAGGCCAGTCCCTGCTGTGGTCCCACGGATGTTGACAGTGTCAATCAACTATTGGATGCCATAAGTGACGAATCATCTTCTTCCTTTACTGATGAAGCTACTAAGAAAACTGGGCAATGGAAAGTCAAATTTCAGAAACTATTGGAGATGCAACAACACCAACAAGAACAAGAACAATCTGGTGAATCATTATCATTATCATCATCACCATTGGAACTTCGATTCTTGTACATTCCCACTGCCATGTACGCCCTCCGCAAGGATTCCACCAACTCGCCAGGAAAGCAACGACAACGAGCCCGTGCTGATGGCAAAAAGCGAAGGACGCAAATAGTGCAGCTGATTCAAGACCAGTTTGCAAACGCCTACCATGAAATGAACGACTGCTCTGACGATGATATAAAAGAACAAATGAAATCATCACCAGTCAAAGCGCTGGCCGTTTCATTTGACTTGGATGATGGTAGTTTGAAACAACCAGAAGGATCCAAGAATACCTCCAAATTTCCCTCCACTGGAATGGACGCTTTGAAAGATTGGAAGCCGAATCTGATTTACGTCCAAGGCGGGAATACCTTTTGGTTGTATCACTGTATGGAAAAGGGCGGTTGGAGAGATGCTTTGGTGGATGCAGTTACGGTCGGTGATGATAATAATAATCAAGCCCCTGCTGTGTATTGCGGAACCAGTGCTGGTGCCATCTTGGCTGGATCTTTGATGGAGACGGCAACTTGGAAGGGATGGGACGATCCTACCGTGGATCCGGACCGACCGAACTACGAGGACTGGAAGGGAATTGCTGGATTAGACCTGGCAGGAGAAAATGTTTCAGTATTTCCACACATGGGCGAACAATGGCAAGACATTGTGGATGGCAAGATGGCACAATTGAATGCTGATACCAATGATGATGGTGATCATGATTCTTCAGATTTCTCATTACCAGCGCCAGAAGTGTATTGCTTAAGAGATGACCAAGCTGTATGTGTGAATGGAAGTGGTTCAGTATTGACGCGGACACTGTTAGAATATGCACCAGAATAAGCTTTCTAAAGTACAGATATTATTATTTAGTGTCGTCATCAACAATAGTATAGCAGCTGTATCTTATTCTCTATTTCTCCGACGAGGGTGACGCACGTTATTTTTGAACGAGAAAACATACGTACTTCATTGGTCAGATCTTTTTTTGAATTTGATTGGTTCAAACCCATCGGCGACGTGTCCGGCTCGCTCAAAATTCACGCAAGGGTGTTGGCCACCCACGCACGACGAGAAGCTTTTTGATGGTAACTTGAGCAGCACCCTGAAGATTGTGAGCACCAGAACATCAACAAGCCAACAAATTTTCTCTTTTAAAACAACAATAGAAACAATGAAGATTTGCAGCGCCTTTGCCCTTCTCTCACTTAGTGGAGCATCTGCTTTTGTTCCCAATGGTCCAGCAGCCTCCTCCACAGCTCTCTTCTCCAGCGGTGCTCCTGTTGGCGCCGTAGGCACGGGTATCATGCCCCCATCCGTTTCCGCCGGGGGTGCTATTGCCGTCAAGGGTGTTGTCCCTCCCGCTCCTGCTGCTGATGGTTCCATTGATGCTTTCGTTGACAAGTTCGACATGCCCATGACTATTGTGCAAGGAGGAGCTTTGAGAACCTGGTCCTTCCCCACCATGACTATGGGACGTGTCAACATTGCGTTGACCACCCAAGGTCCCAAGGAAGGAAACCCTTTGAATTGCGATCTTGCCTTCAACGAGGGTCCTGATAACACTCCTCAACGAATGCGTATCTACAGTGGAAAGGGAAGACTGCGTCCTTACAAGATGTGGATTGAAACTCCTCGTGATACTTCTGCTGTCTTTATCCGCAACTTGGCTCCTTTGGAATTCCCTTTGGAAGCCAAGGTTGGAACTGAGCCCGCCGAACTTCCTCCTCTCGAAGGCATTCACGGTATCACCGATGACATGTACGAAATGAGCAAGCCCAACATTATTCAGGGTGCTGGTGCACTCCGGACTTATGCTTTGGACCACTCTGTCACTTCTGTCAAGGTTTCCCTCAAGACTGATGGACGTCCATTGAATGCCATGGTCGAATTGACTCAAGGTCCTAACGCCATCAAGTACACCATTGAAATTTACACAGAAGACGGTATGCTCCGACCTTTCAATGCCATTCTGGAAACACCTGGGCCTGGAAACGAACTTCGTATTGTCAACACTGCTTCCATGGAATTCCCTCTGATTGCCCAAATCGGAAAGAGTGGTCAATGGACTGAAGGTTACTACCACCAGTAAACTAATTAAGTGACAAACTGGTTGGTTGGTTGGTTGGTATTCTCCTCACACAGAGCTATGCGCTACCTACTCTTTACTGCAGTCAACATGGCTGGAAAATCACATACAAGAACACACACACACGCACACTTTCATACTTTTTCACATCACATCACACACGCACACATCATACATCTTTCCTGTTCCATGAATCACGTCTGGGCGGACTGATTCAACGTTGGCTTTATATCGGGGTTTCGCACAAAAAGTGTACCACGTCTCAATGGTACCTCTTTGTGCCTCTACTTCTTGTTAGTTAGTTAGTTGTTGTCAATGTTTGGATGGATCTCATCTTAATGTACACTATAGTAGAGATTTTATTCAGCATTGCATCCAAGAGTTAGTGTTGTATATATTTGTAATTGTAGTTAGTAGAGTGCTTTGTCAGCAACAAGGCAGGGTTTGATTAGTCTTTGGCACTATCTATCCATTCATTCGTTCATTTTTTTTAATCATGTGACACCATGAAAGAATCAATCATAGATCGCTACTCCAATACTGTATGTTCATATTGCCATCCTCCTCGAACGCAGCGTGTATCTCCTCACACAGGTTGAATATGTCGTGTCATAAAAGTGCAGACCTGATCCCATCCCGATGTCAAGAAGTTTGACAACTCGGACAAGAAAGTCTGATTGAGTACCAATCTGTAAAGAACCTAACCTCCAAGCAAGCAAGCAAGAAGCTGACCGCGCAGTACAGCAATAGTACCATAGCTCCATGAATGAAAAGTACCACTTCAATCATGACATGGCCTTTGTCATGAGTGAAGTGTACGCCAGAGGCTTCTTGCCATTGCCACTGTGCGCGCTCTCGAGACGTTTTGGTTGGTGTTCCAAACAAACAAAAAAGCAGAAGCAGCAACAGCCACAGAAACCATTTGTGGGGTGTAGTTTTATTTATCGTTCATTCATTCCTCCCTCTTTTTTCTTCTTTCTCATCCACCGACCTTGTCACTGCTTGCAATGGTAGTAGCAGTAGAAGTAGTAGCAGTAGTTTTTGCTGTAGGTGGTGGTGATGGTATGTACGAGAATAGTTGCTGTTGGTGGTGGTGGTGATATTGTACTTGTGGTTGTTGTGGTTGCTGTTGTTGTTTTGGATAAGCGGAGGAGGCAGGATACTGATGATAATGATGGTATCCTTGCTGTTGTTGTACATGCTGTAGATGTTGTGCTTTGTCTTTTGCACCACTGGGCACCCACGCATGCAGCTGCTGCTGCTGTTGTTGTTGTTGTAACACTGGCTGTTGTTGATGTTGGGCATATTGATTGCGCGGATAATGCTGAGGGGCATTGTAATATCCATAATAATCATTGGTAGGATTGGTGTAATGTTGCTGTTGTTGCTGTTGCTGATCGTAGTCCATGACACTGGCTACAGCATTGCCCCGACGAAAGTCTGGATCAATCACATCTTGATTGCGGTCACGAAAGGTTGCCTTGGAGTTGGTGGCCGTCGTGGTAGTAGTAGTATTCGACGATGCCGTGACGTTGGATGCGGTGGCGGCGGAGGAAATAGTAGTAGTAGCAGTGGAAGGCTCAAATGGCGCAGCCGAAGCATTGGGGGCAATGCCGCTGCTCGACGGCGGCAAGGCATCCTTGGAAGAAGCTCCTGCGTTGGTTGCAGCATTAGAATTAGCATTAGCAGCAGCTTGTTGTTGTTGTTGTTCTTCTTGCTCTTGTTGAAAGATTCGTGCCCGTGCCTCGGCATAGGCCTTTTCACGATCGGTCAAGGAAGAATTCTTTTTCTTGAGGGAAGTATTGGAATTGGTTCGATTCATGGCACCTCCAGATACCGGACAAGAATTGGCTCGCTTCATAATCTTCATTTTGTTCTTTTTGGCACCACCACCAGAAGTGCTACCCTTTTCGGAAGAAGAACCGTTTTTGCTCTTTAGAGCCGAAACATCACTGCTGTTTCGGCGGCTGCTGCTAGTCTTGGACTTTGTGCTGTTCCCAGAGACTGCACTCGCAAAGGTTGGCTTGCCATTGACAGTTGTTCCTGCATTCAGAGAGACCTGGTCCATGCTTTGGACCAACGAGTATTCGTCCGATTTGACATCCAACAGCAAACGGCTCGGAACTTTGGTCTGCGGTTGCTTGAGCAGTCGAATAGTCCCATCCATGTTGTTTTCTCGCGTGATTTCAAACCGATCCGCCAATCGATGCAATATGCATCGTTGAAAGCTCGTCTGAGACTTGTTGGTGTTGGTATGAATGGCCCCGGGACTAATGTACCCAATCGTAGGGCTCTTGACAATGGAATTGTACGGACCTCCCACATCCACAAAGGGATCTTGAGGTTGTTTCGTGACAAAGTCACACAAGGTTTGTTCCAGTCGAAGCAATCCAATCCGTTCACGGGGATCTCGAAGGGCTGCCAAGAGTGCGGAATCAATGATGGAAGCATCTGCCGAAACCACCGGCTTGATTTGAGTTTTGGTGGTGGTTGCGGTGGTTGCAGAATGATTACTATTAGTAGTAGTAGTAGTAGTAGTAGTAGTAGCAGTAGTAGCAGTATTCTCTTGCCGCAACTGTCTTGGAGGGTCAGACCAGCTGCTCCTTCGGTTCAAGATGGCGGGGTTTCCTGCTGGCTGCGTAGTCATAATGGCGGGCACTTGTTGCACCACTTCCGGGGTTGCATTGGAGCTGCTGGAAGTTGGGCCAGGCTTGCTCATGAGTTTCATTTCAGGCGAAAGAACAGAGCCAGTTGTTGTCATTCTGAATTCGCCTAAGGTGTTGTTATCCTTGTCTTGCTTATTACAGTATGTTGCTGCTGTATTATATACAATATGTATTGTATAGCAAAGCTTTCCTTGTGTTATTGTAGATAATGCTTTATTTTCACGGACTCTTTTATTTTTAGTTTTTATTCTTGCGCAATGATATTTTTTGTGTTTGGCTTCACCGGACCAACAACAACCAACGCGCGCACGTGTGAACTTTCACTGGGGAGAATGTACCGGGCGGTATTTATCGTACTCTCGTACCAACATTTATTTTTGTATTGGCAACCGTCAAAATTGCCGCCTGTCTGCATTCATTCATTTGTTCCATGATGGATGGTCCGCACATCACCCGTGCGTTTTGACCAAACGGAGCAAGATTACTGGTACCAGTACCTGGTATAACGGAGAAGGCCAAATGAAATAGGTTACACACGTGCGGCGCCTTGAAGACAGGAAGAGAAACTTTCATGCACTATCGATCTATCTAATGCAATCATACGCTAAACATTTTTCAACTATCAATACAGCTCAGTACTGTATAAAACAGATATAACAGGATATAAATTGAGTTGTTCTTTAGTTTATTTTTTAAATGTAACAACGAGTTGCTTGCCTCCTTTTATATAAAAAGAAATAAAAGATCTAAACCACCGACGATAGATTGCTGGCATCTGGAGGTGCCACTGGGTCGGAGGTAATGGGACCTCTCCAGAACATGCGGTACACAATATGGGTTCCCACAATCATAATGACGAGCGGTATCATTCCCCAGTACCAGTTGGCCCAATCTTCTTCATTGGCAATGGAGGGTGCAATCGTCAAGGCAATGATGCTCATCAACTTGATCAAGATATTGAGCGATGGACCACTGGTATCCTTGAAGGGATCTCCGACGGTATCTCCCACCACGCACGCCTTGTGGACCTCGGTTCCTTTTCCGCCCTTGGCGCCTTCGATTTCAATGTACTTTTTGGCATTGTCCCATGCACCTCCAGCGTTGGCCATTTTGATGGCGAGCATCATGCCGCTGATGATGGCACCGGCCAGCAATCCAGTCAAAGCCTTGGCGCCAATGGTGAATCCAATAAAGAGGGGAGTCAAGATGGCATACAATCCTGGAAGGATCATTTCTTGGCAACTGCTCTTTGTGGAGATGGCAACGCAACGATCAGAATCCGCTTCGGCGGTACCCTCACGAAGTCCAGGAATCTCGGCAAACTGTCTGCGCACCTCGACAATGATGGCACCAGCAGCCTAACAAAAACAGGAAAGAAAGGAATGGGGGGAGGGAAAGGCAAGGCAAGGCAAGGCAAGGTGAGATGGGTCTATATGTATGTTGTATGTGTATACGATAGATATCCTTTCTTCTTTTTCGTTCGTCCTTTTCTTTTCTTACCTTTTGAACGGACAACATGGTCAAGGCAGCAAATAGGAATGGGAGCATACCTCCGATCAAGGCACCGACCAAGACAATTGGTTCGGAAATGTCCACCACATCAATGCCAGCCTTGCTCTTGAAGGCTGCCAACAAACTGAGGGAGGTCAATACGGCAGATCCAATGGCAAATCCCTTACCAGTGGCAGCCGTAGTATTTCCCAAAGCATCCAAGGCATCCGTGGTTTCACGAACATGGTCGTCCATGTCGGCCATTTCGGCAATACCACCGGCATTGTCGGCAATGGGACCATAACAATCCGTGGCCAAGGTGATTCCGAGAGTGCTGAGCATACCGACCGAACTCATGGCAATTCCGTAAAGTCCGGCAAGGTAATCGCACAGCAAAATGGTGACGGCCAAAATGATGACGGGAATGACGGTGGAAATCATACCGATTCCCAATCCTTGAATGACCACCGTGGCGGGTCCGGTTTCTCCGGCATCCGCAATGGATCGGACGGGCCAATGGGCGTAACTGGTAAAGTATTCCGTGGCTTGTCCAATCAAGACACCCGCCACCAAACCCAGAACGATGCATCCAAAGATGCTCCATCCAACAGCCTCGCGTCCCTTGAACAAGATGGTGACAATAATGGCCGCAAAGATGACTACCAAGATACTGGCAATGATGGTTCCCTTGTGAAGAGCCATGAGGAGGTCCTTTTGACTGGCGTTGGGGTTTTTGATTCCCACAAAAAAGTATCCAACCGCACTGGCAATGATACCAGAGGCAGCAATCCAAAAGGGAAGCATGATGCCCACCACATCGTCTTCGGCCAGGACCAAGGTGGCAATGATGGATCCTACAAAGGATTCAAAGAGATCAGCACCCATACCAGCAACATCACCAACGTTGTCACCAACATTGTCGGCAATGACTGCAGGATTGCGTGGATCGTCTTCGGGAATGTCCATTTCAACCTTTCCGACCAAGTCCGCACCTGAAAGACGGTAAGATAGAGAAGATAGATAGAGAAGATAGAGACAGAGAGTGAGTGAGAAACATATATGAAAATCAATAATGAACAAGCGATATATAATCATTGGTTCGTGTTTCGTACCAACATCGGCAGCCTTGGTATAAATGCCTCCCGCCACACGAGCAAAGAGAGCAATGGAGGAGGCTCCAAATCCAAAGGCGGCAAGGGCATTCGCCGAATAGGTCAAAATATCCGATTCCGATGCGGATTCGTATCCCAATCCCACCACGTAATACATGAGTGAGACTCCCAGCAAACCAAAACTGACCACCATGAATCCCATGACAGCCCCACCCGTAAAGGCCACTTGAAGGGCCGCGTTGAGTCCTCCCTTGTCCGCCGCCTGGGTGGTCTTGACGTTGGCATCGGTGGCCACGACCATGCCGTTCCAACCCGCCGACGCGGAAAGAAAGGCACCGACGATGAAACACAAGGAATACCGCATGCCGTCCAACTTTTCCGTTGAGACGGGGTCAAAGAAATACAAGCAAAAGAGGGCAATGGCGGTGACCACAACGAATCGAATCAAATAGCTGTACTCGGTCACCAAGAAAGATCGAGCGCCGCTTTTGATCTTGTCCGAGATGGAATTCATGAGGTCGCTGCCACGGGGCATTCGGTCCAACTAACCATGTGATGTGCAAGAGAAGGAAAGATAAAGAAGAGAAGGATAAGGAAGGAAAGGAAGAAAGACTTTTAGAACCATGCAATACAAGATACATAGGATATAGACGATGAGAACACAAAAAACATACCTTTTTTGTGAGAAAGAAAGACATGAACAGTCCAGCAACTCCAGCAACCAATGCAAAGGAGATGATTTCCAGGCTTCCCGCATTACAGGGAAAGGCATCCGCTGTTGGACAGGCTACTCCAAGAGGTGGTGTCGTCGACATTTTGTATTTGTAGTATTATTGACAGAGTTGGGTACTGTATTGGATATGAAAAATCTCGGCTGGAATACGGAGATGGAATGATTGAGATTGAATGAATCTATGCGTGTAACTTTGACTTTGACTTTGACTTAGACTTGACTGTAACAAAGAGGCTTTGAAAGAGAGCAAGTAGTCAACAAAAGAGCGCTTTTAGATATTTTATAACCACAGGATGACCCTTTCTTTTATCGTTCTTTTAGCGTGGCATTGCTAGGAGCGAATGTCGTACAGGTACAGGTTTACACACACCCAAGTTCAAAAAAAATCTTGCACTCGGACGTGAAGCTTGGATTTTCAATTTGGATCCGTTGAAAAAGACTGGCTCCACCAATCAAAAGTCGCCAATTGGGTTGGCGAGTGGGACTAAGTCTGATCGAAGACAATTCGGAATAGTCGAAAATGGAATACTGCATGAGCCGACCGCGTGCGCATCAGCCAATGCGCTTATTCGCTTGCAACGTCAGCGTCATCGGATCCTTTCGTTTTTGGCTTCTCCTACCAAGCAGCTACCAGGCGACGGTACAATACGACAAATTATTATACTGTGCGAACTGTAGCATGCTCCGTCGTTATTGCCATTATTCGTTCGTCTTCATTCTCCTCATTGAGCTAATAACCACAAGCCTCCTCATTACAACACCAACTCTAGCATTAGGACAGCAAATACACGTCAATAGTAGTAGTCCCAAAATGACCTGCGACGAGGATTACTTGAAGTCCCTCCAAGCGGCCGTGGATTCGGTCGAGTATCAAATGACAAATCTCGAACAAGGGCAAATTCAAGAAATCCTGAAAGCATTATCTCACGAGGAACAACAAGCTCTGGCCGACCAATACATGACACTACGACATTTGCGAGCCGAAAAGGGTGACGTCCAAAAAGCCATTGTGGCCTTGCAACGAACTCTGAAATGGCGGAACGAATTTCAAGTCCAAGATCTCAAACACTGTCTGCACAAACACAAACCACCACCAAACGTAGTAGGAGTAGAAGAAGAAGCAGAAGCAGAAGCAGAAGCAGATGAAGCCAAGGAAGAAAAAAAGGACGACGGCGACAATGCCAACAGCAACAACAACAAAAGCAAGGCATCATCACTCGATGAATTGGCCAGTGTGGTACGCAAAGAAAATGAAACTGGCAAATTGTACATTCGCGGTTACGACAAGGATGGGCGGGCGTTGCTGTATATGCGACCGGGTAAAGAGAATACCAATGACGAAGAGGGAAACATTCGTCATTTGGTCTATCACATGGAAAAATCCATCGCCTGTAGCGCCAAGAATGGGCAATCCAAAATTTGCATCGTCATTGATTACGACGGCTTTTCACTGCGGCATGCTCCCCCCATGAGTACCTCCAAATACACCCTGGACGTCCTACAAAAACATTATCCAGAACGATTGCATCGGGCTTATATTTGCAATCCTCCATGGATCTTTAAAGGATTCTGGAAGGTCATTTCTCCCTTTGTCGATCCCGTCACCAAACAAAAGCTCCAATTTTGTTCCTCGGCTAGCGATTTTGAAAAGGTGGTACACGACATGGGAGGTTTGGAAAAGGCAAACCAACATTTGGAAGAATGTGCGGGGGGAACCGTCAAGCCTAGTACCGATTTTGATACCAATGCCTACTTGTCACTCCCATTGGACATGTCCTTGGCAGAATAATATAAATATAATATAATAACTAGCAATGCCTACTAACTGAACACAGCAGCACACATTCATATATTTTCTATTTTAGTTCCGTCCATTTCTGATGCAATTCTTCAAAGGTCATGCTGGCACAGTGTGACGACAGAGTCTTGATCTTATCTTGACATGAACTTGCAGTAGTAGGTGGCAAGAGTGCGGCAATTTCGTCCAATAAATGAGAAAAGGCCCGTCGCTCCACTTGCTGAATCAATTTGCCATACTCCGATGATGGCTCGTAAAAGAATGCCGCTCCAAAGTCTGTCAACCATACAGCCGTTTCATCCTTGGTGCAAATCAAAATGTTGTGCCCATAAAAGTCTCCATGGCAAATTCCATGTTGATGCAATTTCATGAGTGCCGTTAGTAACTCATCCACCATGGCCAGGGCCCGCGTTTCGGAACATTGTTCGTCGTCTGGATAGGTATCACGCGAACAGGATTCCAAACTGGGCGGGTTGGCAAAGACCTTGTAGTCTTTCAGTAGTTCCATAATCAAGTTCCCCTTTGGAGTACGTCCGTGCACGTGGACCAAGGATTTGCATTCAAGAGAGGAGGCTACCATGGATACCTTTCGCTCTTCTTGAGGATTCCCATCAGACGTAATGGTGGAAAAGTATTCCTTGACGGCAACGGTAATCATCATGGACGGCGACGACGGCGTGGAAGAGGAGTCGTCACTAGTATTATCAGGATGGGCTCTCTTCTTTTTGGTACTAATACTATTGTTCTTGTTGTGGTTGTTGTGGTTGCTGGGCATCTTGGTCGTGTACCGACGAGTGACACCACTCGCACCCTTGCCCAATTCCACACCCACCGTGGGGTCATCCAAGGTCGTATCCTCATCCCAGACATCTAAATGAAGGAGTTCGTCTCCAGTAGTGGCCCCTCCTGCTACCTTGTCTAGAAAGGGATTGTCCGAAAGAGCTACCCACGCCAAATTGGGCAATTTCAATAGCTCCATTGGTGGTTCGGTCAATTTGTTGGACGCCAGTCGGATGAGTTCCAAGTTGTGACAGTTGGAAATTTCAGGTGGCAGCCTTTCTAGGCAATTGCCGCTAAGCATGCACTTTTGCAATTTCTTGCACCGACCAATGGTCGAGGGAAGTTCTTGGATCTTGTTGTCGGTCAGAATGAGCCATCGGAGTTGTTCTTGCAGAGCATTGGGATGAATGGATTCCACCTGATTCGATTTGAACGAAATCATTTGCAAGTTGGGACACTGGCCAATCACTTCAGGAATCTCCTGGAATTTATTTTTCATGCAGAACAGAATGGATAGATTAGGAAGCAACGTGGCCAATGACGAGGGCAGAGTCGAGAGGCCAGCCTGAAACAGATCCAACTTTGTCATTTGCGTCCAATTGTCATTGCCGGAAAGATCAGGTGTTTTGGAAAGCTTGATTAAGCTTCGAATTTCCTCCTCTTCATCTTCTTTCTTGTTTGCAACCGTAGACATGCTGCTGCGAATTTTACTACTACGGTAGAGCAAGGAGGCTGTTGTAACGCTTGACAGTACCAGTGCTGTACAGTAGTTGTGAGTTGTTGTGCAGTCGCTATTTTTGGAATATGCCGGCAGGATGGAGAAAGCGCTAAACAATACCCCTTTTTTGTTGAAACAACACTGTTGAATGAATCGGCACTTGCAAAAGTTTCTTATTATCACAGGTGTACTAGCAATGAAATACTACTAATTCTGCCAACATCGTTGACTTAGGATAAAGCTCTCACTGGATGATAATGGATTCCCAAGAACTCAACTACACTTGGAATCACAACGTTCGATCCACAGACGCACCGGCATTCTTCTCGGTCTCCTGCCTGTCGCTTGGCATCGTCCTTGCTCCATCCACCCTTGAGTTGCTTTTTCCACAAGGCTATTTCCAACATCGATGAAGCTATCATGTCTTTGTAACATGAAAAGATAGAATATACCTCAGAGTACAAAATGTTCCTCCGTCCTTCGTCATGATCTTCATCGAGTATAGTAGTAGCTTGTACCTTTCTTTGCATATCCTCCACCCAGGACTGATGTAGCACCCCAACGAGCAAGTGCATCGACCATCCATCTTTGCAGCGATGTTTGGAGCAACGATGCACTAGTTTTAGTCCAATTGGACATCAAATAATCCAGTGGTCGTTTGCCATTGGCGTCTCGGCATTCCACAGCAATACATGTACTGGAATGGTATGGATAATCGTCTACTAGCTAGAAGGACTTTTGAGAAGGTCTTGCCTTGGCTCAGCAGTCGAGAAAAGGACGTGGAATGGCGTCATTCCGAAGCCATCCACGAGCGGTAACTTGTCGCCCGTTGTCTTTTGAATAACAGACGGAAGAAGTTCTTGGTCGGTGGTGGTGGTGGAGGCATGGAAGTAGCAGATTTTGTGGACAGGAAAGCTGTCAAAACGGCATATCAATCAAGCCGTCGACAATACTATCTGCTTCTTCACCAAAACGTTCTTCCAAAAGTACACAATTCTTAAAAGCCGATCGGTGGGCTTTGGACCCTCGCGGAAGCACAATGTTTGCAAGAGTGCAACATTTATCAAAGGATGCAATTTCAATCTCGATCGGTTTTGAATCCAGAGGCACTGTAAGGGTAAGCAAAGAGCTGCAAAATATGAATGCTTCATGACAGATACGCTCCAATGAGCTTGGTAGGTTCACAGTCTGCAGGGAGCGACAATTGGAGAACCCACTCCTGGGAATCTCCATCATGGACGTTTCTTAACAAATCTGCTTCAACCAATTTGTGGCAATAGTCAAAGGCAGATTCACCAACAAAGTACACAGACGAAGGGATTTTGATTCGTTCAAGTGAAAGGCAACATTGGAAAGTGCCGTGGCGAATTGTCTTGAGCCGATGGGGCGAAGACAAGGAACTTTGAAACTCGACTTTCGTCAGGAGATGGCAATAACTCTCAAACGACATGTCTCCAATAAATTGTATGGTGCTGCATATCTTGATTTCCAGCAAGCTTTGGCACCCCAAAAAAAGCAAAACCAAAAATAGTGATCAATCCCTCGGGCAATGTCACCTGCCGCAAACGCCTACAGTCAGTCATAGCAAAACCGCGTTGGCAAAATCTGAATGCCTGGATTCACGATCAGTTTTCGAACATGTTTCGGTACCTTTTCTCCCTGATTTCCTTGGTATTGGTACCTGGTACACGCTTGCCTTCATCGTTCAAGTACAGTATATGGAACTTGCAAATAGACACAAATGAATGCGCCTATCTGTAGGTAGCTTGCGGTGTACGTGTACCGGTATGGTGGGAACCATGCTCTCTCATTTTCGATTTTTCGAATCTGTTTGAGAAAAAGAACCCGGTTGTTCAGTCTTCGATCAAATCTTTGTTGCTTCATCCGTTGTTGTGGTGTGTGGTTCCGATAATATCAAATACAATCATGTCGCTATCCCATCTATTTTGCATATTCTTCCTCTACACAACCCTAGCTCCCACTGTGACATGCCTTGACGGCGGTGCCACTACTACAGGCAAAGCACCATCCAAACGTACTCTTTCACCATATGACAACGATGGCCATCCGACGGACTTGGGATCTTCCTTTCCTCGTCTGACATATGGAACGGCATGGAAGAAGGACGCCACTACAAGCCTCGTCTATCAAGCCATTCATGCTGGATTCCGTCATGTGGATACTGCCTGTCAGCCCAAGCATTATCACGAGGCGGGAGTCGGAGAAGGGTGGACCAAAGCGGCCCACGAACTTGGTTTGGATCGTTCCCATGTCTGGCTGCAAACCAAATATACGTCCGTAAGTGGTCAAGATCCCAGCCGTATTCCGTACAACCCAGAAGTATCTCTGCGGGATCAAGTCCACCAATCCCTGCAAGCTTCTCTCAAGAATTTGCAGACAAACTATTTGGATTCCTGGGTCATGCACGGTCCCGAATCCTCGTGGGAGGACAATTTTGAAGTCTGGACAGCAATGGAAGAAATGGTGGATGCTGGATTGGTGAAACAAATTGGAATTAGCAACTTTTACGATCCGGGAGCGGTGAAATACTTGTATGAAAATGCCAGAATCAAACCAGCCGTCGTCCAAAATCGATTCTATGGAGATACTGGCTACGATGTGCAAATTCGGCAATTTTGTTTGGATCATGGGATGGAATACCAAAGCTTTTGGACGTTGGGTGCCAATCGACACTTTTTGGGAGACAGTAGGGTCGTACGGTTGGCGCAAAAGAGGAATCTGACTCCGGAAGCGATACTCTATGCGACCGCTCTCAAATTGGGTATTACCCCCTTGGATGGGACTACCAGCGTACAACACATGCAAGAAGATATGGCCTTGTTGCGGCGGCTGCGAGAAGGAGGAGAGGAAATCATATCGGATAGGGAAATTAGAATCCTGACAAGAATTCTGGGAATTCCAAGCGAAGGAGAAGCTGATAGTATGGACGAAGATGAAGAAGAGGAGGAGGAAGAGCTGTAGTGGCTTGTAGCTTTCTATAGCATCATCATCATTATCATCATCCTACTGCAAGAATACCGTTAATTCTTTGGTAGATCGTCACGCAGTCCAATACTTCTAATTGTCAACAATTCGATGCTGGTCCATTCCTTCTACGCACGCGGTACTGATACGAGTACAACACAAACGTAAATGAAGCGAACATACAATAAACTCGAACAAGAATCTAATATTGCCTATTTGTGTATAATACTGTTTACATCATATGAATCATTCAATAATTTCTAGTCTTTTGTCGTCCCTTTAGGATAGTTAAATTCTCCCTTGTATCCCATTCCCTCCAGTTGCTTCTTGACAATCCGAAAGGGCGAATAATCCTTGGCAATGCGAATGCCAGCCTCTTGACATGCTCTTCGAACATCTGGTTTCTTCATTTGCAAGACGGCCTTTTCAAAGGTCATGTACTCGTGACGAGCCTGGTAGTTCTTTCCTGGAACAACGTAGGCACAGGGATAATTGTATTCGTCCATGAAATCTTCGAGAATGTCGCCATAAATCTCCAGCAAAATGGGGACACCGCTCCGCATCTGACTGACGGCACGTTGGACATTGCCAAACCTCAGCTTGGCAGGGTTGCCAGCCTTTGCTGGAACAACTAGGACATCAAACTTCCAAAAGAGCTCAAAGTAAAGTCGACCAGTGCCTTGGTCTGGATCCGACAAAAGAGCGTCCACACGTGGTTTCTCTTTGGGTTCGAAATAGTCTTGGTACCACAATTCAATACGATATTTTTCAGAGATACAAGTGTATTGCATAGAAGGAGAATGCAAATAGGCGCATTCTTCATCTTCGTTGGTCCACAAGGTTCCCAATTTCAATACTTCGACCGGATGGACAGGTGGAAGAGGAACCACGGGAAGATCTGTACTGGCCATCATATCTTGAGGGAAACTATTGTACCAATGCTCCACCACATGGAATGTGCGATTTGAAAATATATCGTTCCCATGATGAATGCTCTGAACAATTGCATCGTACGCAGGATCAAGGTTCTCATGGGTAATGGTGTAGGAATCCACCACATCCATAAACATCTTGCCAAACCTTTCTTCCGGTGGAATTGCTCGTTTGATGACAACTGTAGCATCAAACTTCTTGGCGACGAGTTCCGCATTATCACCCTTCCATTCAGGGTACAATTGATCTTGAGGAACTACTGTGACTTCAACGTTCTTGCCAAAGTGTTCGGCCAAACGTTTGAAGGTATGACAGCGAATTTTGTACGATCCTACTTTAACGTATCGCCGCGTCGTAGTACAAAGAATCTGAAATGGCTTGTCTTCCACTGCTTCCGCTATTGCATGTTGGTTGAATAAAAAGGCCAGCAAAACAACCCCATAAACTAATCTTGAGATGGCACTTTGCAGTCGAATTCGTTGTGTTGCTGGTAACATTCTTTTGTCGTTTTCGTTTGCTTCTGGAGTTCTTCTAGCAAATGGATTCCGAAACTTTCAAAGTCTAGTGCTGTGCAAAATTAAGGGGCGAAGTATATTGTTGCAAGTACTAACTGATATAGCACGAGTATGACAATAATGTACAGTACATGTACTGTATTTGTCTCACAAGTTTGGTTGTTGCTATGCTATGCCATCCATTGAGTAATTGCATTGGTTTGACCTGGTCGAATGAAAAATCAGGCTGGCTCGCGATTTTTTAAAAATGAAGGGGTGCAATTAACAAGGGGGGAATTATTGGAGGGATAATCATGAAAGGGGGTCTTGAGGACTATGCAAGGCCTTCACTGCTGAGCTTGAATGAATGAATGAATGAATTATTCGCTTGATGAAACGGTACAGACATAGCTTCGGCTAGAAAATCTTATGCTACTGTACCATGAAAACTGTTAGAAGGTATTGGGACGATATGAGCAAGAGAGTAGAGCTCTTAGAGATAGATAGATATAGAAGCAGTGTTATTGCTAACCGACTCACTCGACTATATCAACATATCTTCCGTCTCCACTTTCGCCGATCAGGAGGTTGCAAGATGATAAAATGAATTTAGTTGCAACTGACACAAGGGGAAGTGATCTGCCGCACGATTGACTGCTCGACCACAAGTGCGTCCAAGGGGCTCAAAGTGCAACAGCCACCACCTTCATCAGCACTTCGTCTTCGTAAGAGCTTGAATCAATCAATCAATCAATCAATCACATGATGGACTAGTAGTAGCTTCGTCTAGATAATCGCACATGTACGAGAAGCAGTATTTAGGAGCTGCGTTCATGGTTACTTTCTAGCTAGTACTTTCTAGAAAGCAAGAACAACAAGGCAATCGATACAAAGAAAGCAATCATCCAACCCACTCACTCAATCGGCTCACTCAGTCTCCCCCTGTTACTGTTCGTGGACACGTAGCACGTACCATACATGTACCGTACGATACTTACATAGGTACCTTGTACTGTAACGAGATCTATGGCACCATGCATCTTCGGGGGATATTCATATTGCAGGCGGTCCCGAAACGAAGGCTCCCCGACCACGAGTGAAGATGTGCATCATTGGAGGTCCCAAATGCAGCCTCCACGGAACCCTACGGGAACTGGAATACATAGAAGAACCATTTTTCTGACGTCGGAATATGTGTGTCATATAAAAACTGACAGAACCAAGAAAGTGCACATTTAGTACTTCGTTCTTTCTCCACTGACAATCCGCCACATATTACCCCGAAACGAGGCGTGGGACTTATAAATGTGAGGAACATGTTGTTCGTGCGCGCAGTAACCAAACGAATAACAGTAACCCTAAATTTGCCGATAACAGGTAGATTTTGGTACCGTACTTCGAGTTCAAAACGTAACAGAACGTCAGCGGCAGTGTTTTCACTACGATAAAGCATTTTTTCCCGTCAATCCCAATATGATATGAAGTAGAACTCTCAGACCGCAATCGATGTCTGGAAACCGGGCGTGTACGTTAAGTATGCTTGAAAGACTCTAAAGTTCGCTTAGTCGCCACCATTCGAGTCGAAACGAACCATAAATATAACCCACATTCAGAGGGGCGTAACTACACGAAATCCTGTAGAATTAACTGGCCAGCGACGGTGAAATAGCGAGGTCTTCTCTTTTTCGCGCTTTGGTTTTTCATAGTGCTGCGTAGAAAACGGGGAGATAAGTGTGTGCGAGCAGCCATAAATAGTTTGTTTATTTTTTGGGTTCTAATATCCCTTGGTGGATCCCACCTGCCTGCAAGTGCTGACCAGGACCGAAAAACCATTTCACCAAACCTCATCACTTGCACTCACAACTCACAACCAACAAAAATACCCAAAACCACAACATTCAATCATGAATAATATGCAACAAGTCATCCATCAAAACAGTGCGACTGTGGCCTATATCCGACAACACGATTACCCTAGTGCCCTCGAGTCTTCAGCGTCCGTACTGTTACTCCTGCAGCATCTGGATACAACACCATCTGGGACCACTTCGACGATACCTTCTCCCCTTGATTGCTTGGACCAATGCATGCTTCTCTCGGAAGTAGACACAACCAGCAATGATAGAGCCAACAGGAAAACTGCGTTTGTCTACGAACAAGGTATTCTACTGCCGCCAACTGCGACCGAATACACCATGGTGTCGGCGGTAGTCATCTTCAACTCGGCACTTGCCCATCAACTATTCGCGCAACAACAACAAGACAAGGACGCTTCGCAAAGGTATCTCTTAATGTCAAGACGATTATATGGATTGGCCTATGGGGTTCACAGTCGGGCCTGTCACAGCATGTTGTTTCAATTCGTTGTCATCAACAACATGGCCGTGATTGACCAACAGACGGGCAACCCGGAACAGTCCACGCAGTACTTTAAGCATCTGATGACGGTACTGTTACTGATGGTGGACCAAGGCTGCACATCACGGCTGCGTCACTTGCGCGGCTTTACGAGGAATGTTCCATCCTCTGCAGAATCTCAGGCAGCTGCTGCAGCGTAATTCAGTTGGGACATCATCCTACTATCAGGAGATAACCCTATCTATCAGAAAGACAGACAAATGTAACAAAAGATGAATGTATGTACGAGTATGCAACCGGAATATCTTTATTTTATTTTAAAAGCAACCCTTTACATGAACAACAACAATATATTGTCTACCACTCAAATTCTCGATACATGGTTTGGTATGGGCATCATCCATCAAACACAACCAACTCGTCTCACAAATTCATAAAGTCTTGCGCAGAAAACAGCTAGCAACAAACAGTATGGAGTTGATATCACACAAGAAATATCAGTGTCAAGTGTCAATCAAGTGTCAATCTCAGTGAGAGAATAAACTTGCACGTCACGGCTACGTCACTTGCACAGCTTTACTCGGCAATATTTGAGAATCATAGCAGATAGTTGAATGCAACACGACATGAATGTATAGTAAAAGAAACGTTCCATAATTTCTTTATCTTCAACTAGGATTTACAGGATCCTTCCAAGTTGTAGAGCGGTCAGAAGAGATGACAACAACATCGTCTACAACTCAGGATCTCTGAATAAATCCCTCTCATTCCAACTGGATGGAGTGATGCAAAATATCCTACCAGTCAGGTTCTCTGAATGGATCCCTCTCGACTGGCCCTTCAGTCGATCCATATGCCATGACATTGGGAATCACTACATTGGCTCCACATTTGACACGACCGACAGACTTGACAGAGTGGCATTGTGACATCCTCTTCCATAGCGCAAGTTCCAAAATCGAAGTCACCTCGATGCGTGTAACATACTCCACCACCTCTCGAAGCTCTTGCATTGCCGCAAGCCGGTCGAAGTAGCTGTCAGCCCAGCCATCCTCTGAGAGTATCTTGTGGCAGCGTTTCATTTCCCACTTCTTCTCCAAACCCACACTTGAAAGGTATGCCTTGATCCGATTCAAAATCATCTTGATCAATGGGATGGACTTGGTGCATCTCTGATCGATCAACAAGTAATCCATCATGGTATTGTTCTGCTTATCCTTCTGAAACAACAATTCAATAGGGTAGTGATCCAAGAGTACAGTAAGCAGATCTTCGCGAAGGTTTGCGGAAGTGGCAAAGACATGGAACGGGGTCAGGCCGAATCTATCGACCAGTTCCTCCTTTTCTCCAGAAGCTTGTAGATCGAGAATCTTCTGAGTCAGTTCATCGCCCATTGTCTCGGAATCATGGTAGCAGGCTTCGTGCACGGGAAGATTCGAGTATCTATTTAGCAACGATTCAGCAACGTTGTCAAAAAGTTGGTCCTTTTCTTCACACCCATCAAAGAAGTCGCCCTCGTTCTTGTTATTGGCATAAAGAGGGTTCTCTGGATTCTCTCATAGTGCGTATGCCTTGCCGGCAACAAGTTCCAACACCGATTGAACGTAGACTTTGGAATTCGTCCACTGGTTCCGCTTCCTTCGCTAGACCGAATGGAGATGTTCATCAACGAATCACAGCCAAAGAACGCATGGTCTCCCCACTCCATCCATTCTGAGCAATGCTTTGACATTTCGACCACAAGAAGCGATATGCAGCCTGAGAACGACGAGCTTCCAATCTTTTTCACAGTCATTGGGAGTGATACTCCCATCAAGCCTGTGCAGTTTCGTAGAGCGTCGTCTTCAATTCTTTGTAGGCCAATCGCTAGCTGTAGCTCCACAAGCGAGTAACAGTTGAAAAATGTTCCACCTTCGATGCTTGCGGCCGCAGGAATCGACATCTTTGTGGACAATTTGTGGCACTGATAAAACGCAGAACCTCCTAGCGACTTCAAATTTTGGGAAACTGGAATATCCTTCAATTCGCCACATCCAGAAAATGCATCCTGTCCGATGACTTCAAGGGTGGAAGGTGTAGGGAATTTGATCAAGGAGTCACAATCGCAGAAGGCATGTTGACCGATTACTTTCAACCCTTCGTTCAATACAAGTTCCGACAGATGTCGACACGAAGCGAATCCGTCTGATAGAATTTTCCCCAAAGTGGGTGGCATTTTTGCGGTTTGGAGCCATCGACAATGTGAAAAGGTCATTTCTTCAATCACAGTTAGTTTGGTCTTGGACAAGTCAGCATCTTGGAGCGATCGACAACCTGTAAAAGCACGTTTGCCTAACAGCATCACATTAGCGGAAAGACAAACTTCGCCGAGGCTTTCACATTCTTCAAAGGCCCCGTCACCAATGCAGATTAGAAGGCTCTTGTTCATTCCATCTAGTTCTTCTTCGAACAAAACCTTTGCCAATTCTGTGCACTGTTGAAAGGCACGTGCTTTGATAAAGGCCACAGAAGATGGCACCGGAAAGAACTGAAGACTGGAGCACTGTAGAAAGGCTTCTTCGCCAATGCAACTTAAAGAACCGAACTTGGGAAATTCCACATCTCTGAGAGCGGAACACAATGCAAATGCTCGATTTCCAACTTCAACGACAGTGTCGGGAACAAGAATTTTTTTGAGGGCCGTACAGGATTCAAAAGCACTCTCGCAAATGGATGTGAGGCCATCCATAGCTATCACTTCGACCAAGCGTTGGCAGTCTTGAAAGGCAGATTTGCCAATGACGCTGACACAAGAATCTATGACCATGTGCTGCGTTACTGTGTCATTCCCCTGCTTGAGCTTTTCACTGTTTCTTCCCACATAGATGAAAACGCATCGACGTCGTTTGTTTTCATTTTCAGTTTGATTTTCGCTTTCATCTTCATCTGAAGTATCGGATAGGCTTCGTAAGCGATCGTCGTTCATGTTGAGCTGTGACTTCGTTTGATGTCAACAACTTTACCGGATGTTCTAACGTAGACGAACGAATCATTGGATTCCTTTCATCATACTGACGACGGTCGAACGACCGTCTCAACATCATTGCTCCGCAACACCAAGTCCGATCAATTTATCGAACTTGTGTGCGAGTATACATCAAGAAATACGTTTATTTCTTTCTTTCCCTCCCTCCACATCCCTGTTAGGCCATGCATTGCTGCAATTTGCATCAATGCATGACCTAGTAGGCAAGCAAGTCTCTGATATTCCGCTTTGCGGGATATCAAAGACTGGTCTTCTGGAACCGCACGCTTCGCGCGCAATCCAAAAGACCAGCTTCACACCACAACCCACCAGAGTCACACCAAGAAAGAATCCCTCACGGAAGAAACCAGGCGGTAGGCGCCAGTTGGCTATCTTCGATAGGATAATAAATGCGATTTGACAGAACCGCGCCATTTTTGTCGGACAACGAAGTGAAACCCAAACGGACACGAAATGGAAGAGGCAAGGACAACTGACCACACATAGTACGAGTGTCAAAATTGCACCATTGGTACTCACTTGGATGATCTTCTTGAATGATTTGAATACGCCAGAAGATGATGGAATTCGGGTAGTTGAAGGAATCCATAAATCTGGAGTCGATTGTACCGAAGACGACAAGCCATGAAGCATCCATATACTAGCTACCGCACCAGACCCAGTTATGGAGCGGCAGTAATAGCTACTGCACCATACCCAGTTATGTGTTTCAAGTCACGTATGGCCGTCGGCTAATGGAACAGAAACATGATTAATCATGAATCATCATGCATGTGTTGCCAAAACAAGTCGAAAAGCAGTTGAAAACTGAAGAACAAGACGGGGCCGATTCATAACTAAGTAATAAGCTAGCCATACTGGTGCTGCAGATAGTACGGTACAAGCATTCGGCCCAGGCCAAGGAGACTTATCTCTTACTATAGTTGAGAAAATAGATTTTGGTCCTTCGTGACTGACGTCCAACACGAATGAAACGGACACGCGGCATCATCGATCGCCGGACATATAAAAACCTGTATCGTGAACCTTCCAACCCCGCCTGTTCAACATATTACTTGCACGCCATTGTCGCAACCACCACTCTCCACTGACTTGTACCGTGGACCTTCCGACATCTGTACATTGTCAATTGCTTCAGGAACTCTCACATCAATTCTACAAGAAGGAAATGATATAGCACACAATAACACTACCCGTCCTTTCTGAGTTTACCAAGTCCTTCCACAATCAGCATCTGCAATGAAGATGATTCTACGACACTGCCTTTTCTTCATTATTGTTGGGCTGCACATTGTTCCAAGAGTCTCCTGTCAGCAGCAAGCTCGGCGCACTGCCTCACATCGAGGATCATCATCCAAGCCGAATAATACGCGACAGGATCGACAACGACGACGGCGTGACGACGACTTTGAAGACCGACGTTATGGGTCACGTCAAGATGATAGTAGGAGATCATCATCAGATAATAGACATGACAAGACGCGGCAAGACTCCTTTTGGGCCGAAGAGGAGACATCTACGGCCATTGCAAAAATTCTCAGGAAAACGAAACCAAGAGGACTCATTCATGGAATATGGAAGGCATCCCAAAGCACGACGCTTGGATTCCTGATTGGAATGACTTGCTTAATTACCTTTCCATCCGCTTCATTATTGTTGGTAGGATTGCAAATGAAGCCACTGCTCCTGTCGACCATTTTGGGCAGCGTCATGGGTCTTTCAGCGATTAGCGTTGGAATCTGGAATGGCTTGTACCATTGCTATTGGGGGCTGGTCCAAATGCCAAAGTCGATTCAATCTTGGTGGAAGGGAAGTGTTTGGAACCCCTATGATGGTGGTAGTTGGCAGATGTACAATTTGTGGGAGCATCAACAAGAACTTCAGAGGGAACAACTAAGATTATCATCCTCGGAAAACGACAAGCCCAACTACTATCAGATACTAGAAGTTCCTTCCAGTGCCAGCAAATCGGAAATCAAACGAGCCTACTATGTCAAGGCCAAGGCATTGCACCCGGACAAGAATCCAGTACAATCACAAGAAGCCGAAGAAGCGTTTTTGCAACTGCAAAAGGCCTACCAAACCTTGTCGGACGAAGCCCAACGCAGTTGGTACGACGAAGTGGGACAGACCTCATCGCCGGCACAAGACAAGATTGCTGCCATGTTTCATCCCAATCTCTTCTTTTCCATTCTCTTTGATTCAAATTCCCTCCAACCCTTTGTGGGAAATTTGGCCGTATCCTCTTGGACTCTATCCTTGATTCAGTTGGGCCTCTTTGCCAATGAGGATGATGATGACCACGATCCGCAAGAAAATGTGCAAAGGCTGATTGTCATGGTGGCGGACTTGCAACGAAAGGAACAAAAACGTCAAGTGGATGTGGCGATGCATTTACTAGCCACAATCGAAACCTTTACCTCCTCTGGAAGTGCTGGTGCTGGCCAAGAACAAATACCAGACTTGGCGTTTCGACAATATTGCAAGCAACAAGCCAAGGCCATATTGGAAAAATCATTGTTTCGCGACGCAAGGCTTTTGCAATTGTTGGGCGAACGATTGGAACTGGCGGCTCGACAATGGGAAGGAAAAAGTCCCTTTGGATTGGTGAAGAAAGGTTGGTTGTGGACCAAGAGTTCCGCGGGCCTACTATCGCATCGACTGGAATTTTACAAGGGTATTTTTGGATTGCTCCAATATCTATTGAAGTATATGGATTCCATTCGACAAGGTGACTTTTCCTTCATGGGGGAGGGGGAGGGCCAAGATGGAGTAAAGCATGACGAAGCGGAAGCTCCTTCCAAGGAAATGGTTCCCAAATTGTGGAGACTTTTGTGGCATTATACGACGTTGGATGTTCAATCGACGGTGGATGGAGCCAGTTGGAAACTGTTGAGCGATTCAAGTGTTAATCGATCAGAACAGGCGAACCGTGCCAAAGCACTCCGTATCATGGGACAAGAATTTGCCAAGGTTGCCAAGGAAAATGATGGGATGATGACGGCAATGATGCAACCGTCGGGAATGAATCATCATTTGGGAGAGGAGTTCGATGCTGAAATTATTAAAAACGAGGATGAAAATCTATCATTTACATTTGTAACTGACCCAGCGATGCGGTTGGAGATTGCAATGGCCGTTGCAAAGGATCAGGTACGTGTACGTCGTCTACGTTGAAATATATATCGTGAAAGATTCAGTTTTGGATCGGAAGATTCTATGCTTCGCGTTTTGGACCAACTTCCAGAACTAACGAATGCTGACGTCGCGTTCTGTTGTTTCTACATATTTTGCATGATTTTCCTCGGCATCTTTCGCCGTTGTGATGTCGTCGCGTGCATTTTCGTTTTTATTCTTTTTGTGGTGGATATTGTCTGACACGCGCACACATCAGGTTGGTGATAGCCCAATCAAGTTAAGGAAGAAAGTACACGACTATCTAAAGCAACAAGAGAAGACGATAAAACGATAGAGGAGACAAGCATATTTTAGCAGCCAAGAACTGTACAGCACCAATAATACTAGCTAACAAACTTGTTGAAGTCGACTGACTCCTCACTTTATTCACCTTTCTTGAATCTTTTGCATGTACAGTAGCAGCATCGTCAAGTGTGGTGTCTATTGGTATGAGCTAAAATATTTGGTTGATTGCTGTATGACTGACTCACTCACTCACCCTTTCTCCAATGCACAGGTGCTTTAGTCCGCACTCCCCGCCAATTCAATCTGTCTGATCAGATGTATTTTTTTTAAGAGTACCGAGTACCTGGTACCAGTACGAGTACCGTTACTCCCCGATACCAAGATGCCAAGGTCTGTTTGATCAGCTTAGAAAATTAGAGGACACGCACGAGGTACCAACTAGCACAACCAAGAGGTCGTTGATGCTAATTCCATCCTCCGCTTCGGAACCGTTGGAGTCGCCAATTGAAAGTGTTCTGACAACGGAAGAATCTTCTCCTTTCAACAATTCTGATTGAATGTGTTTCGATTCGCCATGGTGTTGTCTTATTTCTAATTTTGTGTTGACATTAGTTTGGTTTCCGAACGGTGTGTCAACAGTATTTGGGAGTGTCAAAGAGCAGATGGCGACCACGTGGTTCGGAAAGAACCGATTCTTCCTTCCGTTGATTAGCCGGCAGTTGTAAAACACTGGGATGGCGCGATTATTCAATTTCTACTGGTTTTGTTGTAGTTCGTACGTCACATCCTACCAAGATTCAATGCGCGTAGCCATCTGACCGACAGACAGCTCCGAACCACATGAATCATCAGTCAAACCTAACTTACATCATCGAATCATTTTGTCACTTCATGGCAAAAGAATACCAAGAATAGTCAAAATTGAAACAGCTGACTTCTCATCGCTCAACGCATACTATTATAACAACAACAGAAATAAAACACTCATATTGCAGATTCAATCCATCATCAACGACACAGCCATTATGATATTTCGCAAACGCCAACACGCCATTTACCAAGAACCCAATGTCTTGGAATCTGTGGCCCAATATCACCACTTGTTTCGATTGCCCATTCTATCGTCTCCTACTTTGCCGAGCACGGAACGGCATCAACTACAAGTATCCTTGCTTCGAGAAGAAATTGAAGGACTAAAGACTGCTATTGTGGAAAGCAAGAGTGATTTAGTTCCAGCTGCAAACGCCTTTGCTAACTTGCAATACGCTATTGGAAGAGCCGTCTTGGAATTTGGTAAGTGGCTACTCGCCAATGTACTAGTTGCAACTTATTGATTGATTGATTTCAGTCATGCTCACCATCCTCTTTGCTATTTCCTATATGCTATTTTATTTACAGGAATGGGCGGCTTGTTTCTGAGCATGTTTGATGAAGTCCATCGTGCACACATGTCCAAGATTTGCAACAGCCGATCGGAAGCCGAGGCAACTCAACGGTTCCATCGCAGCAAGAAAGGAATAGAGAGCGTCATTGAGACTGTGGTCCCTTCCTTGGGCCCAGAAGACGCCGCCACTCAATCCAAGTGGCTCGTGCTCCGATCCAAGGACCACAAGATGCTGAAATCTGTCAAATACGCACCTGCCAACCTGAGTATCATTGTGACTCGGGCCATGGAAGCTGCTGCACAAAGTGCCTCTTCCTCGGACAGCTGTAGCTCGCATCAATCGCTGCCACTCTTTTTCCTCATGGCATCGCCTGGAGCACTTTCTTCTGCAGCGGAACATCACGCTGCCTTGAATGGTTCCATGGCGCCTTCCACCACGCCAAAGTTGCCAAACAAGGAACGTTGCCAATGGCGACTCAGCATTTTGGAATCGAAACTAAAGGAACTCGAAAACGCCCTGGCCGGAGAGGAATCCGTCTCGGATGGCAGTGACGACCACAAGGAGACTTTGATTCGAGTGGCTCACTGCTTGACCAACATGCAATACAGCCTGAGTGCTTCCGTTTTGGAATTTGGAATGGCATCCCTCTTTCAATCCATCTTTGATGAAGTCCATAGATCTCGCATGAGCGAGGCTTGTGAGACGGTGGAAGAAGCTCAAGAGACGATTCAACACTATTTGAAAGAACAAGAACGCAATCAGGAACCAGCACCATCTGTACCTACTGGAACCATTATGGAGAGCCCGGAAGAAGATGATGAAGACGAAGATGACGACTCTGAATCCTCCGACTACTACTATCGTCAACAACAGATTCAGCACGGTGGCATGAAATGGCTTGTCTACCAACAAGGAAAGAACAAAGTTCTAAAGTCGGTCAAGCATACGCCTGCCAACTTGAGTGGTATTTTGATCCAATCTTCCTGCTAGGTCGCTACTACCTCTACCACTACTACTACCACTTTTGCCAAATGAAAAAAAGACAACGAGCACCAACATCGAAGCGCAGTTGTAGATAAGGACACACACCATTGAGACCTTTTTACTGCGGCGGCGGCACACCATAACGAATCACCACCAAGACTTCGTACCTACAGCACACTACATGCATGCACCAGCAGCATCCTCTCCTCATGATAGACGAACATCCACATCCACAACAACAGCTGAAATCACCCTTAGAGATTTCTCAAGCTAACAGCTACTACTAGACAACGCTAACTAATTACACATTCATTCAACTCTTGACACTTGATACGACTCCTCTTTTGAAACACACTTCTTGAAACTGCATTCCCACTCTCGTTTCTACGAGTAGACCACACAAGCCAACTGTTGCACTGAATTTTGATTGGCGATGGCTACACCTACTGGAAAACGTTGCACTTCTGGTTTCCGATGATACTGTATATTGCGATAAGTTGACACGCTTCTGATTAGGTGACGCCAAAAAATCGAAACGGTCGGAGTCGGTTTCGGAATTCCAATCCAAATGGCGCGAATTTTTTCGTCCGCTTTGGTGCGTGAGCCCCCCAAAAGGAGATCGTCCGTTTTGGTCCGTGAGCTACTAGGAAAAAGGCGCGAAATGAACTGGATTTATCCTATTATATTGTCATTGCACCAAATAAAACTTGTTCAAACTTTGGCTCCTTGTTGTGGTTGGCTGTCATCATCATCAATAGAAGCAACATCACCACCACCATGTCATCGTTCAAACGAAGAACTCCGGCAGTGCCTTTGAGAAAGGAAAATCTGGACACCACAAACACCAAGCTCCTGAAACTTGACCAATCCGATTTGCAACGAAGCACCCGGCCCAAATTGATGCTCATGGCCATGCCAACTGAAGGCGAAACGGACGTCTTGCAAGCCATGAAGGAAGGAAAATGCAGCATATTGACTAACGACGAATCGTCCGCTTTGGTATTGCCAGATTCTTCCTATCTTTTGACTAAAATTGATACCACAAACACCTTGGTCATGTATCCACTCCACAACAACAAAGACGGGGCCGATGCTAGTGCTACTAGTACTAGTACCAGTACCAGTACTAGTACTAGTACTCGTACTAGTACTGCTTCAGAAAGCAACAAGAAAGCCAAATTGGAATCATCATCATCATCAGCAGCAGCAACAGCAACAGCAGATGACCAAGAACAACTTGTTCGATTGGTACAACCAGGAGGTTCCGGGGCATCCTTTTTGTCTCTGACGAGAAAACAAATAAAACCCAAAGATGTCCAAGCTTTGTTGCTGACGAATAATAATAATAATACAGAATCACCTGATACAAAGGGAGTCGCTGCAGTGTCAACAAAAGCAGCAGCAACTCAACCAGGTAGTCATACGATCAAAGATTTGTCTTCGGCGTTGCAATGTTCTACTTCTGAAGTGGAAGCCGCCATGGATTGTTTGCCCTGTTCTGCACTGCCAGCCACAACAACTTCATCCAGCAACAACAATACCAAAAACCAATTATCTTTCCGTCTTTGGACCGACGAAGAGTATTGGAATGCCAAACGAGCCTTGGTCGAAATGTTGTGCGAAGAAGTGGATGCCGAAGACGAGGATTTGCCACCCGAACAGTTTGCCGATTTAGTGGCCCAACGCATCATCTTGCCGGATGATTTGGTGTTTGCAAATGATGATGATGACAATAATAATGATAATAATAATGGCGATGCTGCCAAGCAGTGGAAACTGGAAATGGCCAAGAAAATGATTCTCTTGGGAACGATTGTCTCAAAGAATCGTCGATACTGGGACAAGCCAAAGATTGCAAAGTGGGCCTTGCACGATTTGGTCTTGACGAGTCGTCAATCGACTTGGCCATTGGAGGAACTCTTATCGACCTGGCAATCACGATTACCTCTGTTGTGGTGCAACGAACGTATTCCAAGCTCGTCACGAAAAATGCAAGAAGAGAGTCAAGAATCAGAAGATACTCCTGTCCATCCAGACGACGACACTGACGAAACCACGATCAACAACAAGAATGTGGCAACACGTCAAACACTGGAAGCCATGTCAGAAGTGGAAATCTTTGTCAACGAAGGCGATGCCAAGAGCAAGAAAAAAGGTGCTGCTGCTGATGATGAAGAAATGGTGCAACTAAAGTTCTAAACAATAAGGACGCGGGATGATTGGCTTGGCATGATGTCTACACAACGAACGAATGAATGGATGAATGAATGAATAGTGCATTCCGTGCTGCTATAATAAGCTCTTCTTTACTGTTACACACGGCCGGGGTACACGTATGGTCAAAGGGGAATGGTTGCGGCCTAATGAATGGATCAAACAATCATTATTTTAACACAAAATATTAAGGATATTACTATGCAAGTGTATTGTATTGTATTGTATTGTAGAGTAGTCTGGAAATGCTGCTTGCTAGAACCATACATCATTGAAGGGCCTTTTGGTCGTTTGCTCATTTTGCAGCACACAATGCAAAAATTGACCTGATCTATCAAAGTGGTAGTCAAGATAGCATTATGATCGATGATTCCCAACCCTTACAGTGCATCTCCAACGCTGTCTGGTCACGTCTAGGAGATGGACAGCAGCCAATGCTAGAATGACGATCTTTGTGTGTACGATTCAACAACAGTAGTGACAGGTGCATCCCAGCAGTTTCAACAATCTTAGGGGGGAAATTCAATGCAACTTTCATTCTCCAAAAGAAGACGGGCTTTGCGAAGGCATATCCGTGGGACTCGCTAGTATGGATGCGGGAGCAAATGTTCCGTCGATTAGAAAAGGATCCGCCACATTGTTGTTGTTGTTGTTATCTGCTGTTGTTGCTGCTGCTGTTTTTCTTGCTGCAAACGCTTGTTGTCGTTCGACTAGGAACCATATAGAAGCCACAATGCCAACCATCATTAGAAAGATACAGGAAGCGGAACACATTATCAAATACTTTGTCTTCAAGCATGTTTTGGGTTCATAATCCATGGCCACTTCTTCCACGAATATTTCTTCAGCGGGCGGGGTGCTCTTGCTTGGTGGTGGCGGTGGTTGGTCGGCCGTTGTCTCCCGATTACTATTGGTGGCATTATTATGCTTTACTGCCTTCCGCCTTCTATCGTCATAATGTTGGTGTCGATTGACCGTGTTTCTCCTCGGGGGAGTAGTATCGGACAATTCATCAATGGAATAAGGTTTGAAACACATGAACCCCAAATCACAAGGTTGGGCAAGTCCTGCCATGGTGACGGCAGAAGCAGCATTGGGTTTCTTTCTTCTAGGACTACCACCAGTAGTACTGCTAGGAGTTCGAACCATTACATTGGTCGGTGGGAACAAGGTTCGTTCTGTCACTGCATCTTCTCGATCTGATGTTGCTGCTGCTTGTGATGATGAATTGAAACCGCTACTGCTATTGCTGCTACTGCTACTAACACTATGCATGTCGAAGGATGAAACATGCACCGGTGACTGTCGTTGTGGCGGCCGGCGTTGGCGTTTGTTGTTGCTGTCGTTGTTGTTGTCGTTGTTGGGCTTGATGGGGGATTGATTGTACGCAGATTCTTCGTCGTAAGTTGGTACTGGTAATATCATTTCCATCTTGTAAGTATTAATAATATTGATTTGGAGGGAGCTAATGAATGATGATCCAGAATGTTGCTGTGCAGTAATGGTACCAGGGATGTTACTGGTTCCTGCCTCCCATACGAATGAATGCCTTCGGATCGTCGGCAATGCGATGCCGGGTATGCGAGTCCGAAGTATCTTGCCTTCCGTTTTTCCGCCTAACAAAACTCGCAAAACGATGTCTCGCGCGACATCAACATTTGCTTTTGAATGAGAGCGTCATTTTCTTTGGTCATCTCAGTCAAACGAACACTTGTCCGACAGGTTAGGTAAACTCTATAGAACCCGGATATAGAAACTAGACACTCCACAAAACATTCATACCATTCGTAAAATACAGTACCTTATTTGCTGCTTTGGCTTGACGTCCAATATATATACATTGCCCTTTCTCCCTTCAACCATGAGTCTTTTCGAGACTCAAGAGGATAGTCCATTCCTCAGACGACTTCATAGAAACAATCGTGACGATGGTGATGAGATTGCACTACCAGCAGCAGCAGCAGGAGGAATGATGCCACCCACTGTCTTTCCAGGACGAGCTCCGGCTCAAGCCTCGGCCGTGCATGGCCGAGGCATGTGGAATAACTTTTTGAGGTCCTTTTCGGATCCCTTGTACGCTTTGCTGGATCTCTTTGACAATGCGGTGGATGCCTCTTGGAATTTACCCAAGGGAGAAGTACCAAAAATCAAAGTGGACCTGGATACCCATGGTCAAGGTGGAATCTACATTCGAAATGCTTCCAGTGATCCAATCCCGTCCATGGAACAAATATTGGAGGTATTTCGGTCCGCCAAGGAACATCACAAATCGGCCATTGGAGAGAATGGTGTGGGGATCAAGCACGCCTGTGCCAATCTATCAGATTTGAGTTTGGTTCTCACGAAAACTGCGGATTCCTTTAGTTTGGGAATCTTGATGAAGGACTTGCAACAGGATGTGCCCCATTTTCCACAAATGGTTATTGCTCGATCCGCCAGTATCTATGGTCGAATCAAACATATGTGCGATTTGGAACAAATGACATGGGGATTGGCAGTCGCAGCCTATGGAGACGGGGATTTGTATCTAGGGATTGATCGGATATGCCTCCATTTTGAGGAAATGAAGACGGGTGTGGATTGGAAGGATGCCTCGGACGTATTCACCATTGTCATTTCCAAGTTGAGACAGACTGGACACACGGAAAATGAAGGTGGAGAGGAGGATCCTGAAAGCCTCAATGATATTAATAATGATGGTAATGGTGATGACTCTGATGAACGAAGCCAGGAGGTGCTGCGAGAATTTGCCAAAAGGCTGCCTCAACTCTACATTCATTTAAATCACAACATTCAAGTACAGGTTTGCGGTAAAGTCATTGACATGGCGTACTGGGAGACTCGACTGGCGGATCTGACGCTCTTTGAAGTGGGAATACCACAAGGACGCGAAAAGGATGCAAAATTAAAATTGACTCATGCGGATCCCCCGTATCGACATCCAACCGTTCGCTTTTGGTTAGGCTTCAATGTCGGCCGACCATCGGCAAGCGCACATATCTACTACTATAGTAGACAGAGCGGGAGGCTAATTAAGGACCTACATGACTGCCGATCCATGTTGAACTTGACTGCTGGGTCCACAGATTTCAAACAAGGATTGACCATCATTCTGGACGACTGGAACTCGACATTGCCATTAAATCCGACCAAACAAGATTTGAGTTTTGCTTTTCAAGAACATGGGGAGACACATAAGACGAACCTTAACTTTTGGCTATCAGGTAAGTGGGACTTTGTTGTTGTTCTGCTTTGGATATGACTTGCTCGCAACAAGATCTCAATATATATTATCATGATAGGCATTACCTATTTCTTTTGGACTTATCACTTTGATCATAGAAATAAGTCTAAGCAAATGCTAACGCAAGTTGTGACCAAAGCAGCAAGTCTATTTGATGGCGCAAGAGCTCGCAAGGCGGTAATACCATTGAACGAAATGGATCCGATCCGATTCAAAAATGTGGCTTGGACACAGCGAAAAGTCAAACTTGAAGATGAAGATGGAGGCGACGCATCATACCTGAAATTGTACGTAGGCCAACAGGCTCGTCAATCAGCAGAGCGAACGGTAGGAAGAGACACACTGGTGCAACTTTCCGAAGTCAATTTAAGAGGGCGGCAAGTTACAAAACGAAAGGCTTCGGCAGGGCCATCGCCCAGCAGCAAGATCGCAAAAACCGATTCATTATTTGAGCTTGAGGATCAAAAAATTGTTGCTCCGCCAGTGCGAAGACCCATGACAGCAAGAAAATCGGTGGCAAAGACCACGGCTGTTGCAGAGCGCCAGGAATTGAAGAGACATAAGGAACTACTCCTAGCTAGGGAGCAAGAAATCGAGGAAATTAAAAGAGAGAAAGAAGAGCAAATTATGGCGCTACAAAAGCAAAAGGAGAAGACAGAGAAAAAGGTTTCAAGGTTACAAAAGGAACTAGATGCAGCAAGAACGGCAAATGGAGGAGCAATGAACGTCAGCGGCCAGCTCTTCAATGTGCGTGTCATGAACCATGAGAATGGTCGAAGTGTCGATCTCCGCATTCCTGCAGAGTCCAATCGGTCACTTCGGCAGGTCATGCGAGACAAGAAAGTGAGAAAACAGAAGCTACTCTTCTGGGGATCTGAGACAACTTCCAAGCTACAGAAAAAACTGGTCACTGTGAAAGTTGGAATATGGGATCCAACCAAACCAGAAGGGGATTACAATTACGTCTATGGACTTGACGACTTGGAGAGTGAAACAACCCTTGAGCTCTTCAACTATATTGCGCAGGATGGCAAGAATGTTGCACAGGCATACGATCCAGTACATTTGTGCATGTTCACGGAGGATATGAAGCACGTGAAAGAGGATGAAGAGGAATTTATTATTTAGATTGAACCTACTTGTTCTAGAACCAAAAAACCCTCTTTTACATCGTTGCGATCTGCTTCTATCAAATCAAAATACAGAATCCGCAATCAAACTAGCAAAGAGCCAGGAAACAATACTATCAACTGGCTGCATCACAATAACTGCGTTCAATGCCTTTCTTCAAGTGATCAGCTTTCCCAATTGCTACCACTTGAACGGCTTCAGTTAGATAGCACCCCGCATTTTCTTTATACAAGGGTCCTGAAGACGAATTTTCATCTTTCTCGTGTTTTTCGACAGGTGGAAACCATCGCTTGACCGCAGGGCTTGGAGTTGTTTCTCAGTCCAAATTCCAGCCGCTCATCCCATGCTACTGCGGATTGACGTTCTGGGTTCGAAGTCGTCGCTTCGCTCTGGCATAACTGGCGAAATACTTGTGCGATGCCAGTTGGATTTATTTCAATGTGTCGATTATTGTTGTCATTTTGAACCATGATGTTTGGTTCTCGTTTCCTTTCATCCGAGCGAACTATCAAAGATCTATGTTCACTTTTTGTACTTCTGTTGACGCTGCCTACAGCGGCAGCGTAAGCAATAATTCACTGGAACCATCTTTGGTGCAGCTTGGGGGGAAAAGCGAAATGACCTTTATGAAACTACCACCGTTTCTGAGGGTCTGGTGAACCGGTTGCTGAGGGTCTGATGAGGTCGCATTCATATTAGTAGTTTCTGCTCTTAATCGGCGGCTTCAGTCACCTTGCTACCTGACTTTATCAAGGTGATATTATGGTTGCTCGGCCATCAATGTCGTTGTGGTGCGAAGGGCTCGTCGTCTTTCTCGTGTCGTACAGGTATTAATATTTTTTGTTCAACTTCTGGATTTTTTTTCACGTGGCGGGAATCAGATCGCATATATACTGTGGGAACAATTTAGTTACAGTACGCAAGAATGAAGTGGATTGAATAATGGAAGTTGTGGAACAACCAGGAATGCTTCATGAAAAGGAAAGATAATCACCACAGAGCACTCAAAAAGAATCGTCCAAGAGGAGAACAACTAATTAAAATCCATCCTTCGGACTGACATCAAATCCATTACCATGAAGTACTACGTATCAGTTACTGGACTCACACTCAAGACAAACCTTTCCTATCCGAGGTTCATGTATCATGCTGTCCCGTCATTTACTCAAGCACGAAAGGCAGAGGGGAATGTGTTTGCCGAGACCAGGTCAATAAAGGGGTGTCACCATACGTTGACAGTATGGGAAGACAAAAAGAGCATGAGAAAGTATATGTATTCTGGAGCTCACATCCAAGCAATGAAAGTTACCAAGGAAATCGCGGACCTCAGTAACACAAAGACGTATGGTTATGAATCGGATCATGTGCCGACATGGCAAGAGGCAATTGAACAATGGGGCAAACATGCTACTCTCTATGGCAAGAGCACTGCAAATACAGATGAAAACAAAGGAGCAGGGACGCCGCAAGAGACAGCAGCAACAGGTAAGTCATCGTGATTCTTACCAAGAGATTTTTAAATTTGATCAGACGCCTGACACAGCCTGTTTCCAATCTTTGCATCATAGTTCATTGATCTTGAATATGCTATGTAATCCGATTGGCTGTGGGACTCGAGGCGGGTCCATGGAATTGTGAAGATTGCCAACATCTGCATCATGGTCGTGAATTGCACATTTGCTGGCTTTTTCAGCTTGTACTCGTATGATTAAAATCTAGGCCCTTCCATCAGCGCTAAATACGTTATCACTATGGTATCATTTTTATGTTACATGATGATAGACACGTCATTTGAACGCTGCCTAGCTCAGGTCCAATCATTCTTTACTTCAACACTAGCACTCAAAGTCCAATGTTCTCCTCTTGTACAACTTTCTGAAACTCTGCTTTGGTTGTCCAGCTTCCCTTCAAGGCTGTCTGGAGCTTGTTAATCTGGCGCTCGAGATCGCGATTGGCGTTCCGTTGCTCCGCAAGCTCCTTGCGAAGGGGGTGTTTCGTTTCCGGCATTGGCACATCATTGACAGTGCTTCCAAGAGTTTTCAAAAGTCCTGGTAAGCCAAGGCCATAAGTGGCAATCTCTCGTTCCATTCGTCGAACTTCCCACTCAATGCTGCTCCTCACAAGCGGAAATAGATCGTGCCATCCCTGAAGTGTGATTTCTTCCAACAGGTTGCAAATGGAGGAGCACTCCAGCTCATGAATTTGCCAGGCATCGTTCAACTTCATTTCATTCCGGTTCAATCGAGCTGACTGCTTTGATGAAAGAAGTTTGCCTTTGGCTTCCATATCATGTGCCTGGCTTCTCAGCTTCGCAACCTTGTTTTCATAATGAAGCACATCCTGCTCTAACTTCTTGTGCAGCATCATTGCTTTGTTCACCCGTGTGGACACAGCTTCATCCCAAGCATCGACGTATTTTATCATTTCTTCCTGATATTCATCGGCACTGACTTTGCCCTGTAGTTCGACCAACTGATCAATTGATTTGTATGATCTTATACCTTGGGCTGTGGCTGCTTGCGCTGCTTTCCGGGCATCGATATCATCGATTTGATCCAAGCTCGCCTTCTTTCCAACAAGATCATAGAGGGGTGTAGTTGCGGAAAGGCTGCCAAAGTCATCCACCATCTAGCATTGAAAAGAAGCAAACAAGTCGATGTGAATAGCCAGAGTTCGGAGGGATAGGAAACATGGTATGGACAAAATCATTACGTACCTTTGTGCGAGCAACATTTGATTCTTGTCGAGCAGCCTGGTATACCTTGACATAGTTTACAGCCTTTCGCAATTTCCGCAAAAAACCATTAAACTGAACCGATAGTGGAATGACATCTGCGGATCGCTTGCGAGCTGGGTCTGCAACAAAGTCTTGTTCTGCTTTTCGTAATCGACCTTCCACGCCACCTTTTCGCTTCTTCGGTGACTCCGCTTTTACCGATCGGTCTCTTGGAGATTCTTCCACTGGAGCAAACGCATTTGCTTTTTCCATTTCGGCAGCCCTCCGTTCCAACGCCAGCATTCGCTCGTTTTCTCTCCTGCTTTCACTTTCTTTATTCTCCAGCAACCGTTCCATTTGATCAACGTTCTCTCGATTGACTGCGTCTTCGGCGCTTTCTTGACCAACATCCGCGGCAGGGACAACGTCTCTTGGTAATAGTGCTTCGTCCATAACTCCTCTTGTTGCACCAGTAACCTCTTCTTCTCCTTCTTCTTGCTGCATTTCCAATCGCTTTGCTTCTTCCATTCGCATCAACTCTTCGATCTCTTCAACAGCCAAGATAGCTGTTGACTCACGATGACTTCGCTCAAGCTTTTCTGCTTCGATTTGGTTCTCCAATGCTTGTTCTTCTTCAGCGGCCAACAAATCGTCAATCTCGGCATCGTCCTTTCCGTCTATTTTCTCGCTAGGATTACTAGCCGTCATAGCAGCAATGGAGACGGCCATATCTCTTGCCTCTAATTCTTCATCTTCTTCTTCCTTCAAGAGCTCGTCATCCAATGAGTGATTGTCCATGGAATCCAAGTCTTTATGCTCGTCCATCAGCAAGAGCTCGTCATCTAGCGATTGGTCGTCCTTAGACACCAATATCTGTGCCTCCTCTTCCACCAAAATGGCATCTGATTCGTACGCTGCTAACTCCTTATCCTCGTCGCTCATCAACAGCTCGTCATCCGTTGATTGAACATCATTGTGCTCTTCTTCTTCGTCGTCGTCGTCGTCGTCAAACGGGGCAAACGACTCACCAGAAAAGACATTTGGTGACCCACCCGGCAATTGGGCTGATATAATACTGGCTCGCTGGCGTTTAGACTGCAGCTCTTGGACTCCCCTTTGCTGCACTTGGCTTTCTTCCTCCTCTTGCTCCTTTCTTTCTGCTTCGGCCTGCTTTCGAGCTGCTTCTTCCGCCTGCAAGGCGGCTCGTTTTTGGGCCTCCCGCTTTGCCAGACGTTCTTTCTCTTCTGCCTTGATGGCGGCCTCTTTTTCTGCCGCTTGTTTTTTGGCAGCGTCTCGTACCGCGTTTTCGGCTTGGAGCGCTGCTTGCAATTTCGCCTCCTTTTGCTTCTTTCGTTCCTCGGCCTGGGCCAACATTTTGGCTTCTTCCGCAGCCCAAAACGCCGCCTCCTCTTCCTTCTTTTTCAATCTGGCTGCCTCCTTGGCTTCCTCCGACAATTCTTTCTCCTGCACTTGCTTGTTTCCATCTTCATCTTCTTCCTCATTTGCTTTGACATCCACCACTTCAATAGACATGGCAATCAGAGCGTTGGGATCTGACAATTGTTCAAAAATAGGATCCAGGATCTGAGGCATTGTTTTAAAATGAAGATCTTCTGCAGAATAAACCTTTTCGTCAATACCATCAGCATGCATATTAGCTTGGATTTCTTGTGTTTTTTGGTTTATTGCCTCCTGATGTTCTGGAAACTCGAATACCTTGGCTATTTTCAGTCCATCATGTCCGTGCAGCCAATCGTAGCCTGATGTGGTTGCCGAAAAGGTAGAGGGCATAATGCGCACATTCTTGGACATGCCCGTGTGTGAATTGGAGACTTTGAGCCGCAAGGAACCTCCAAGATTGGCACTGCTACTTTGTCGCTTTGCTGCCATAGTACCGGCTGGTGCACTAGTGCTATTGCCTAATTCTGGTGCTTCCTCCTTGGTCTCCACCACTTCAATAGACATGGCAATAAGAGTCGTGTTGTAATCTGGCAATCCTTCCACAATTTCCATTAGGCTCTTGGAGCGGAGTTCTTTTGCCGAAACTACCTTTTCCTCGCCTTTTGTGGATACGGTGATTTGGAGTTCGTATGTGTTTTGGTCGAGACCCGACTGCTGCTCCTCTGGAAACTCCAAAATATTTGCAGTTACCAAACCCTCGTGACTGTACAACCAATCATACGTGGATGCTGACGAAGCTGCAGCTTTCATGATTCGAACATTTTTGGAATTGTTCGTGTGGCTGTTGGTCACCTTGAGTCGCATCGAACCCCCAACTGTATCGCTTTTCATCGCTCTTAGAGTTGTAGGAGGAACAATCGGAATTGGGGTTGACTCTTCTTCTTTGATATCGACCACTTGGATGGACATGGCAACAAGGGCAGAGTCATAATCTGGCAGTCCTTTCACAATTTCCCAAAGAGTTTTAGAACAAAGTTGCTTCCCCGAAACCACGTTTTCGCTGCCTGTTGTGGATACGGTAACTTGGAGCTCGTGTGACTTCTGATCGAGACCCGTCTGTTGCTCCTCTGGAAACTCCAATATCTTTGCGATTTGCAAACCCTCGTGATTGTGCAACCAATCATACGTAGACGCTGACGATGCGGCAGCCTTCATAATTCGGACGTTTTTGGATTTGTTCGTGTGACTGTTAGTCACTTTGAGCCGCATGGATCCCCCGATAGTGTCACTTTTCCTCGCTCTTAGCGCTTTAGGAGGAGGAACGACCGGAGCTGGTGTTGGCTCTTCTTCTTTGGCATCGACTACTTGAATTGACATTACCGTTTCGTCCGAGCTTGGATATCGACTCAAGATCTGTTCAAGTGTTTGCTGACGAAGTTGTTTCGCCGAGTAGACACACTGGTTCGAACCATTGGAACCACTCATAGTGACCTCAATCTCTTGCGTCATTTGATCTAGTGTCTCCTGCTGTGCGGTGGGAAACTCCAACACCTTAGCCATTCGAATGCCGTCGTGTTTGTGCATCCAGTCGTAGGCAGACGACGAGGAAGCGAAAGCAGGGATCACGCGGACATTTTTGGAGCTTCCTGTGTGTTTATTTATCACCTTGAGCTTTTTGGATCCTCGAATGGAACGGCTGGAACTCCCTGCAGCAACCAGCTGTTCAATGGTTCGGCGAGGAGCTGGAGCTGGAGCAGGGGCTGCTGATACGCTAGTGCTGCCGCCACTACCAAGAATAGTAGCCAACTTGGGTACGGATGGATCAGCCTTTGCACACTGCAAGGATAATTTTAACGTTTCACTACCTGCAGCGGCGACAGCACCCTCCAATAGCTGTTGCATGGAAGTTGATTTCATTTCATCCAAGTTCAAGACAGCCAATTGTTCCGAGGTAGTCACATTTTGAAGAACCAATTGCAATTCTAGTTCTGAAGTATCCAATTGCGCTTGAATCTCAGCTGGAAATTCTGTCACTTTGGAAGTCTGAACACTTGGGCTCTCGTAAAGAGCAGCGTAAACAGTTTTAGAAGCAAGGGTGGCCTTGGCTAATCGCAAATTCTTAGAACGTTCTGTGGAAGCGTTGCTCAACTTGATTGATATTGTCGCACTCATGGCAATTTAGATTCTTCAAATCAGATGCTGAACAACGGGATTGTTTTGCCAGATTTTGTTGCGTGTTGGGTAAAACGACGGATGATAGTCCTAAACAGATTGACTACGTCAGCAGGCCTAAGTAGGATAAAGCTCTGTAGTTTTCAGGCCGTTCGTCCTCTCGCTTCGCTGCTAAACAAGGATACTTCGTCAGATTTCAGCCTTGAATCCGTGAGTGAGGCAGAGAAGCCAGGGTTCAGCGATGTTGGTGGTTTACTTTCCAAGGTAGTAGTGCTCACAATAAGATCAACGCAATCGGAGCAGAGAATGCCGCCACCAAACAATTTAGATCTGAGACAAATCTAATGCGTTTGCGTTAGTAGAGATTGTACACAGACATCAGGCTGATATAAGTAACGAAGACTGGCGCGCTCAAGAGCGCCGACTCGGAACGGAAGTGCAAATTTTTCGAGTTGAATTAGGCAGCTTCCGAATTTTCGTCGAGATGCGGCCATGCCGGATTGTTTCATTTTGCAACCGAAGACGATGAGCAAGGTTTGCTGAACAAGAGATTATCTGAGCAATACTAAGCAAGACACGCCGACGACACGCTGAAGAATGACTTACATGAAATGAGCTGTCGTCAAGGACGAGCAGCATGGTCTGGAGTGACAAGTAATTTAATGACATGAAGAATCTGCAATGAAGAAGCTTGTTGGAAAGGCACAAAGATGGTTTATTCGAAGGCTGGAGGAAATTTTTTTACCGAAAGCGTCCGAAAGTGTCAAGAATGAAATTGGAATGGTGATATCGAGGAACCCTTCATCAACATTTCCAAGGATATTTCAGACTCTGGAAATCTTTCGATCACAGTGGCCATGACGCCAACCAGACATGAATAGAAGGTGCTGCTTAGAAACCGAGAAAATCAAGGATGGTATGGTATCTTATCGCTTCTCACTGCCGTGAATGCATGATGTTGTCGGACTTGCGGAAATTGATCAGCATGTTCACACCAGATTCAAGTTTATAGACATGAAGCAACACAGTCGTCTAATATTTATGCCTTTGGTGTAGTCTAGTAGCAGGTACTTATTCTTGTTCTCTCTTTTCTACTCCATTTTAGATGCGGTGCAGATGAAATCACACACTTTTCAACGAAGGTATCAGATCTTCATCTTTGTCAGCAAGAACCATGCTGAACATGCCACTAGAATTTTCACATACAGGTTCCCTCCAAACAAGATTTTGGAATGTTGTGTGGTCTTACAGGTTGGTGCTTTGGTTGGTATTGGCTTTCCGTGTAGTGTTCCCTTTTCTTCCCAGATTTGCCTTGCTTCTTTCCAGTTTGGTATCGTTTCAGCTTCATATCCATAGGTCTTTGTTCCGTAAGAGTATTCGCCAATTTCGCGAGACACTTTCAGCGCTTTGGCATGAGCGCCTGACAACATATACTTGCGCATACTTTGTTTGTCTTTCCAGGCGGTTAATGTGTGAAGGATCCCGTCAATATACGTCGTTTCGGTGAATAGGTTGCCCTCAGCGGCGGCAGCCTGTTTTTCAGCAGGGATTGAATAGGACATGAACTTTGGAAGGTAAATTATCGACTTGAGGGTGAATCCTGTGATGGAAATGTAATAAGGAGCCACCATTGTTGTTAATTTTAGTTGTTCAGGTCGTTTTTTTTTAAATGAGAGGATGGATGGTAAAACGACCACGCGTGAATACCGCGATAGAATCGATTCATGCCAGTTTTTCCTCATGTAGGAATGACTTTGGTTGTTCTTGTGGCTTCTCACGATTGATGATTCTCAAAACGCTGCATAAAAAATTACAGATCTTACTGGGATGTTGTAGGATGAGTGTCTGTTGAGTAATGCACACTAATGTGGAAGGAATGTCTACTAGGTCATATCAATAAAGTTATCATTGACACGTATTTTACAAGAAATTATTGTATAGCTTCCAGTCTTTAGCGAGTCAAATCATGGGACTCTTCAAGGTCTTTGTAGTACGCTTGAATCTAATAATATCTTCATCTTCGACAGCACAAATACTAGAGCAAAGTATGGAATCAATATCTGAACAAACAACCTTCGCAGAAGCATCATAGTCTTGAGTGCTGGCATCCTACTAGCAGTCGGATTTTTTCCATTTGATCTTCCGTGTAGCTTGCTGTCTTTTCCCCAAAGCTCCAATGCATCGTCCCAGCTTGGAATCGAGTCGGATTCAAAGCCCAGCACCTTTGTCCCGTCCCCTTCCAGTTTTGCAACTTTCCCGATAGCCTTCATTGCCTTGCCATGAGCACCTGAAAGCATGAATTTTCTCATTTTTTGTTTATTTTCCCATACTGTGAGTGTATGAAAGACACCATCCACTCGTTTTATTTCAGAGAGTATGTTTCCTGGGGCAGATGCAGCCTGTCGGTGAGAAGGAATGGTATGGTACAAGAACTTGGGCAAACAACGGTTCGACTGTAGCGTCAATCCAGTAATGGAAATGTAATATTGCGACGCCTTCATTGAATTAAGTAAAGGCGGCTGTTATTTTGGGTGATGAGTAGAGTTGTGTGTCAACTGATGTATTTTCTAAAGATTATACAGTACGTTTGGTATCCTGTTCCTGAAGCTTGCACTTATTCGAACGAGTCGATCTGATGAGAACTGAGAAACTAACTGACTGACTGACTCATTCTCATTGACATCATCATACTCAATCAATCACCACAACACATGCACTCAGACAACCGAGATGCCAACATCTGCTGTTAAAGCTTCCATTATGAAAAATGTTTGGCATCGATTGATAGGAGTTCGAGGCGGACCCGCCTCCATGTTCTTTCAAGATCAGATTTATCCTTCAACGAATGATGCTTCCAATTTCGGAAAGGTCTTTCCACAAGGAGAAGGTGCATCGGAAGAGATTGCACGGCACAGGCTTGTGTTTCTGGGAGAGATCCATTCCATGCCTCCTATCATTGCCTTTCAGCGTCAAATTCAGCAGGAGATGAATAATAGTGCGTCGAAATTACATGTCATTATGGAACACTTTAGCTTTGAAATGCAACCTCTTCTGGATCGGTATACCAATGGAAGCATATCCTTTGAAGAATTGAATCAAGAGTATCGTGAGCATGGAAACGAAGGACATTTGTTGGAACCATACAAGCACTTGTTGGAAGACGCAAGATCAAATGGTGTCCAACTTCACGCCGGCTTCATACCTCGGCCATTTGCCAAGAAATTCATTCAGGAAGATCCTGAGAAAGTCTTGGAGGAAGCATCTCAATGGTTAAAGTCACCAATCGTGGGTTTGGAAGGATCAGAGACCCATTATAATGTCTTTGAAAGTTTGATCAGTGGGCGATTTCTATACAGCAAAACTGATGATCTCGCTCCCACCGATCAATTCCGTCGGATATTCAAGGCACAGCTCCTTAAGGATGTCGCAATGGCCAACAAGGTCAATCACCTGATAGAAGATGCATCTACTACATCCGTAGATGGTAAACATGATGAAAAGTTTCTAGTTATTGCTGGGAATGGTCACTTTTTGCACTATTGTGGAGTTCCTGAACGAGTCTTGGACCAAAATCCAGAGCTTGTCGACGATAGTTGCCTTGTCATCAGTGCGAGCACCTACGATCCGTTGGAAGATGAGAATGAACTGCAAAAGGAATTAAAAGCGCGATATGGAGATAGTGGATCGAATCCGGCAGACTACATATATTTCTACCACATGCCCGAAGAAGAAGATGAAATTGCCATCAAGGAGGAAACGAGAAAAGCATACGACAAAGTTGGAGAATCCGCTGCATTACCAGGAAATTCACTCAAGGCAGCATGGATCATGTACAGCATGGGTTATTCGAAGGATCAATTCGAGGCGGCTGGTTCGGATGTCTACAATTTCCAAGGGGTCGGAAATCCACACATTCATGCCAACATTCGGCCTGGTGAAAAAGTGTTGGACGTTGGTTCTGGTTTGGGGATTGATTCTTTCATTGCTACCCGTGCCACTGGTCCAGAAGGTGAAGTGATTGGTATTGATATCAGTGCGAAAGAAGTATCCCACGCTCAGAAACGAGCCGAAGCTAGCGGACTGACCAAGACGAGCTTCCAAGTGGCCGATATGGAAAAGATACCGTTACCAGATGAGTCCATTGACGTCATTATATCGAACGGAGCCTTCTGCCTTGCTCCCAATAAGAAAAAGGCATTCGCAGAGCTTTTCCGTGTGCTCAAGCCTGGAGGAAGAATATCGGTGTGCACGACTACAACGAAAATGGACAATTTGGAAGAAGGAGTCAACTGGCCACTGTGCATGCGAATGTTTGTTGCACAGAAAGAATTGCAGCCAATGTGTGAGGAGGTTGGATTTGACAATATCATTATCGATGACACCGATAGTGCCATGACTATGGAAATGCCGGAAGAGATACTCCAGAGTTCCAACCCAGAACGAAACCGAGTGCATGTCGGTGGTGACGATTTCAAGCATCTGGAGAATTTCGATATGGATGAAATCTGTGCCCGAGTATGTGTATCCGCATACAAGCCTCTACTGAATGCCAAATCGCCATCGGATCTATTCCCCAGAAGCCGATAGGTAAAGCACGATGTCAATTGCGCCGCTATAGTACTTTTGCAGCATTCGTTTGTATCGCGTTTCTTTATCAATTATTTCGTTTCAATAAAATTACACATGGTTGATCGATATGATCTATAAATCAATCAATCAATCGATTTGCTTTCTCTTCATTTTTTCTTTTGTTTCCATTGCTGAATTATCTTGCTTTACTTTACTTCTTTCCAAAGAAACCAAAGGGGTTGAACCCACTCGTGGAATCATAATTTTCCATGAGTTCTTCAAAGTTAGGGCTTGACTTTATTGGGTCAAGATCAGGATCTCCACGAACCGTTACATAGTTATCGAACCCATTTTCGAATGACTTGGCAAGGTTGGCAATGGCCTATTAATTGATACAAAAGCATGCAGGAGCGAGCAACAGCGTAAGTGACAGAATGAACAACAACAAGTTTCTTCCTTCCAATATACAAGTAAATAATGAATACTCACATCATCAACATTTCCCAGTCTGGCATGAGCGCATGCCATATTGTAGTGCGCTGCTTGCAATTCAAAGTCATCCAAGGTAAGAACCTTTTGACTTTCGGTTCCTCCAAAGGCTCCACCGACTGGGCTAGGACCCGAAAGTGCCTTGGTTCGTCGGACATCGGCCCGGCTACCAGGCAACTTCATTCCCATTTGGAAGGCTGTGAATATAGTTCATCGGAATCATTGAATCAATCAAGAGAAAAGAAAGAGAGAAAAGAAGAGAACAGAGAAAGATAACACATGAGATACATGACAGTTCATTCATTCATAAATTCAGACGCGAAAATTGTAATCTCTTCATGCATAATTCCAGGAATGTACATGTACACAACACATACCAACAAGTGCTTCTTCAAAGTTTCCTTCTTGCATGAGTCTTAGACCCAAAATTTCAGCCTCTCGAAAGGTGGTGGGATCTGGAAACTGTTGTTCGGTGGACATTTGCATGGAAGTACTCGCGGATGCTGCCGATCGAAAAGTACTGGTGGCTGCTCCTATATTATTACTGGCGCATGGCTTTGGGAGGATGGTGTATCCATCAGTCGTAGAAAAAGTCATAGATACGGCGACTAGACCGAGGAGTATAAGAGATGCTGTCTTCATGATGATTGCTGTGGTTGTGTATTTCGTTGGATTTTGTTGTGTTTTCGATAAGTCAAAGCTGTGAATGCGTCTAGACGATTTTAACTTTAATGAATCGCAGGTGATGATTTGGGTGATTTGGAACACAAAAGGAAGAGATGGTACAGTAAATGTATCCTTTTGATGTGTCAACAACTGGTTGCAGAAGCCGAAGGCTTGAAGTGAGAACTTGGTACAGGAACAGAGGTAGGTACGTCAGCAAAAGATCGGCGTCTTGCCGTATCCCGAGGCAACTATCTTTTTTAATTTGACACCTCCACGTGGAATAAATATTGCTTTCGTCTTGTCGAAGGAGTCAGTCCAATGGGCCAAAAAACAGTCGAAGGAATCAGATATGCGGTCTTGGACTTTGCATGTGGATCCTATCGTGACGGCCAATCGCGCCGTGCTAACTTTTCGTTGATTATTGAAAAGTCAGATCGTGTGTCCTAGAAGATATGGAGTGTGACGCTCGGAGTTTCACACGCGGTCAGCGTGTTGAGACACACGAGCTGTCCGGCTTCCAAGTTTTCGAGTTCGAAATCACATCAATTCTCATCACAAAACCATCTTCGTGAAAACCAGCACACCTGTGTAAAAATAACACACACACGCACACAACTCTCACAACTCTCCAGCAAGTGCTCAATCACAATACAATCACAATGGCTCAAGTACAATTCCCTGATCTTCTGCAATCGCAAGACATGACTTTTGCGGATGAATTTCAGATGGACGGCAATGGAATCGACCCACCCGCTCCAGCACCCCAAGACCACATTACCGTGTTTGTCTCAGGACAAACCTTTTACATGCTCCCTGAACTCTTTGACCAAGTACGATGCCTACCATGGTATCAAGTTGGAGGTCTCTACCATTTGGACGCCGAAGCCGACCTCTTTGAAGTGATTCTTCAGTTTTACTTGTCAGGTGCATTGCCATCGAAAGCCCTACTCAAGAAACGCCGAGAATCCCTCTACCAATTGACGGCTCTGTTGCAGAATGCCACTGAATTGAAGATGTACATTCAAAGCGGCAAGAAGACAAAGTCTTCTTCTTGCTCCACATTGCCATCCAAGCGTGGACTGTCACTTCTCAAAATGAAGAACAAGGCGAATATTCCACCAGCACCACCAGCCGTGGAGAAGAAGCAATCCAAGAGTTTCTTTTCCTTCAAGAGCAAGAAGCAATCCAAGCCCTTTGATGATTTGGACGATACTCAGTCTATTACATCTGGTGCCTTGTCTCAGGTGACGGCTGCCACTGCTGCCACTCAGGCCAGTACTGGTACCACCATGTCGGAAAAGGAAAACCCCAAGAAGCGTCAAAAGGGATCCAATGGATGGAACATTATGAATCGACCCAGTAAGAGCGAGGTTTTGGAATCTTTGCGCGCGGAGTACATTGTATGAAAACACACATACAATGATGACCAATGCGCTATACTCTATCATGATACACCACTCCTCCTGTACGATTTGAACAATTTTAGATGCCACTATTAGATACCCATAGAAGAAAGAGAATAACATGTTAACCAAAGATGAATATTACTTACACAATTTAATTACAAACAGCTACCATCCTGCATTGCTACTGGTATCGGTTTGTCACCTTTATATGACGTTTGTTCTCCTGAAGAATTTTCAGAATTCTCTTCCCCGCGCGTCTGTCTGTCACTCAGAACTTCTTGAATTTTCAAAAAACTGTCAAGCCATCACGATTTACTATTTTGTATGGCAGCTGGCGGATGAGAATGCCATTATGGGGTGGTTCGATGATGATGACGACGACGAGGAGGAAGAACAAGACCGCAAATCCAAGACATCGTATCTAGCAGGAAATGATGATAATGGTGAAGATGAAGTGGATCCATTAGATGCGTACATGCAAGACATCAATACCAAAGCCAAACATGATCAAGAAACCGCCGGTCAGACCACCCAAAGTGAACGTTTGGATGTGGAAAATGAAGAGGAAGCCACTAGCCATTGGCAAGAACCATCTGCATCGGCGTTGACTGAGGATGCGGCTGCTACAGAAGCTGCCATGGAAGCTAAGGCAGCCATGGAAGCCACCTTTGAAAAGGCATTGGATGGCAAACAAAGTCGTCAAGTGGATATTCAACTGACCAAAGTGAAGCATTCTTCTGTGGAATATCCCGATTTTAACAAGGCGATAATACCTTCAGAAAATGACTCGTCGAATGCAGCAGGAGATATGTGGCGTCGAGAGAATAGCATTACTTGCAACCCTCCAATGGATCCGATCTACGATTTTGCCGAATTGAGAGATGTGGTTCCGGATCCTATCATGGAATGGATTCGGAGCAATGGGTATCAGAATCCAACGCTAGTACAGTCTCAAACCTTGGGAGTTGCCTTGAGGGGAAAGGACGCCATCATAACGTCACATACCGGATCCGGAAAGACCTTGGCCTATCTTTGGCCATTGGTGGCTCATTTGAAGGAAAACAATCGAAAGTGCCGGGCTCTAGTGTTGGTGCCAACCAGAGAACTGGCAGCACAAGTAGAAAAGGTGGCGAAGTCAATGTTTCGAGATCTGCATCATTATTCAGCATTGGCGATTACCGGCGGTAACATGGGACGGTATCAACTATCGCAGGCTCTCATCAGGAACAAGCCGCATTTGGTGGTGGCAACGCCGGGTCGGCTTCTCGACGTCTTGAGTGCACAACAAAAGAATAAGCAGAATTGGCTGCTCCAAGATATTTCCTTTTTGGTGCTGGATGAGGCGGACAAGATGCTCCAACTGGGATTTGCACCTCAAGTATCTCAAGTCTTGGATAATCTTCGACCCGACCGACAATCTCTCCTGACATCGGCGACACTGACAAAAAAACTGGAACGAATGTGTCGGGAATGGATGGACGATCCTATTCGGATATCGGTCGGCCGGACGGGCCAATCCTCCGAACATGTGGAGCAACATGTCATGTGTTTGCCAGATGCACAAGCCAAGGAGGCATTCTTGAAGGAGATGCTGCCAACGTTTTGTGATGTGGGGCGCACGCTGGTATTTTGTGCAACTCGAGAAGGCTGCGAAGCCTTGGGGCAAAAATTGCAGGCCGTTGTGCCAACCGTGACACTGCATGGAGACAAACATGGCCATGACCGCAAGGCAGCACTCAAAGCATTCACCAAGGGACAAGTCAAGCTGTTGGTGGCCACCGATCTTGCCGGGCGCGGATTGGATGTCCCTCAGGTTGGTACTGTTATCAACTTTGAACCTGCCAAGAACTGGGATACCCATGTCCACCGGATAGGAAGGGCTGGGCGATTGTCCACCAAGGAACAACAGTCGGGATCTGCCTACACTTTGCTTCTCCCTTCGAATGCCGATTTTGCGTACACTTTGGTGCAGGAATTTACGCGAGAGAAGCGACCTGTTGGGGATGATTTGCGATCTCTAGCGAATCGGTCTCGTACGAACAAGTCTCAAAAGAGAGGTGAAACTGGAGGTCTTCCTGATGGGTCCCATCGAAATCTCAAGGATAAATCTGGATTAGGTTATTATGGTCCATCTGGTCCTGTGGCTGATAGTGGTGTGCCTCCTCCAAAGCGAAGTCGCTGGTCGTGATGCTATGGACACTTAATTGTTAAAACATGTCAAAGTATGAGGTACTGTAGTGTTGATCTTTTTACTTTTCGTACACCTTCTACACTCTGCGACGTCTTGCCGTCACTCGTCAACATGACATCCACTCAATAATTTTCAAAACTACAAAACCAACACAAAATGATGAACGTGCTGTGCCAGGAACGTTCAACATGAACCTGACCGAGAGTAAGTTATTCGTGAAAGAGTTGTTTCGTATCCACTGAGGAGTATTGGGCTATCTTTGCAGGAGTTTTAATGGTTGATGGGTGCGTCAATGAATGCCAAATGACATAAGCACTGGGTTCTGAGATTTTACTATGATTCTAAAGCCGCATGAACGGCGTAAACAAAAGGAGACCACATCCCATCAACCAATTCTGCCATTGATAGTACTTTAATTCATCAGCTCCGAGAAGGACCGTGAAGATCCCCCCGTTCAGGAAGTGCCGTCTGAATGCTATGGATTACCTGATTCTCGTTGTCTCCTTCGATTGGGTGCAGTTGCTCAGGGAGTAGTGATTGGAGAGCGGTCGATTCATTATAGGTCAAAAGGCCTGTCCAAAAGGGACAGTGGATTGGGTCGTTCTTTCTTGAGTCTGCTTCTTGGGTGGGTGTATCCTCTGGTTGGAAGTGCAAGTTGATTGGGCCCATGGCAAGCCCTTTAGTGGGATAGTGATTTATAGATCGGAATTTGTCGGAGTCCTCTATTCTCTGCTGAATGATGATTTATTTCATTGCAAGAATTATTTGGTTGCGACTTATTATTCTCACTCTTTCCTTTGCTCTGTGGTAGGAATCTGAAGAAACTGTGTTGTGGCGGATGAATACTTGAACTGCATGCCTAACCCTTGACAAATGTTCACTTCAAGGGCACTTTGAGAGCTGCGGTTATTGGGAAGACTGCAGAGACTAGCAAACAAACGAAAGGCTGCATTCATCCTTCCCATGATGAAGCATGCTGAAATGTTTTGGAGTTGCCAGGTCTGCCCGTCTGCTAGGTTAAGAAGTCTACGAAAACAAAGCACAGAAGCAATGAAACACCGTGTTCTGAAATGCAGAGGTAGGATGCACTGTCACCTACAGTAGCCCATCGGCTTCCGAAACATCGACTTTGGATACAACAGCGTACATTCAATTTATCATAAAAATTTTGCTACACTCTACTTCAATGGCCGAATGATGCAACTCTTTCTGTAACTGCAGACAAAATCAGACCCATACTAAGCAATGCTGTAGCCGCTAGAACTGGATTATCACCAGAGTTCCATTTAGCATTTTTCAGGATGGGAAGGGCGGGTTCCTTTTGACGCCCAGCTTGTCGTTCTGATTTGTTGTCTATCAGCCAATCGGTGAAGAGCCATCGTTCAAACCCTCTATCATCTTTTGTTGCCACTGTTGTTGGTGGCATCTCTGTTGAATTCGACGGTACTCCATCAAATTCTTCCTCTGAAGCTTTCAGCTCATCCAAATATTCCTTTACTTCGCCTCGGCTTTTGCTTATTGCCAATTTGGTCCTTGAGACAGGAACGACTTGCTCTGACCATACCTTGTACAAGATAACGCAAAGGATGGCAATAATTCCAAATCCAATCAAACTTTCTGTGGGTGGTGCAATGGGCTCGAATACAGTTGCAGCTTCTGCAGGCAAAGTTTCAATTCCTTCTGTTCCAATTGCCGAAAGACTTGCTGCGAAATCTCCACTCGCAATTCCGAAGCCTGGGTGACTCCGTGCCACACTCCGAACTTGGAGAAATGCTGCCGCTGATGAAGAAGTCATGTTTGAAAGACAATGGATTCCTCACTCCTCACTGATCATTGATGTCATCGTCATCCGTTGTCGTGTTTTCTTTCAATGAGTCAGAACAGTCCAGCTAGTCAACGGCCTGACGATAGACGTGATACGATACGATACAACGCTCATGCAGATCAAAGAGGATATTTATATGCATCTTTACACACTATTTGTAACCATCTAAACAGGCAATGACAACCAGTCCCTAAGCGGATACGAATTCCACCTCGTCTTCTTCACTGGTGTAGGAATCCTCGTCTGATCCATAATCATCGAAATCATCGCTTCGATCCGATGCATCAACCTCTTGACATAGAACAATCATCTCTTGCACTGCTTGTTGTCCCTTCATTTCCCAATCCCTCTTATTCTTCAATACATATGAGACGTATTCATGTCCCGAAGCACCAAACACACCACACTCCTTGAGCTTGTTTGCCATTGGAATCAAGTATTGATCAAAGAAACCAATTTCTCCAAGGTACCAATTTTTAGATGGATCGCCAGAAATCTTTCCCTCCGCAAAAGCATTGTGCATTTCCTGGAATAGGCGCTCGTTCCATCGTCGGTAAATATGCCAATGTTGCATGGTATGCGCCACATCCGAAACTTGCATGATATGTTCAATCACAGCCGTTGCCTTGCGGTTCATGGACTCTAAAATTTGAGCAGGTGAAGTCTCTGGCTTGGTCGGTTTGCGGAATGCCCGTTCCCATTTCAAGTTACGCTGGGCAATCACCTTGCGGTCGGCAATATCAGTGGCCATGACCGAGTTGATGACCAATTGTCGGAATCGTTTACGCTCGGTATTTGTTTGGTAAATGCACTTTCGGAGTCTCTCAAATCGCTTGTCCATCAATAGTTCCCAACCAATGTGTGTCGAGTTTTGTTCCGCCACACTCTTGTTGTTGAATCGAATCGCAACCGGTTTCTGGTCCTTGACCAGTTGTGCATTGGGAAGACCAGAATGATCCACATCGTGAATCAACGCCGAAAAGACAATGGCAAAATGGGTCAATGGATCGCTGGAAATTCCATACGTGACATTGTGAAGTTCCTCTTCGGAATCGTACTCGTCCGAATTGACCAATCGAGTCAACAATTTGTTGGCGCACAGAGTCACGTGGGAAGCATGTTCACTATGAACAAGAAACAACATGTGAGAATTACTGTACTAGGGGACCCAATCTTGGAAAATATGTGAAACGCACGACAATAGCAAAAGAGATAACGTACAAGTTGTGGAAGGGAACATCCCGATACATGAGAGCAATTGCCGAAACAAATCCGTGGAGGTCCGCTCGGGTTTGCTGCAAGGTAGACACTTCGGGTCGGACGCGACGGAATCTCGAGTTTTCTGGATCAAAGGGAGGCAGTGGAATAATTTCCGACACATCGTCAATGACCGCGGGTAATGTAGGAACTTCTGCAGCATGATTCACCAAGGATCCATTGGACGTCGAACGGCTACGACAAGAAATGACCCGCGCCAAATGGTGCAAGAGGACATCGACATTCCAATCAATGAGACGGGCCGACTTTTCATCAAAGGCTTGTGGTTCCTGTTCCTTGGACTCGGAAGCCTTCACATTGGCACTCTTCGGTGGCACAACGGGCTGTACCATCTTGGGAACCACACTGTTATTATTGCTGCTGTATGCCTTGTTGTGTGCATTCTTTTGTCCACGCTTGCGAGTCGGATCGAGCCAAAAGGTCTTGAGTTCTCCCTTACCCTTGGCATTGACTAATTCTTCTCTGGGTCGCAACCAATGAGACTTGCCCGAGTTGCGCAACAAGTCTGCAGTTTCTTGGGATACTTGAATGCGCCCCTTCTTTCCAGTCGACTCCATTCTGGAAGCCTACAGTAGTAGTAGTATTGTAAAACAATAAATGACAAATAATTGATGAGCGATTGATTCGAATAGAAATGAAATGGAAATGGAGCGACGGTATCAAACAAAAACTCACCGTATTCACAGTGTCTCCAAACAATTGGAAACGAGACTTTTCACCGCGCAAGACTCCCGCCGTGACGGCCCCACTGTGCAGACCCAGCCGCAATCCCAATTCCGAGGTTCCTGGACCCAAGAGCGCCTCCAAATCGCCACACATTTTGCGGGTCCGGACCAAACATTGGTAGGCAAAGCGTGCCATGTGCACCGCGTGGTTCTCGTCCGGAACGGGCAATCCCGTGACTGCCATGTAGGAATCTCCAATGGTTTCCACCTTGAAGACCTTGAGCTTGGCTGCCACTTCGTCGAAACTTCGGTACAACGTCTCGAGCAAAGTAAAGACTTGAGGAGGATCGCGTTGGGAACTCCAAGCGGTGAATCCAGCAATATCCGCAAAGATGACAGTAGTATTGGGAAAGAGATCGGCAATTGGCTGGGTGGATCGTGTGTCGGAAAACATTCCATTTTCCGCCAAGAATTGTTTCACGGAAAGATTCTTGTTTTCCAGTTCCGTCTTTTTACTTTCCGAACTTCTCGCACTCTGGCTCTTGGGCTTGCCCGGTTCAATAACGAGAGCATTCCCGTTGCTAAGGACATCAGCTTGGGAGGTCAAATCCGCAACACTTCCGGGTGGCACGGATTGGTTGTCATTCTTGGGTGCCATTTCCGGAGTCCCGTTCATCATACGGTCACGAACTTGAGCCGGAAAGAGTCCATCGACAATGGCGGTTGATTTGGTGGCAATGCTGACCACAATGTCTTGACGCTTTTCCACCATGAAATCATAAACCAAGAAAGTGCACAATAGGATCACAAATCCCACCGCCACGACCGCCGTCAGAATAACATTCAAACTGGAATTTCCGTCGTCGTCGTTTTCTTCAGCTTTTCCCACAAAGGCAAAGGTCCCATATCCCAAGAAGCAGCACAAGAGCAATACTTGGACTAGAATCATATATCTCAAGCACAATACGTTGTTGGTTTCCTTTTCGACCAATTCAAATGGTTTCTTTGGACGTATTGCTTCGGATTGTACGGAAGCTCCGGCGGCGCTTCCAGTTTCATTGTCGTCGTCACCCGAATGGTCGGTGTGATCCTCGGCCAAAGAACCCTCAGCTTCTGTAAAGTCCACTTCGACGCCTCCTCCTCCTTGACTTCTGTGGCTGTGTTCCAGTGTCCCATTTTCCATTTCAGACTGTTCGACGGCCATGGCTTGGGCCTGAAGCCGTCGAATGGCTTCCATGTGTTTATCCATATTGCTGATGATGTGCTGAAACTGCTGATGTAGTTGTGGTTAAAGTCTTCGTTACTTGTGTGTGTGTGCGTGTGCGTGTAGTAAGTGAGTGAGCGTTTCCTCGTTCAAACCACTGACTGTTGCGTATTGTCAGCTCTACCAATAGCTCTGAGAAAGCAGACAGGTGGAATTAGACAGGCCAAATGCTTACTTCGTTTCTCTTCTGTGATTGACGCAGCTAGTTTTAGAGGTGGTGTTAGTGAAGCCATGTGGAACTTTTGGACAACACATCGGACATTAAGCCCTTTTGATTATGGCTATTAAGTGCATCGCGGATTACGTCAGTCGTCACTTAAGGCCGAATTCGAAAGAATGAAGACCGAGGCCAAATTTTCACCTACGCAAGTTAAGGACTTTTATCACACGCGACACTTTCTCCTCAGGACAAGAGAATCTCTTGTTCGGAAGCAAAAGGGTTGCTTTCATTGTACTGACCTGGCACACTTCTTTGCGGGAGTTTCAGCAGTTTACAAAGGGCGACGCTGTTTTAATGGGATGCAAGTTCAACTGAAACATACATGAAAGAACTTGAACTTCCGTCGTCCAGATTGTAGGTGACACAAAAGCGCGTTGTGATAGCTATCATATGATAAATCATCTCTCCTCGTCATGTCTTCATGTTTCTGTTCACAAGAAAAATAATGAGAGTAAGAGCAGGACGGTAATTGCAGTACTACTAGAAGAGTAGCTCATCGTTAGCCACTGTCAGATGCAACAAGGTACTTTTTCAGCCTCTTCAACACATATGGTATAAATGACAACACTTGATAAAAGAATATATAATAATCAGGTAAAATATTTGATCAACATTTGAATGTTAAAACATAGGACTGAGACTAGGATAAGTGCTAAATATTTTACACCAAATAACACTATACTATTACTGTTTAACCACTAGCCAATTTCATTCCATTGTTGTGTTCATGCGTCCTCCTCACCGAAGAATTTTCCATGAATGAGCTGCTGTTGCTTTCGAAGGGCTCTTTTATCTTTCTTTTGCTGTGTCAAGTCTCGAATGAAACCGCAAAAAGCTTTCTTTCCGGAAGTGGTGAGCACAACTTCTTGAACTACCAACTCCACTTCTACCTCACTGCCGTCTTTGCGTCTCGCTTTGACCTGTCGTTTGGTTCCAATGATCCGTTTGTCACCTGATTTCAAGTACCTGCTGATGTACTTATCATGCTTCGCACCGTGCTCACCTCCGCACAGTAAAGATATATTGCTGCCAATCAATTCCTCACGGCTGTATCCAAACATATTACAGGCTGCGTCATTCGTGATCTGGATGATTCCCTCTTGATCAATTTCCAGCATACTGTCCATGGAGGCATTAATCATTCCCTGAGCCAACGCTTGTCGCTCCTGTATTTCAGCTTCGTGTTGCTTCAACAGTGTCAAGTCCTTCATGAAGCCACAAAAGAATCGTTGACCGGTCGACACGTCCTTGATTTCCTGGACACCCAGGTCGCAGGGGAATTCGGTTCCATCCTTCTTACGACCCATCACTTCTCTCCGTTTGCCAATGATCCTTTTCTCACCCGTCTCTTTGTACCGTTGCACATATTCGTCGTGCTTGGCCGCATGACCACCACCACACAGGATGCTCATGTTGTGGCCAACTAGTTCTCCAACGGCGTAACCGAATAGTTTACAAGTAGCATCGTTGGCAGTTCTTATAATCCCCTCCTCGTTGATCGTCAAGACTGGATCAAAGGCTGTGTCGACAATCTCACGAACGCGTTCGTGCCGACTGCAAATGAAAAGCACATGGAAGACTTTGTCATCACCCGTTTCCTCGCCGTATTTGACCCAGTGGAGATCACGTGCGTTGCGTGTGACCAGACCATTTTCCTTTTTCATTTTGATGCGACTCTTTTCCAAAATTCTCCAATCGGCACCCTCTGGAATGGCCGCTAGAAAATCGGTAATGAGGTGAGCATCATTGCCATTATCGGGATGAAAGAGAAAGTGGTCGGCAGGGGTATTCCGGTACAATACAGTCCCATCGTCGGCAACCAAGACAGCTCGTTCGCTAGCAGCATCAATCGTTTTGGCAATAATCTTGGCCGCTCCGGTCAAAGAGTCCATCATGAATAGGATGGGGAGCCTACAGATGGATGATGTTTTACAGTAGTTTACTTGAGGAGAGAAGAGAAGAGGATCTCAGGCATCAGAATTGAGAATGTCGGTCTGTGAGGTACTTTCTCAGTCCTTCCCATTAATAAAAGTACTTATTCAGCCTCTTCAACTCACAAAGCACAAAAAGCACAGGGTCATTCAAACTAAACACGGTAACAAGAAGGTTGATCACTCACTGCAGCTTCAATCACAAACACAACACTTTACTAGAAGAAGAATCAATAACACAACACACATTCAAGATCCTTCGATCAAACCATAAATCAGGCATGTCGGGATTTGGAAAGTGGTACGAAGAACAGCAAGCGGGCGAAAATGGAACGTCCTCCAGCGGTAGCTCGTGGTTGATGAACATGGAGGAGGGACTTCCCTTGAATTTTGAAAGCATTGATATCCAAGCCAATCTACAAGGTTTCAGTTTCGAAAATATGAAACAGAGTATGGAAGCGCAAATGCCCAAAAAGATTTTAGGAATGGGATATCAACAACGATTTCAGGTGAGTCATGAGTCAGTTACTCAGTCAGTCTTTTGATAGTATCTTGGAGGTGGACCTACCGGGAGTTTTGGAAAGCAATTGGTTGGAAAGAGTTGGAATGATTGGTTGCTTGCGCGATTCCAATGAAACGCAAGTCTCACTGATGAATCTCGATTCTTCACTTTGTTCCTTTAGGTGTTTTGTGCATTGCTCTTTTTATCGGCACTCTTCTTTGCACTTGCCTTTTTCGTGGGTGTCCCCATGATGGCCGTCAAGCCACAAAAATTTGCCTTGTCGTTTACTTGTGGATCATTAATGTTTATGGGTAGCTTTGGAATTCTAAAGGGTCCAATGGAACATTTGAAGAGTATGTGTACAGCGGACCGCATGTTCTTCACTACGATTTACCTTGGCAGTATGATGGCAACTCTGTACTTGACATTTACCAAAGGCGGAGCTCGTGGCTATGTTTTAGTCATGTCAGCATCTGCAGTACAGCTGATGGCACTATTGTGGTATCTCATTAGTTTCTTGCCTGGAGGATCTGCTGGGCTATCAATTGTGGCCAAGATTATTTGTACCATGCTCCAACCGATATTGAAGGGCTGTGTAATAATGCAAGCAAAGCTTATGGGAGTGTGCGTTCGTTATTGCTGTAGAAGAAGCTAAGAATGAATGAACGAAATATCATAGATATTGTCCGATTTCCAAACCTCCAATCGTTCTGAATTATGATCATACACTAGCCTTTCCTAAGGTCCGAAGCCGAGTTATTTTGGTATGAACAGACACTGGCATCAAGTGGTCGGTTTTCTATCGAAGGAATACTAAGGAGATTACAGTAAACTTGAAGATCGAATGTAAAAATCCAACCATTTCCTAGATTTGTTTGACGAATTGTATTGTGAGATGACAATGCTGGTATCAATCGCTTGGTTTTCTATCGAAGCAATTCAAAGGGGGGTACTGTATATATACAGTATAGAGCACTCTAGAACTTCATTGGTAACAGTTCTTTATTTTATGGACCAATAGTTAAAATTCAGCTGGAACATATCTTTCCAACGAGACGACGGATTTATTTCTAATTTAGAAACAAGACAGACCGATTGCAGCTGAAAAAGTTGGATGGTCTATATGGCTAAAGGGAAATTATGGATACAGTATTCGGCACAAGATTTTTACTTTCCAACCTTGGCGAGTTCGGCACGCATGGAGTCAATGGTCTCCTTGTAGGCCTCGACGGTTCGTGGCTCCTTAAGGATGGCACTTCCGGCAACCATCATATCAACACCGGATTCAGCGACTTCTCTGATGTTGTCAACCTTGACACCTCCATCAATTTCCAAACGGCAGTCCAATCCGTTGTCATCGATAAGCTTGCGGGCGTCTCTGGCCTTGTCCAAGACAGCTGGGATGAAGGCTTGTCCTCCGAATCCTGGGTTGACAGACATCAGAAGGATGATGTCAAGCTTGTCCAAAACGAACTTGGCGACATCAAGACTGGTGGCAGGGTTGAAGACAAGTCCGGCCTTGCATCCTCCGTTCTTGATAAGCTGAAGGGATCGGTCGACGTGGTTGGTGGCCTCAGGGTGGAAGGTGATGTAAGAGGCACCGGCATCAATAAAGTCACCAATGGCGGCATCGACGGGGGAAACCATAAGGTGGACATCAATGGGGGCGGTAACTCCGTGGTCACGAAGGGCCTTGCAGACCATAGGTCCGATGGTCAAGTTGGGGACATAGTGGTTGTCCATGACGTCGAAGTGAACAACATCGGCACCGGCCTCAAGCACATTGTCGACTTCCTCACCCAATCTGGCGAAATCGGCGGAAAGGATGGAAGGAGCGATCAGGTAGTCCTTATCTCCCCAAACATTCAAAGAAGTGGAAGAGCGGGCAGATTGCTGGGGCTATTGGGTGGAAAAAGAAGCAATGGATGGCGATGACAAGGATGTGACAACAATGTTAGTCGACGACGCACAAATGGGAAAGAAATTCAGCATCACGCAAAGTCATTGCATTGCACGACCAATGACTTACAGCAGTGAAGGCACTGGCGGTAGAGAAGGCGGCGGCGGTAAGAGCAAGGCTGAATTTCATTGTGTCTTTAGTTGCTTGATATCGTCGAGTGTTTGAGATGATAGGTTTCCAGCAGTTCATCAAAGACAACAGCTGGGGATGGAACGAAGATTCACGAGGTCGTCGTGGCATTGATGTGACGTTAGTTTGTGTACGTACGTGTTCTACCGGACGGCGTACAAGCGATGGCACTTCAATCCAATAATTCACACTGGAAATGATGATTCTGATACAAGATGAATTATGAAACTGCAGCTGCTGCTAATGAATGAAAGAAATCTAGCACTGCATGTTCTATTTAAAAAATTGCCTTCTATTTTATGACACCCATTAGTCGAACCTTGACTTGCGATTTGGGGACATGGCACTGTATTCGCTGACATCAGATTCGCTGAACTTGAGATTACCATGCGTCTTTAGTTTCCGTTGCAAGTATCTTTGTCGTTCCATACTGGCCCAAAATGGAATCTTGTCAAATTCAAAGTACGGGATTCGTACAACCGTCCATCCTTGTTTCTTCAATAGTCGGTATTTCAGTACGCTGTGTCCCAGGGCGCGAGGTTGTGCCAACATTCTACCATCCTCGTCAGTCTTCTCTCGTGCAAAATGATTAGGACCATCAAACTCCACAGCAAGCGAGAGATCGTCTTCCGATTGTCCTTCCGCTTGAGTTTCGTGCGTCCAAAGAGCGTTCTGTTTTACCACAATAGCCACGTCAATATCTTCATCGTGTTCGTTGCGGTGATCCACTCCCATTAGCTGGAGACATTGACTTATCGATCGATGTCTCGCGCTGCTGATCTTGAGCTTGGCTTTTTCCAGAGTCCATTTCTTCTCAAGGTATTTCGAAAACCAAGTTGGTACATTGCTAACTGCTTCGGGGCTCTCTTCTTCCATGATAAAATAGGCTTGCCATAGTTGATGTGCATGTTCGAGTTGAATGGATTGATTTTCTTCCAATGACTCTGCGGCCTCTTGGAAAATTTTCTGAATGAGCTTGATCGCAGTCGACGATTGGTGCTCTTCCAAAACGGTCAAGGACCACACAATATTCGCTTGTTCTTGCGGTCCAATGCCCACGGATTGCAGTGATTGGCCTTTGGCAATCGCGCTCAATATGTATCCAGGAGCATTTGCAACAAAATCTTCAAAATCTTCGCCTTGCTCTTCCTTCAGGTAAAGGCGAGCTTGTGCCCAGAGAAGGACACTCACTTCCCAAGGATGGAAGCATTTTCGATGGTGATGTGGCACTGATGCATCCTCCACTTCGCATTCCACAAGTCGATGATTATTCTCCTTGTAGATTGCTTGGAGTAATGGTTGTTCATCAATTCTGGAATGGGCCATTCCCAGTGTCACTTGGACCAAATCGGGACAACTCCATGTCTTGAGAGGTCGAGCGGCCCGACTAAAGGAGGCTCGTGGTGAGTTCAATTTGAGATATTCGTTGGACAAATCTTCCACCAGAATGACCAGATCATCCGCCAATCGATAGTTGTCCGCCTGTGTGGTACCCAGCGCCCATATGAGCTGTGCCAAATCCCGTGTGAGCAAATGTTCGGTCAATGATCCACCGAAATGAAGTCGACGAGAGGTTTCTTGTGCCAACTTTTGCAATAACGTTTGAGATTGTTCGCTCTTGCAACTGCCATGTGCGGCAAAGGACCAACCCAAATTGGCCAGTTCACTCCACGAGCAATCTTTCAATCGTGACACCTCAGAATGTTGGGGTTCTGTTTGTGACTCGTCAGGAAGGATGAGTTTGGACATGCTAGGGTCACACAAGGCTGCCGCAAAGGCATCAAACAAGGCATTGGTGACATCATTGTCAATAAATGTGGAAACAGGACCGCCACTGGTACTGCTGCTGGTACTGCCACCATCAAAGGAAGTACTAGTACCTCCAATCGAAGTCCAGCTTTCAAATGTAATCACATCCGCATTTGGGTTGTGGTTGTGGTTGTTATTGTTGTGGTTGTTGTTGTTCCTATTGGCCAGACGACCGGTTTGGGGTGGATCTTGCCAACCAGGTGGTTTCTTGCGATGCCTCAACTTTCCATAGGCCCAGCTCGCCATGCAAATCTCTCCCACTTGAGCAGGCTTTTGCCACGCTTCGTAATGGCCTTCCAATTCCCCATTTAGGATATCCGTCAGTTGCCTGGCAATATCGTCCAAGGTATCTTCTAGTAAGATTTGCGATTGTTCCAACGGACTTGGCTCGTCTAAAATATTGATTTGAACCGCCGTCCCAATGGCACCTTCGTCGGAAAGTGCCACTGCTTCTGGAGCTTTGGGCAGTAATTCGTGATCGCGATCGTAATGTTTGGCAATCGCCCAACACGCATTGCAAAGTTGCCGGGTATTGAGCAATCCCTTGTGCACCATTTTGGACAAAATGTCAAAGGCTTGAAACAGCATGGACCGCAACTGAAGGTCGGTCGATATTTGTGACGTTCCGAGCGATTTGGCGCTGTAGGTCAAGGCACAAATGACATTGGCGGCGTTCACTTGGGTAGGATGAGTCGTCAGCAAAGCCTTTAGAATTTCCTTGGCCTTGAGGGTCCGCGTCTTGTACCTTGTCGAGTATGCCTTTTTGATTTTGCCTTGTGTGCGTATAGACGTCTTGAAGTCCGCTTGCCATGGTTTGTTTCTCACGTTGCTGTAGTTGACTCTTTTCTTGTTGTTGTTGTTGTTGTTGCTGTTGTTGTTGTGGTTGATATTATTCTTCTTGTTGCCATTGTTGTTGTTGTTGTTGTTTGTTGTCTTGGCCTTTGGCGGTGGAATTTTTTTCGTTTTGGATGGTGCCGTCGATGACGAAGCTGATGATGATGTATCTTCGTTGGTCCTGGGCTCGGATGCTGCTGCTACAAAGAGCTCCCATTTATTATTGTTGTTGTTGTTCTGGTTGTTGTGAGGATAGGGCTGCCGCCTTCTCTGCAACGAATTAGTGTTGGAGGGTGAAGAATGTAGTATGGACGATGATGATGATGGTGATGATGATGGATTGCTTGTTTGACTGGGAAGCAATGCAGCTGCAAAATGATTGGAAAGAACTGCCGTCAGAACTACGAGTAGCAACAGCATCCTCACAAGCCGTATCCGTCTTTTGTGGTGCTGAGCTGTAATGATGATCATCGCCACAATCTTGCAATTTTCATGAATCAATCAATGAATGAATGAATTAATCAATTGTCGTTTTTGTATTTTGTATTTTATATTTTCTGCAATTCTTCTTCCTCTTCTTCTTCGTTTACTCCACCTCTCTTCTTCTTCTTTCTGCGTACTTGAACTCCCTCACTCACTCTTTCCAGGTGGAAAGGGTGTTTCCTCCAATCGGAGACGAGCAAGCCATCACTGACGAAGGAAGTTGAAGTATCCGAAGAACCAAGTGGTCGAAAGAGTCAAGACATCAAACGGTTGCAGGACGCACGGTGCGCGAGGTTCTTTGCGATAATTATATTGATGGAACAAGAGGCAGGAGAAGATAACAGATGCAAAAACCCGAATGCTCTAGTACGAATGAATGGTTTGGTTTGACATTTTTGCTGCGTAAATAACAAAACTGAAATCACGAATGCACCAACATCACACACAAACTTTTTGGAGGATGAAATCAACAATGCACGTTAGGACTTTTCTGTTGGTTGTCTTGGCACTTTGTGTCTTTCCAATCATCACTACTCATGCATTTATTCCATCACATCCGAATACCTTACAACAACAACAACCACAACAACAACAGTCAGCATTTAGAATAACAAGAAGGTCTGATGTTGCTAGCAGTAGTAGCAGCAGCGCTGCAGCAGCTGCAGCAGCTTCCGATCAACGAAGGAGAAGATTCAGCTCCGTTGCGTATCCGAACTCCAGCAACAATGCGAATTCTTCACCCGCAAGAACGGCAACACGGCTCTATGCCTATTCTCTCAATTCCATCGAGCAGGTCTGTGTCAACAAGATGGACAAGTGGTACAGCAAGTCCTTGGCCATCAAATGTCCCTTTCTGAGGAGACGCATGTCGGACGTTTTGGATGCCATGGACAAGGTCATGCGCTTTTTGATCATCCGGCACAAATCCCTCGACTTGATTGGACCACCCTTGAGTTACCGATGCCCCAAAATGTCCAAGGCCAAGGTCCGCAACTTGAACATTCAACAATTGGCAGATGTGATTCGGAAAGATTGGAGAGAGGACACTCTCAAAGGGTATTACATTACTGGGAAACTGAATACTACCGTCTATCGCGATGACTGTCTCTTTGATGGACCCGATCCAGACATGCCGGTACGAGGATTGCGCAAGTACATTAACGCAGCCTCTCAACTCTTTGAACATCAAACGAGTACGGCTACCTTGCAATCCTTGGAGATTGTGGACAATCACACAATCAGGGTCTTTTGGGAACTAAAAGCAACCTTGCATCTCCCATGGCATCCCAAACTACCCGTTTGGACCGGGAGTACGACCTATCACATAGACGAGGATGGTCTTGTTTACTTTCACGAAGATTCGTGGGATATGTCTGTCTTTCAAGCCTTTACGGAAACTTTCTTTCCCACTGTTGCTTCCAGAATATGGGAACCACTGCCAACGACGGAACGACCTCAAAGTTCGCTGTAGTGGATCATGATGATGCAGATAATCATCCATCTTTGCCAACCTACCTACCGGTACCTACCTACTTACCTACCTACCTACCTATCAATCATTATAGACGATGTATGACTACTACTACTACTACTACTACTACTACTACTACTAAAATATTATAAACAATATAAAATCACAGCGCTATTCAGTACAGTATGATCTTCTTGGTACTAGGACATTCGCTTTGGATACATATTATACAGGTAGTACCACAAGGATTTTGTTTTGTTTTGTTGTGTTGTGTGTGTTTCGTTTCTTCTTCATCATAAACATCCACTTGTATGGATGCTTCAGAAGGCAACAGTTGTTGAAAGTCTAGTAGTATTTATATGAAATTGATATTGGTAACTAGATATATTCATTCATTATTCATAGTAGGACTATGTATAAAATAGCAACTTTCTTCATTCTTTATTCTTTTTCCAACATGGCCTTTTGTGTGTTTTTAAAAAATTCATCGGAAATAAGGCAACAATTATTGTTGAAAGTCTAATAGTTACTGTAGTCTGTGGTTTTCTTCAAAGTGAAGAGTGTAGGGTATGCAAGTAGTATTGTGGTCCTATTGTGGTCCAATGAATGATGCTTCGGAGAGCAGTACATGTAGTTTGATCATAAAATAAATTGAGCGACTGCATCAAGAAGCAAGCAACCTTTTTTTCCTTCTTCAGAGCCTCCTCCCTCAACAGAAGAGTGGAGGCTAGTTCCCGTATGATGCAAGCGTTCGATCGTTTGTTTGTTCTTGTTCGTTCGTTCTTGTTTGTTCGTTCTTTGTTCTTGTACACCAGCAGTATCTGTAATCTGTCTGGTGGTGCACTAGGATGGTACCATGATACTACCCGTGCGTTCATCATCATCATGAATGTCCCAAAAAGGAACGCAATTCTTTCAATATCGTTTCAGCTGGCAACATGCCTTCCAATCGCAACTGAACTTGACCTTGCTGAAAGACCAGCAGAGTCGGTGCCATAATGACATTCATCTTGTTGGCCACGGATGGCCATCGATCAATGTCAACATCAAACAAGAGCAGCTCATTTCCAAAGGTGGAATGAACTTGTTTCATTTCTTCCTTCATGGAATGGCATGGTCCGCAACTCTTGGTGCCAAACAAGACACCAATCGGCTCTTCGTAAAATGATTCCAAAACTTCTTCAATGTTTTTGAAGGTTGCCACCTTTCGTTTGTGGTTCTTGTTGCCCTTTCGTCCAATGGCAGCATTGAGGGAGGTCGTACTAGAGGATACTATTCCTCCTTCTGTTATGAGAGTCTTCGTTTGACTACTCCAAAAGGAGATGGTGGAACATTTGGTGATTGGCAACGCAAAAGGTATCCGAACGGCAGAAGTTGTAGTAGAAGGATTCAGGAACAGAATAAGGAACTGGAGAAAGTAAATGATTCTAGTGATGAATGAATTCATTTCCAATGTGTTGTTGATGGAATAATAACTGTGTTGCTGTCGATTGATTGATTGATTGATTGATTGATTGATTTACTGACAATTTCAGTTGATTTCAAAAATATGATGATGACGCTTATTCGTGTGATCACGATCGATCGATTTCATGCAGATTGAAGATTGATTGCTTCCCGAAGACTGAATGCACATAACCCGAATAAAATCAATAAAAAAAGCGGGGTGTCATTGATGCGAGGTCGCGAGGAGAACAAGTTCTTTTGAAGTCAATCACGGATGGTGATTGATTCCCGTATACGACGTCACCACGGGAGGCAAGTTCCAGAAGTTTTCAGTGAAGGGGTGGCCAATTTCACGGCATTTGGAAGAAAACGAAAAACGTGATGAAGTGAGTACCAAAGTGTGTGCACTCATTGTTTTTCTTGTCAATTCATTCATGCAATCAGCCAACGTCCGTCACTTGACATTCACTCCAAACCAGCCGACAAAGAACACAATGGCGCCCAAGGAACAAACAGAGAGCTTGAAAGTAGATGATGATACTACATCCTCACCAGGAGGAGGAGCCAACAAGACGACAGCTGCAGCAGTCGGCAGCAGTCTTCTAGCACCGTCAGTTCTAGCCACAAACTTTGTTGAAGGCGCTGCTGCTAGTGCTTCCACGATCATTATGGAACAAGCTACTGCTAGTTCTTCCACAATCGCCAGCAGCAAAAGTGGAAACTTGTCCAACACCACGACGACGTCACCCTCGTCCTCGTCGTCCAAGGAAGTTAAGAAACTCCTGAGAAAAATTCGAGATTCCAAAGTCGCACAAGAAGTGGAAGAGGCCATGACCTCCGTGGCAATGATGATTAACACGGATGAGAACGAAAAATCGACCGTGGAGGCAGCCGTCCAAACCATTGTATTGCTGGATGGTGCGGGGACTGTGCTGATGGCACTCAAGGACTGGTATCCCACATCGGAGAGTATATCCACAGTGACGATTGCACTCCTCCTCAAGTTGAGTGTTTTGTCCGATGAAAACATTCGAATGTTTGTGGCCAATGTTGGACTTCCAACCTTGGTAGCCGCCGCCAATGCTCACAAAACAAATGGTTCTGTGATTTGTGGTGTCATTGGAATCCTGTCCGTACTTTGTGAAGTCAAAGACGAAGATGTCAAGGAGGAAATTGCCAATGACGATTGCGTCGACCTGTGTGCCCATGCGATGAAAACTTGGCAAAATGAGACCTTTGTTCAGAGTTGCTGTTGTCTGTACTTGTCCAACATTGCTTCCGAACCTGCCAACAAGGCGCGACTCTGTGAAAAAGGGATTGGTGCACTGATCTTGGCAGCCTTGGAAAAGTATCGAGGCAATCAAGAGGACAAGATTGTCTATCGACGTGCCTTTCGAGCAATGACTCTGTACATTGCCGAATAAATATGTGTGCATATATAGGTACAGTGTACTACAGAGGTGTGGACGATGCGATCCGCAACAAGAAGAAGGGTCAACAGTTTTGGAGGTGTTGATTGTTTTTGTTTCATACACCATAATGCCACCTGAACGGGATTGTACATTTTAAAATGAAAAAAGATTTTGATACTGTTGCAGTCGTCGTTTGGCTACCTTCATAGTTATTATATATATAGTCTTGTGGATACAATACTCGTAGCACCAAATACAGTACCGATAAAGTAGGTCGGAAGAAGTTTGCTTTTTCATTTTAAATCGAAGGAGTCGTAATTGAATTTCTTCTAAAATCTACAGTAAAATCTCAAAAATACGCACAATGACCAATAAGCGGAAGGAGAGCACCATCACCAAAGGATGGTCGCACCCAACGCAATCACAGCTGCTGTAATATCTACGGGCCTCATCAGTCTCGCCCCCAATGTACTTTTAGTCTTATTTCCTCGATACGCTTCTGGAGAAGGAGTACACAGTTCTAGCTTGGCCTTGGGTCAAGCGCTGGCAGCTGGAGCCTTGTTGGGAGATGTCTTTTTGCATACTATACCACATGCAGCAGGAGTGGAGAACGTTGGACTCTGGATTCTCTTTGGCTTTTTCATCTTTTTGGTTGTGGATATGGTGATTCGTTCGTATGGGAGTCATCAGCATCAGCATCAGCATCATCATGGAGGAGGCGACAAGGACGGCACCAAGAAGAACTACGACACTAAATCCGATCATATGCACGATCATAAGAATACCACATCAACCATTTTGCTCAACTTGGCGGCCGATGCCTTGCACAACTTTACGGACGGTCTTGCAATTGGTGCTTCTTTTGCAAGCGTCGCGGACGATCATTCCTCCGTTGCCACATTACTGCAATCACGGGGTGGGCTGGCTACCCTGTCGATTCTATTTCATGAAATTCCGGTAAGGAATGCACACTGTGTGTGGGCCTTTATGATGGCATATAATGGCATGTACCCTCTAAGCTATTTTCCTTCCAATTCCTTCGCATTCGTATCTTGATTACTACAGCATGAATTGGGGGACTTTGCAATTCTAGTGAAGAACGGTCTTAGCCGAAACAAAGCCATCTTGTGTCAATTCGGAACTGCCGTTGCCGCCATGATTGGAACTTTTGTTGGGTTATTCCTACAGAGTTTTGCCGGTGACTCGTTAATGTTTGTTACCGCTGGAGGCTTTGTATACCTAGCCGCGGTTTCCATTCTCCCAGAAATTTTGGAAGACTCGAGTTCCACGTTGAAGTTTCGGTTGCTTCAACTTTTGTGCTTTGCTGGGGGAATTGCATTCCTGTATTCAACAACAATATTAGAAGAAATGAGTGGTCATCATAGCCACGGTCACCATGATCATCATGATGGGCATTCTAATGATCATGGTCATAACGATCATCACGATCATCACAGCGACAATCACCATGATCATCATGACCACGGTCACCAGCACGGGGAACTCTAAAAACTACTAGACAGAACGACCGCTGCGTAATATTATCAGTAATTCATCAGCTCTTCCTCAAATTCAGCAGCAAGGTCGTCTTCATCGTCGCTACTCTCCTCAGCAGCTTCTGCTGGCTTTGGCATTGGTACAGGGCTGGAAGATCGTGATGGAATAGGGGTCATCAAATGCGCCAATGATCGTCGGCGAGACATACTCCAGTAGCATTCCATCAGCCAACTGGGCTTGATCAAAACAGTTCTTGGGAATTTCCTGGCCGCGATTGCCTTGTCCGTCCCATCCTTGGCTGCGACAACATGAGTCACTGAAACATCAACGTTCTTTTGAAGCTGCAAAAATATACTGTGAGAAATGGATTTGGGCAAAGCAAGAAAAAACAAAGGAAACAATGACCTTACCTGTGCGCCCAAGCTCTCCGCGTAACGGACAATAGTCGGTCGAGGAGCATCCGGCAACAATACGTCCCTGTTGAGCGGGACAAGGCCACTCAGCACGAGGTTTGTGCCCTTCAGAACATTCTTTCTCATCCGTGATAGAAGTTGAGGAACAGTTTGCCTAGTTCCGTTTTGTTGAGAATAGTATAGAGTGTGCAAGTCCTTCAGAATTTGCCCCGTCCATATCAATTGGATGTCGTTTTCTTCCGTCTCTGTCGATTGGTTTGAAGCACTCAGATCCACACCGGCAGCATTATTGACATCGGCGAAACCTTGGAAAGCCGAAAAGTGATACGGCTTGACCAGTAGTAAGTTGGAAGGTGGTTCTCCCTTTCTTGTAGTTTCCGAGTTGTCGGATGCATTGGCCCAAACATCTTCTCGGTCGTCCAGAACGGCAGCCATGGTGCCCCCACATGGAAATATCCGACGAAGCGACTTTACATCTCTCCCCAAGTCACCAACATCAGTTCTTGACACAACACGGCTTCCGAAAATGGACTGTCGCAGCTTTTGAGCTTCTTTTTCCATTTCTTCCCCCTTTGACAGCTCTGCCTTTAGCTCATCTAGCTTAGTTTTCAAGACCTCGGCAGTCTTCTTTTCTACTGGCGCGTTCGCATCGGCACTCGACGTCGTGTTGTAGGTCTTGACTTCGTCGACCCCGAACGATACCTTCTTTCGCTTGACGGCCTGCTTCGAATCTGCACCGCCCTCGTCCGCACCTTCATTGCTATCAGATTTTCGTTTCTTTTCCAGTCGCACCTGCGTTTCGTATTCTTGTTGGGCGACAAATGTTGCATAGCGTAGCTTTTCCAGCTCGAGCATATCCAGCTTGGTTCCCACCAAATGGCGACATAAAATGATGGTGATTTCTTCTGCATACTGCCGAGTCCCAGCTGTATACACTGAAAGTTCGTACGCATCTCGCACACTATTCAAGAATTCCTTCAAATGTGGCCGAAGTTTGACATAATGTGTCATAAAGACTGGTTGCTGAGACGGTTGCGTTTGACCGTTCGGTTGTGCTTCCATAACAATAGGCAACCGCAGAGTCCGAACGTCATCATTGGATTCGCAAAGGGGCTGAGCACGTGGATCGGCCGTTGCATGCAACAAGGTATGATCTAGATCCAACACCAAGCAAAGTTTCTTTATCCCCAAGAGTCTCTCTATATCCAGTTTTGCCATTTCCTGACTTTCTTGCTGTGATATGCTGACCGTGACGCCCCCTGACACTGTAACTAGCGTATTCTTCTGCCGAGGTTCGGAATTTCCCGTGAGTGAGGACGAATTTGGCGACAGGTCGTTGTCGTTTCCATCAATTTCCAACTTTGCGGTACCACAAACCACACAAAGCCCTCCAACAAAACCTGGATGCAAGCATTCCTCAATGTACCCGATGACACCATTGGTGGCCTCGTCTTTGCTCTCGTGAACAAATCCATTTACAGGTGATAATATTGGGGTTGTTTGTACTGATTCTTTTGGAGCTTTTTTCGTTGTTGCGGAAACAGTGGCCTTTTCGTGTTCATCCTCAGTTGTTATTGGAGTAGAATCATCTAAGGTCTCATCTGAAGCCTTGTTTTCAGCAGCCGCTGATGGTTTTGACTTTGCTAATCGCTCTGCTAGCTTTTGGTGAAGATTATGTGTCGTGTTTGAGTCAATGGGTTGCGCTGGTAAAGGCTTTGCTGTTTTTGCAGCAGCAATTGATGCCGGTGAAGGAATGAGTCGTCTTCCACGTTTCGGCCTCTTATGTGTCGATTTTGTAGCTGTTGAGGCAGAACTGGCGATCTTAGATCGAGCGACTTCCGCATCTTCTTCTAAACAACACATAGCAATGGTTTCCCCCTGTTGTACATGACTTCCCAGCTTGACTTTCCACGTTAACACGACATGTTTCTCGCTGGGAAGGCAAATATCAGTCCGTTTTGGAGTTTCACTCATTTCACTTGCTTTTACAGAGCCGAAGCAGAGATTCTTTCTCCTATTCGTTCGCTGCTTCTTGCCGCAGCGAGATAGCTGAACTGTCTTAAAGTTCTGTGGCTTTTGCCAAATACGAGGTACAGTATACAACGTCCGATTTTATTTGAAAATACAAAAGTGTGAAGAATGAAATGAAATAGCAGCAGCTGCTGTTCGACTACACGGATTGAAAATATAGCGTACGAACGGAAGGACAACCTTAGTTTTTAATTTTCTCTTCCGCTACCACTCCAGGATGGGTAGGAACACGGATTCTGTTACCACTGTGACCGGCTGTTCGTGGGTTCAATCAATATTGCTGTGTTTTAAAAGTCAGATGGCATGGTCATGTAGGGTGCAATGTATTGGTGTTGATCAGATTTATTTGCTAGATACTCCTTAGTGCCATCTAGACATCTCACTGAAAATTCAACTGTGTGTGCAGGATACGACACGACAGGAGGTGTTTGAAGCAAAGCAGCTCATGTTTTAGAAAGGCTGCTCCTAACAAGAAACCGCTCGTCTCCTTTTAGAAGTCGGAACCTGGTGGCTGCAATCAGCTCAGAAGACGATAATGTTTTTTGAAGTTCTGATCGCGGATCAATCGTTCTTCTTGATGCCGTCCTGACCGATCGTTCTTAGAGACCCAATGTTGGCGTGCTGATTGATTGATTCAGCATTCAATCAAGGTTTGGAAACATTGGACACTGGACGCCATGCTTTTCAAATGTTCCTCTCCACGTGTGATACTTTCACTTTTACGGTTCATAAGTACACGTAAATCGTACCGCATATATATTGCTGTTCGTTCTAGGCGAAGTCCCAACGATAACGTCCACTGTAAAAGTATTTGTGTGCACATTTTTAGAAATGGATGGTTTATCCACTGTTCTACTCCAAAATAGGTACTGTACGTACACGCGCACCTCGTAGGTACTGCATGGGAATTCTGATGGTACTATTTTTGCCCTCATAGAAACCACCAGTAACAGAACAATAGTCATTGTGGGGCTTTTATGTACCGCAGCCACTTCAATAGATAGATCAGAACATCAAATAAATATCATTCTCCCGCAAGACTTTCTTGGAAGGTTGGAACCTTGCGCTTTTGACTCGTAAGCCTGGTAGAAAAGATCTGGACATAATGCCGCATCAAACTGGAACGCGTTTTTCTTCGAAAACATCATAAAACTGGCATGCACCTCACAAACTTTCCGGGATGATCATGATACGAAGACCAATTAGACCTGGGACTAGGACTGCCCCCCCTGACGATGGTGTGCTATACTTACCACACTGGTTTGAACCATCGGATAGAGACGTCATTTGTGGTTGGGCAAAGCAGAACCATTTTCATGGTGCGTGAGAGAAACTTGAAAAGTGATTTTTTTCTTCGCGAACTAACCTTTGCTCACCGATACCGGTATTACATTAGCCGGAAACACCAGATTTCGTCAGCTAGTCGAACTGACTGCTCCATTGTACGATGCTGCTCAGACGAAGCAAGAGAAGACAAAGGTGATAGCTTCCTTAGTTAATCGTATTCGACGCGAGAGTCCTCAGGGGGGAGGTTTCATCAAACGTGATACAATCACTGGTTTGTGGTATGAAATTGGGGATGACAAAGCAAGGGACAAGGTTGGACATGCAATCAGAAGAGTCATTGACGAGAAGACGAAGAAAAAGAGAAACGTCTCATCTCTTGCCAAGCTGGCATCCCCAAGCAAGCAAGGGCCAGCCACAGCAGAAAAAGCGATCGATTCGTCACTACCGGCAGATCCATCAGATGCCAAACCAATGACGAAAACGCTGAGTATGCAAATGAAAAGGGATCCGCTCCCGGTGTTGGACACCACGCAGACGGTAGCCTCTTTACCACAAAATCAACGTCCAGATCTCCTAGGCAACAATGCTGCTGCATCGCTAGCTCTATCGCATATTGCAGGACCTCTTCCTGGTCCATTACCAATGAACTACTCTTTGCTACGAAGCGGAATGGCTCTGAGTCTGGATAGCAACACTCAATCAATCCCATCAAGCTCGTACATTGGTGGAAGCGGGGGTCGAATTGTCGATCCTCCTCATCTAAGTGGTTTCGGGGATCTTTCCTCCGGGGATGAGTATAATACCATGAACAGTGCGGCAATTCAACTTCAACGACAAAGTTTGGGCCTGTCGTCAGACTTTGGGTCTGCAAGTCTTTTCAGGTTGTTGAGTCAGCCAGAAGCGAGTTTACAAGACCAGCTTCGTGACCTGTCAGGTTCAACGACCAGTCGCCACCACCAGAATCAGATAATACCGAATACTTTTGGAATCTCAAATGTTTTGACTTCGCAGCAGTCGGGTTCCGGTACACCTTTCCTTCCTTCAAACGACGCAGCGATGGACCAATTCTTGTCTACCCTAGATCCTACGCCCATTGGTCCGCGTGCAACCAATGATGCTTCTTCTACAGACAAGGAGGACGTCAAATGGAAATCAATGTAACCCATTTCAAGTTTTGCTCAATGTGCCGCACATGCGGAATTTTGATATTGGCTGAATTAAAATAAACTCCTTTGTTTTTAGACGTTTTGTAAAATGTTGTATAGTACATATGTAGTAGCTATTGTCCTACACTTTGCAAACAGATTTCAACTATCATGATAGGTCCTGGAAACACACACCAGTACACCAAGAAGACGACCCCAGGCATATAGTTTTAGTACCATGAGTTTCATGATGGCGATGCGATGAGAAAAAAAGGAGCGCAACCATTTTGAAAAAGTACCATATCTGATCTTTGGACCGAACTTTATGATCTTCGCCTAGGTAGGTACTTTTACACGTTGATGCTGCTTCGTGGAGGACGACGACTAACAAACCAAATGTGGTGCAACCATTTCCTATGTAAAATAAAACAATCCTGTTCTTGACATCAGTAAGGTACCACATATATATGTAGAACTGCAAAGCTTCTGAACATTTCAGTCAGTCAACACCAAAGCTCCCCTCCCTTCTTGTTCTCCATTTCGGTGCAAAGTGTCCCTCATCGTATCAACAGAATTATCCCCCTTCGCGATTGTCTGACCGCTTGACCTATCCTTGGTCTGACGGCAATCGGACTTGAATCTACAAACCCTCTACCCTTGCTTGAACGAATCATCATCAAGAGAAAGCTTGAATCAGAGGGGTCGAATTACGTCCTCTTGAACTGTTTTCTGGCGGAACAACTATCGTACCCCCCGATTGATGTATTGGACCATCAACATCTATGGGAAAGAAGATATAATAATGGTAACTGCTATCTAAAGATATTTATTGTACATGAAGTATACTTGAAAGGTCCAAGCATGATCCAAGCTTCACAAATGCTACAGAAGAATTCAATGTCCACTATTTTGTTTTTACGGTACTAATATTGGAGGTCCCACTCCTCCTCGAGACACAATAAGGCATGACGCTTCCAAACCGTGAACGCCCAGTCAAAACGCTTCGGTCAATATTGAACAAAGCAATTCATGTCCGTTGCAGTGTGCTCACTAGTTCCTCACGAATGAATCATCGTTCGAGGAACATCCATACTGGTGCCTGCTTGGCTTCTTTGCCTACTAGATACTTCTGTATCATTCGTGTTGTGAATCCCCTACGCTTACATCCACGCACCAGTATTATCGTCAGATTCTTGAATTCCCGAGTCTGAACTTTCACTCGCTGACCCAATATCTCCTTTCGCTTCATCCGAAACATAGGAATCTGGCTTTCCAAAACTTCTCTTTGTTTCCTGTTCAATTTTTTTCAATTGTTTCTCCGCCGCAGCAACTTGCTTATCAACCCATTTTTTCCTTCTCGGGTTCTTTGGTCCATCTGTCGCAAATGGGGGAAAGGAGTCTCCTGCCACCATGTTCGGCAGTCTTTTGGCTGCCCAATCTCGTGCACCATCTCTGTCTCCCTTACCAATGCAGACCTGAACGATCCCAGAGAGGGCTCCAAAATGCCATGGTTTTACTTTCAAAATTACCAAGCATAGCTTATAAGATTCGTCGAATTTGCCTTGCAAATAAGACAACGTGGCCAATCGATTGAGTGGTTCCACAAAGTAGATTCCATATTCATCAATAATTTCTCGCAAGACTGTTTCTGTCATCTTCCAAGTCTTTGGATTGCCCATTAGACTATCCACGACTTCTAGTTTCTTTTTTGCAGTTCCTCCTCGTTCGGAATACCATAATTTCCATAGCTCGCTCGAGGCTTCATCGGTCACGTCTAACTCCTTCAGCAACTGAATTTCGGCATTTCTGCGATCTCGTTCAATCGTAGACAGTGGTGGCGGAGATGGTAATTCGATGTCCTCTTCAGTTTTCATTGTTTTGCTCGATGAAAGCAGATCGTCCAAAACCTGTAATGAGGATGATGGGAATGACAAATTGCCCTCTGATGACACTTCTTTGCTGTCCGCTGTTTCATCTGATGCAGTCCCCATCATGGATTCTAACTTCCGACGAGCTGCTTCCACATCGAAATCATCCTTCTCATCACCTTTGCTGATATCATCCGGTGATGATGCATACAAGGTGGTAGCAGTTGATTCTCCTTCATAGATAGTCTGGCGAAAATGTTCGATCGTTGCAGAATTATCAAGCAGTACGTGGTGGTGTGAATTCAATTGAAAATTAGGTGCAAATGCAAGTGAAGGATGCACAATTGCTAGAAAGCCTAATAGGCACTTAGGGTAGTGGCGGTGAGACATACTATATGCATCAGACGTAGGTAGTCAAATGGCGAGGCAAGGTTTGAAAGAGACGCGTTGTTTTGCCATCACCAACGCAAACATCAGAACATGCGGTTTTCTGATGATGCGTCATATGTGCGTGTTAGAGATAACGGAGAATGCGAGAATCGGAGCAAAGAATATTCTGAAAATCTTTAGGACAAAAGCTAGTAACGCCTGAAGGATTAAGTGCATGAAACGCATCGTCGTTCGCAGTGTAACCCGCGAGAGCGGAGCATCCCTTTTATCCATCCATCTTCTGATACAATACAGCGATGAGTATACCAATTGACTTGTTGTGTGGTGATATAGCCTCTTATTTGGATCGAAAGTCCATTAATAGTTTGCAATTGGCATCTAAAGATATTCATGACATTCTGAAACGAACTGCGTGCTTTCCGTGGCCAGACTCTGTTCGATTCTTCAATCAAGCTTATTCTAAATGTATAATGTTCGCACCAAACGGAAAGTGGCTTGTCTATGCAGATATGAATGGAATCATCACCATATGGGAACGACACAAAGGAAAGTTTGCCGACGAACAATCCAGTTTGGATTGGATCAGTTTGTTGACCATTTCCGCATCTTCTACCTGGCTGGCTTGCGCAAATACAATCGATGACAAAGTTGCGATATACCATTTGCCTACAGCAACTTGGCACGAATCTGTCAAGTGCCAATCCAATATGAATTCCATGGTCTTTGTACATGATATTCTTTGCGTCACCACTAAAACTGGTATTGGGATCTTGGATGTGAACAATGCCACTCCAAGCAGTGGCGATGAGGTATTAGGTGATTGTGGGGCTAGTCCGTCTGCGTTTCGATTACTACACGAAGGGACCTTCAAATTCATGACTCCGGTTCATTGGGTAGAACCTATTCTTGCTGCTGCCGACATGGATCACCAAGTCCACCTTTGGGTCCTGGACAAGAATAGGACGGATGGGCACAGGATACTTTGCCATGCAGATTCGATAGATGCGACTCATCGCTATGTAGTTTCCATGTCAGCAATCGGAGACGGTGGCGTCCCCAATGGGAATTTGGCCGTGGCTGGCTGGTGTTATGCCACGAAAACTTCCTTCATTGATCTTTGGTCATGTACCGAGTCGGCTCTTATCCGACGGATCCCGATCGATCACAAGATTCACGTTTCTTCGTTGGTCATGGTGAGCAAAACATCTTGGGTTATTGCAGATGGCGCGATTGATCAAGTGAGAGTGTGGCGAAACTTTCGCCATTATGCCCGCTGTCAAGCCAATCCCACGAGGATGGCTTTTACACTGTACAAAAGTACGATAGCCTGGATTGGAAGGGGTTCGACCTTGTGGCTGCGAGATCTAGATACTCTAGTGGACTGATTGATTCTTGGACACTACTACTGCAAGCAAGATTTAAAAGGCAAATTGGGTGTTAAGAAGAATAGTCCAATGGGGGTAGATCTGGCATCGAGATCTTTTCAGATTTTGGAACTGCTCCAGAATTGCTTTCATAGCACCGTTTCAGTTGATTCTTTCCCCAATCATTCAGAATAATGTTTTGCTCTTCCATCAAAACCACGATGGCATCAGCGCGGCTGGATTTATCGGCATGCCGGCTATCAGCGATGGTCTTGAGGACAGAACCAAAAGTGTTGGCATTCGGAGCCATTCGATGATTCTCTTGCGACTTTTCAATGAGCTCGTCGAGCAATGAGATCACCTTGGAAACGGTCCTGGGATCTTTTACAAACGACCATGCCTTGATGACAGCATTGTAGGAAATGACATTCGGCTGCAGGTCGCGATCAGTAGATTGTTTCATCTGTTCGAGCAGTACTTCCGCTCGTTCAGTCGCTGATTTCTTCTTGGCGTAAGCCAGACAATCCAATACAATGCTATAGCTGACATAGTTTGGTTTCACATCTAGCGCACCAGACACGTGCAGCTTTTCCATCTGTTGCAAGAGCGACTCGGCTCGCTTTGCAGCTTGTCGATTGAACCGAGTCTTAGCCCACGCGGAAAGGACTGCGGTGAAGGTGATAATGTTGGGTTTGTGTCGATCATCTTTGTCCCGAATGTAATTGGCCAGCATTTCTCGAAACAGTGTCTCTGCCCGTTCTCCGTCTCCCGCAATGGCCCAGGCTTGAATTGCCGAGTTCCAGCAGATTGTGTCTGGAGCCATTTCGGGGTCGGCACCTTCCTTGCTCAATTCCTGCATTTTGCGGAGTATCGATTCCGCCTTTTCAGCACCACCAGGTTGCTTGGACTTACCCCAACATTGCATCAAGCTGGAAAAGGCGGCTGCATCTGGCCGGCAGTCTTCCCACCCTGCTTGGTCCAGTTCGAAGAGTTTGCGAAACAAGGCCTCCGCTCGGTCTGGAGCCTCGGGATATCGAGAAGCCTTGGACGCCAAGGCATTCAATACGGTTCCAAAGGAAATTATATTAGGCTGGGGATACTGAAGCGGATCTTGAATATAGGCATTGTAGAAATCCCAAAATAAATTTTCTGTGTTCATCGGATTTGCTTTCTTGGCCCAGGTACTCAGCACGGTATTCATGGAGGTACTGTCAGGCACAACGCCGTGATTACTCATCCGATCGTACAACTGCTTAGCTCTCCGAGGAGCAGTGGGGTCCTTGGATCTGGCCCAGCACTTGAGTACCAAATTGAACGACCACGTCGTCGGACGCTCTTCCAGCACATTGTTCTCATGTAACTCGATAATGTTGTTTAACAGCGCTTCCGCGTCCTGCGCCGCCTCTGGGTGATACGATTTGGAATATCCCCATAGGACGCTCCGAAAGGGTGCCAGTGTTGGCTTCAATTCCGCGTCGAATTGGCTCTGATAGTCTCGTACCAGTTGTGCCAGCAAGGTTTCGGCTCGTTTCGCTTCGGCCAATTTGGAAAGCCCCGTAATGACAGGCAAATACGAGGAGGCTGTACGTTGGATCTTTTGGTCTCGCATCTGCTCCAATAGGGCTTCGGCCTGTTTGATTCTCTCTGGGTGTGGCTTGGCACAATAATGGGAAATGAGAAGGTCGTATGTCTCGTTATTCGGACTGGGCAGTGGGAGACGGCTCGTATCCGTATTCACCTCGGATTGTTCTTGCATCTTTTCCAATAATAAAAGTGCTAGTTCTGGGGTCCCCTCTATGCAATATGCCTTGATGAGCGAGTTGTACATGTGCAACGTCGGCTGTACCGTTCCCGTCTTGGAGGACTTGTGGCCGAGAGCATTTTCTCTCATTTTCCATACTATTTCAAGGATTTCATTGTGATTGCCTTCATTGGCGAGAACCACAAGGGCTAGCTCCATGGTTTCAGTGGTCGGCTCGGGTATGAGGGACAAAAGGTCTTGAATGTGTTGCGATGTAGCGGTATATTTCATTTGGTCCGAGTTGTTGTTGTTGTCTTGTTGTTGTTTGGTAGCCCACGGTGGAGATGACGTTTGTTGAATCCAACATTCCAATACGGCATGATAATCCTCCAAGGATGGTGGGGTGGTCAAAACACCTCTTGCTGCTAGAGATGTCATTTGCTGCACCAATTTGGTAGCACGAAGTCCAGTGTCAATCGATTGTGTTGTATTGCTGCTACTGCTGGTGCTGCTGTGTCCGCGTGTGGATGGTTTGCTATTATGGTGACGATTCTTCCAGGCTTGCAGAACCATGGAAAAGAGTCTCGTGTCAATGGGTTCTCGTTTTCCACTTGATGATGATGGTGATGATGATAATGATCCATTCAATTTCGTGTTGGAAATCTCCCCACCATCACTTTCAGGAGCTTCCATCAACAAAGCCCGGACCATTTCCTCTGCCTCAATCGCATTGCCATCTTGGACAGCATCATTGAGGTCCCTCCAAAAGTTATTGGTCGCGGAAGCATAACATCGTTGTTGTTGTTGTATATGATGATGATGATGATGTAACGGCAATGTCGATTGTGGCAATGATGATACCACAGATGATGATGACGACGACATCAGTTGAGTCGACGAGGGCGCCAAATGATGATGAGTGGGCACGACTCTCCTTCGACGGCGGTTGGAATGCTTGTTTTCAGGAGGGACACCAGATGAGAAACCCATTCGTTCTCCGGAGCTACATGGGTGGCTTCTAATCATTGTATTGTTTGCATGTCTTGACGGCAACCGAAGTCGTCGTGCTATCAATGCTGTCGTAGTAGTACGATGGCTCATTATCTTGCTGCCTAAGGAACACGGGATCCAACAATATGGGTGGTCACAGCGCACTATTTGAAGCTCTATACACACCAAACTCTTGATACTAGCTTCACCTTTGAAGTTATTACTATTTGATGGGAAGAAAGAAAAACAGATCAGCAGATGATTTTCTGTTTTGAATGATGCATGATGGTTTTCGATTCTGACTCACACCGATTTGGGGGGGGGGGGGTACTTAAATTTTGAATAGAAAAGAGGGGAGCCCATAACAGGCGTCCGTCTTTCCATCCATCCGTTATTTGACTCGCACGATCAGAAATAAGGCCTCCAAATCGAAAGCAGCGGAAAACCAGAATTGAAAATACACAAACACATCATATATCCATCCTTTTGCATCCAACGCAACAACGGTTTGATATTGACGCAAGCTAAGCTCTGATACGGCACCCAACTAAAACTAACAACTCCATATCTTCATCACACATCAACAATGGTTAACGCAATCCCCGAAAAAGTAAAGGCATGCCTTGGAGAGCTGACTCCGGCCCAACAAGTTACCCTTCGTGGCTACATTGGAACCCTTCGTGCCGAAGTCAAGGAATTGGAAGAGAGCCTTCGCACCGTGAATGACCCAGATCCCCATGCTCATTACCATGGGCATGAAAAGTGAGAAAATTGTATGCAAAACCGACTGCTGAAACGATTGTGTTGAAAAGGATTCGTCAGGCTTCTGCGAACGGAGATGGGCGTGACCATCCTCTCGCGGGCATGTGTGTGCATGTCTCGCATTTTCATCCAAGAGGCTTCCATCTTGTGGAATGCTTTTACTAGATGAAATGCATAGGCCTCTGCGGTATCCATTTGTGGCAAAACGTCGAATTCTTCCGCCTTTCGTTTGCTTCCACACAACCAGATCATTCGGCCATTCTGTTTTGTGCGTTCGACTATCCTCAACAATCGCTAAACTCGTTTCTTCCTTTGTTTCTTTTTCAGGTGCACTGCCGATCACGGGCATGACTCTCACGATCATGCTGAAAAAGATCATGGAGGACATGATCATGGACATGGACACGGCGGCCACAAGGAGGAAACAAAGGAAAGTCATGGACATGATCACTCGCACGGTCACGCGCACAAGGAGGAACCAAGCTGTGGTCACGATCACAAGGAGGGAGAAAGCTGCAGTGGTCACGATCACGGTCATGGCCACGCGGAAGAGAAGAAGGAAAAGAGTGGCCACGATCATTCTCACGGACATGCACACAAGGAAGAAAAGATGGAAAAAAGTGGTGGTCATGATCATGGACACTCTCACCATGCAGAAGGAAAATCTCACGACCACAAGGAGGAAAAGACAATCCCCGCTTGGAAGAAGCGTGCCATGGAGGCTGCAGCCGCTGACCCCACTGCCGCACCCTTTGGCGGCAGCTGGAATACCGAGACTTCGGTCAATGCCTCTGCCAACAAGATGGAAGAGTAAAGTTTTTTGGTATTTAAAAATTCAATCATAAGCATCACTGTTGTCTATTATAGTACTGGTACTGGAGGAAAGTATAGACCGCTGGTTTTTCAGGAGTAAAGTAGTACGGTAGCAGAGAGTGGTACAGTAGGATAGTCTTTAGTTTTGACGACCGTGGTCTTTCTTGAGTCTCTCTGCCATCATGCAAAGTGGCGTCGGTTGATCCACACTGTATCGTGCCTGCAATGCCACAGCCGTCACGACGATCACGGGATTTTTGGGTTTCGGACCCATACAGGTGCTCTTGCCACCGTACACGTATCGGTATTGGGGGTACATTTGAACCCTTTTCAACTTTCATGAAACTTCGCGCTTCGCGCGAAACTTGGCATTTTTTGCAACACTGTCCGGGTAATTTTTTTATACGATTAGTTACAGTACCACTGTAGTCCATCTTGCTGCATCAGATTGTACTCAATACTGTATTGCATACTATATTCCGTAACGCAGCAGCAACTTGACACTTGCATGAAAACAAAGCAAATAATGCCTTCAAAAACAGCGCCGAAAACTCCCTCGTCAGCCACGGCCGTCGCAGCAGCAAAGAATTCAACCATTTCTGGAGGTAAGCAATGCTCTTGCATTATGCTAAGTTACTCGTTCAGATCTCATTTTCACTAGTGCGCTGGAATTTGCAGCTAGCGTCTCATCCTCCACAGCATCTTTGTCAGCATTGACCAAAGAAGCAGCTTCAGCCAAAACACCACCTTTGATCAAGCGACCGAACCCAACACCAACACCCAGTAGTGCAGCGAAAAAACGGCCTTATCGAAGAACGAAACGACCCAAAAACTACTGCGACAAGTCAACCATCACCACAACCACACAAGCGGTGCATACGCCAGTCAATGTCTACGACGCTGTTCTGGGAGAGTGCGAAGATCTCCTAAAGGCTAGCACAGAAGCGCAGTCACTCGGGAGGTTGAAAATGGCAAGTGCCTACCAACTACTGCTGCACACACGTCTAATTGGCCTGGGAAAGCGCTTTGACAGAGCTCAAACCTTGGCACCAACACCTAACAGCAAACGAAGAGGAAATGTGGATAATGCCGTGGAGGACAATGATATTGACACTGAGGAATCTCGATTTCCAACCTCGCGGCTCAACTATGATGATCAACTATCGGAAAAGCCTTCGGCAGAGGCCAAAGGTAAAGGGGGCGACTCGGCTCCGAACAGTAGTGAAACACCAAGGAACTCGGCAATATCTGCCGACAGCTCCACGACTTCAAATAGCATTCCTCGAGCATTACAGCAGCTGACCTCTATACTACCTTCGAACTTGGAGATGGACACAACCATGATGGAGCATTTGGCACGGGCAGCAGTGGAACTCCATCACCAGCGCACCGGCCGCAAAAAGTCAGCCGATGGTCTATTGGCGTCTCCCATGACAGGGGGCTTCCCTGCAACCCCACAACCTGAGTCCACCACTCCAAAAGGAGCTGGTTCGAAATTGGCGTGGACGGTCGAAGAGCAGAAGACTGTGACAAAGGCCTTGCAGCAAAAGAAATCGGCACCTGCTATAGCTAAACTTCTTCCGTCCAAAACGGAAGCCCAAGTAAAGGCCTTTTTGAAGAATCGAAAGGCAAAAGATTCTGTACAGGACGCCTTTCAGGGCGATGAAACACCTTCGAAACGAAAAGGAGGGCGAGGTCGGAAACCTCCTACGACTGCAATGAACACTGTGCCCAATGCAAACCTTGATATGAAAGCTCTTCTGCAGGGACAGGGTCTGCGAAAGGGGCAAGCTTCGGGAGCGAAACAGAGAGCGGGAGACGTCGTCATTTTGTGAAAGCTCTGCGGTGCGTGGTGAAGAGTAGACTATCCCATTGTTTTAGTGATTTTTTTCTAGCAGTAGACATATAATAATGCCTCTTCTTCTAAAGTGTGACTTGAATCTACCTTATGATGAGTCGATGATATTCGTGTTTCAATTTTGCGATTGCAACGTGACTGGATGCTGACAGATTCAACACCGAAGGGTGACACGATTGGAAGCTTGCCAGTCTGCGACAGGTTTTGCACTGTCACAAGCCCCTATTGGTGGCAAAAAATCGGCAGTACGGTGATGACGGAGTTCAATGTCATCAGTTAGTATTGCGTCAGGCGAACGTGCTGCGCCAGGTCTTGTTCCTTTGCAAGTTCGTCTTGAAAATCAAGGAGCTTCGATTGCAACTTGTAAATTAATGCTTCTTTCTGGTCGAGAAACTCGGCAAGCTGAATTGCATAACTATCGAACGAACAGTGTACATGGTTAGTGCGACAGAGTAGGGACTGACCGTAATGTTAATTTTCTCACCTATCCATATCGTCTTCGGACAAACCAGCAGCCTGGACAGCTTGAAGGAGTTTGCCTTCTTGTGTCAACATTTCCGCGTTGGCCTAGGAAAGTATTGTTGAGTTCACTAAACATTTCAGAAAGACAAGAACAGCCATCGAAGTACTGTACCTGTATATTGCTCATGTGCTGGTTCAATAGAGCCTCCTCAAGCTCAAATACGGCTTGCACTGTTCTCCGAAGCTCGTCTTCTTCCTCCTGTCCAGAAGCCTTACGAGTAAGATTTTCGTCGCTCTCCTGTGTAGCTTCCTCGCTTGACACGTTTCCAAATTCATTTCCCATCTCATCAAACCCTTCATCTAGCATTTTTTCCACACTATAGTTTGTTTGGATCACACTACTGTCTTGACCCGCCGCTGCGGCAATACGATACAACCGTTCTTGGGAAGGAATTGAAATCGAAGCACTTTCTGTACCCTCTTTCTCCAATTTATTGGAAATTGTAATCTATGCAAGAACAGAAGAGTGAGCGTTGATAATTTGCCGATTCGTCCCAAAGACCAATAGGCTTACCCTTTGCTCCTTGATTCTGTCTGCATAACGCAATGTGTTCAAAGAGTGATCTGCTGCTGAGGCTCCTGGCGAAACAGTTGCAACCATTGTAGTTTTCGAATCTGGGGAGAAACAATCTTTCAAGATCAAAGTTAATTTTGAGCCACGGAAAGGAACATGCGTTGACTTTTGTCCTAGTGCTCTGATGCATTCCTTTAGGGCTAGTAAGGATGTGTTGATATCTGCAGATTCAGACCTCCTTTGAGTGTTGTGTTGTTTCGTGTCGGATCCTCGCTCACTTCCAGCCAGATCCACCAGCCCAAGCTTTCCCTTCAAATTTCCATTATAGTCCCGTAAGAAGATTTGGCAAATGGCATGCGACCGTGAGGAAGTATCATTCGCTTCTGTTTTTTGAGTTGTTCGATGGCTGCCAAGAGATATACAAAAGAAGTCAGTTTCTGTATCCAAAGGTAATGGTAACAGAAAAATGATTGACGTACCGATGACCTTCTTCGATCAAGTCCAGAAAGGTTTCTGGTGTTGCCGCAGAGACTTCTCTGAGCCCAGTAATGTTGATCTCGCCCTTCCCATCTTCTAGAAGTTTGCATCTATGTCGACCATGCAATAGGTCAAGTACATTTCCGGCGTAGAGTTCAAAGAAAGCTACCGTAATTTCAAATTCCTCATCTATTCCCGCAAGTTGTCCATATAAGTCGTATGCCAAGATATGTTGAATCCCATTCATAGTGTACGTCTTCACGTGGAAGAAACAGTTAGAACAAAGCGATTTAGAGCAACAGAAGAAGAAGTCAATGAACTTAAAGACGTCTAACGCACTTTCCCTGATCCAGTTTGGCCATAACAGAACACGGTAGCTCGACCCTGGCTGTTTACAACATGGTCCACCAACGGCTACAAACAAGAAACAATTTTTGAGAAAATATTTAAAACGCCCTTTCCTTTTCTTTCACTTACAAGAGTTGTTGCTAAGTATATTTGTTCCGTCGTAGAGTCTTCTCCGAAGGCATGGTCGAGCTGAAATGAGTTATGCGTCAGGTATTTCGTGATTCCGTCCACTTTCAGCTTGGCTGAGTGAATCCAAACCTTGTTCTGAAAGCATGACACGGAATCGTGATCAAATTTCCCCCTTTCTTTCTCACTCGTCGGGCGCTTGCGAACTGCAATGCAAATATTGGATCCCGTGGAAGAAAAAAGATTTTTCTCCTCTGTCTGTCTCGTTTTCTTTGCTTGGTCATGTCTCCACTGGTCGACAAGCCCAATAAAATCAACATCTCCAGGGTTTCCAGCTTCAATGTTCTTAATCTGTTCTTTCTTTCGTGCTTCTTTGCGCTGCATCATTGTTTTTCGACGCTCTTGCCGGTCTTTTTCCATCTGCTCAATCTTCATGCGGGTAGCATCTTTGCGTCCAGTTACACCAACCGTGGATGTGGACTGCGCCAATAAGTAAACCAAATTTTAAGAAGAAAGACGACATTATGTGAAGTTGAGATACTACAGCTTGCCAGTGAAAACGACGAAGCAGAACTCAGCGAATAACCGTGTACAATCCGTACCTTTCGACGGGATGCTGGATTCATCTTGCTGTTTGTTGAATTCGTGTTTACTACTCGATACCCTCCTGTTCAAACTGCAGTTCCGAGTTGAGATTTCGAATGATTTTTAAAACAGGAAGTGCATGCGCGGCAGAACCACGCTTACGTGCGATAGCAAAGTGGCCTGCCTGTCTTCAGTCAGTCTACCTGTACATGTACAGTATTTTGTGTGAAAACTGAAATGTACCTGGTACCTGGTACTGTACACGAACCTGGTACAAGTACAAGTTACTGTACGGCGTTTGTGTTCGGGTGTCAACAATTCGAGCTATTTATTTAGTATTCATTTTCATGAAGTTCAGCACCTTTTACAAACTTCCGACGTTACAGTACTTATGTCTGCTTTTCCCACCATCTGCAGGAACGGCCGGGAAATAGAAATTTAGCACTCAATTCTTGAATGTAAATATTGATTTTCCCGGCCGTTCCAGCCATACCCCTACACTTCTACCTCAGTCTGTCCTTTACACAAAAGACACGAAGTCTGTCAGCAGGCATACAGCCGCAAGCAGGCCCATGCTTTCCGGTACCGTTATACCGGTACCGGTATGGTAATGCACAAAAATCTTTTGTCCCTTTTGATAAAAACGGAATCCCACCCAATCCCGTATTCAATCGTCCCTTTCCAAAATAAGCTGGAATAGATTCAACACTTAACAGAATTCCAATCAATCCCGTTTTCGATACCGATTGATATTTTGCAGTTTCGTTGGTGTCTTAAGTAAGCTTGAGCAGATTCAATGCCCATGTTATCCAGAACTTTGACTGCTGTCATCTGAAAGAGAAACGCTTGGACGGCTTCACCAAGAAACAAGAATGGCAATGTGGTTGTTGCTTTGCGTTGCCTCCTGGATCCAGTTCTAGTTCATACTCTAGTAGAGTATTCATTATCGTAGTTTTGTTTTCATGCACATTAAAGCTACGGTATCTCATCAATAGTAATGGCCGCATCTGATCCCATGTTCAATACCGCTTGACATTTTCGACTTTCGTCCTTTTTCTGAACAGTTTCAATCCCCATAAGTAATCGGGAGCGTGGACTGTTGTTTCACGTCCTCCGTGTGAACATCCACTCGTTTCGTTTTTATATCAAACCTTCTTGTTGGTACGAGCAGAGCGGCCTCGTGAAATTGGCGAATCGAACGGTATCTTTGCGTAGATCTTCTACCGAACGACATTTTTGGGACTCGGAAGGCCAAGCAAACGGAATTTGCACGATGTCTGTCCGTACCGATTTGTACTGTACACAATGTCTTCGAAGTAGTCGAGAATACCTCGATCACTTTTCGCTGCAGGTGTATCGACAGGTGGGTTCGCCTCATGAAGTACTGTGATCACGTAGAGCATACCCCAGCTGACACCTCTTTGTTCTCACAGCTTAGGCTAGGTGGTGTCCACAAAAGCTCGCAAACGGAAACCCTGCATATCCAGGCGATTGGATTGGGGCTGAGAGTGTCTTCGAGGAGCACCCACAGCAAAAACCTTGCTTCGTCTTTTTTACCTCTCTTTCAGTGTGGAAGCTGAAGGAACTGACGATTACCGTACCGCACCGCACCGCACCGCATAAACCCTTCGACAACGCTCGTGTCGTCGATAGACATCTTGACTGATAGCTGCAGTGCATTTGGAATTAAGTTGATTGATTGTCTTGACTTCCTGCTATTCTCATCGAACACAGTAATCCAGCAATTGCAGTCATTCGAAGGAATCAATCAGTTGGAGAGATCATCTTGTATTGACCCAAACATACCGGTAGCACACAAGAGAGACGCTTATCTGCAGCAACCTTGCAGTATTCTTTCTCTATTTGTTTTACAGTAGCGTCTGATTGATCTCTGATTATCTTCAGGAGAAGGCAAACAGCAAAACAGCCCGCCAGCAATTCGAATCTGGGTATCTCAGAAATACTTCAGAAAAACAAAAGAAACAAACGAAACACATACAGTCAAAAATATACACACACAAAAGATGACGTCTTCTCAGATACAATCTGAATCGTCATCGCGTCTTAACGCCAACTATGAAGATCAAGAAGGCTGCTTAGAAGCAGCAAGACCAGAAAAGGAAGAAATGGTGATAAATACACCTTTGGGATGTCTTCGGGGAAAGTACTATGTCAAAGCAGCAGTACAATCGGCAGTATTTGTGGTTGTAGTGAGCTGTTATGCAGTGGCTCACTTTGCTTTTTCACCACCAGGACCCTTTGGAGAATCGGTGATGCAAGAAGAGGATTTTGGAGCCCGAATGCTCCAAGATACTAGTCCTTCTCTAGCACCCACTATTAATCCCGAGTGTGTGGCAATACGCGCAAAGCAAGCAGATCCCGGATGGATGGCAATCTTCATGGCAATAGGAGTCTTGTACATGTTCCTCGCTTTGGCCATTGCCTGCGATGAGTTCTTTGTTCCTTCTCTAGAAGAAATGTCCAGTCCGAGACGGATGAACCTCAGTATGGATGTCGCTGGTGCCACACTCATGGCTGCCGGTGGGTCAGCCCCAGAACTCTTTACAGCTCTCTTTGGTACCTTTCAGGAATCCGCCATTGGTTTTGGTACCATCGTGGGATCGGCTGTCTTTAACGTCCTCTTTGTGATTGCCATGTGTTCCTTGTTGGCCAATGAAGTCTTGCAACTTACCTGGTGGCCTCTCTTCCGTGACTCTTTCTATTACGTTTGCGGTCTCGCTGTTTTGGCAGCCTTTGTCGGATTCGTTGGCAAAGATGAAGTAGAACTCTGGGAAGCCATTGTTCTTTTCTGTCTCTACCTTGGTTACATTCTTCTCATGTGGCAAAATGCCAACCTATACAAGCTTCTTACCGGCAAGTCTTTGGACTACCCGGATGAAGAAGAAGTGACTCCTCCCCCTTCTGAACAGATCAACGGAGCTGCTGAAGAATCCGCCAACAAGGACGATGACGAAGAAGGTGGTGCTGATGGAAATAATAAAATGAAACGAGAAGGCTCCAAGAGTGCCAGTCTAAGCAGCAACCTTAGTAATGGAGGCTTGCACCATGGACACCACCCAGCTCACTTTCGATGGCAGGGAACCTTCCGTGCCGGTATTCTAAAGTTGCTCAAGGATCCCGATTCTTGGATGGACACGGCCGGTGTTGGTATTGTGGCCAAGATTGCCGGAGATGCCGATTATGTTTTCAGTCAAGTGGATATTGATGGAAATGGCCACGTGGACAGAGAAGAACTCAAGCAATTGTTTAACTTGTTGGAATGCTACATTACTCCGCGTGAACTAGAAGAAGTCTTTAATCAATTGGATGAAGATAAGGATGGAACGGTAAGTTGCTTGGAACAACAACTTGTGTGCCACTGAAATGATTGGGTGTGAAAGAATTCCAACTAACTCCTTATTTTGTTCTCTCGCTTTCTCTCTGCGACGCCTACGCCTACAGATTAGTCAAAACGAATTCACAGAATGGTACTGCCGCTCCGAAGAGCGCATCCTGTCACAAGTCCATCATGTCTTTGATCAAATTGATGTCGACAAATCCAATAACATTGACAGAGACGAAGTCAAGACACTTCTGACCAAACTGGATCCTCACACGACGGACGAGGATGTCGTCGAGGCTCTCAATACCATGTACAAGGGTGGATCACGCGAGGAGATTACCTTTGAAGAATTCAGTGATTGGTACCGGCAATGTGCCATTTTCGAAAAGCAAAAGGCTTTAGTCGAAGAAGACATGCAAGGCGTATGGGAGAACTTGAAACCCCCCAAAAATGGATCTTGCAGAGACTGGACCTGGTACATTGTGGTTTTGCCGCTCGTTGCACTCATGACATTTACGGTTCCAGATGTCCGAAGACCTGGAATGGGAAAATGGTGTTACCTATCCTTTTTGCTATCTATTGGTTGGATTGGTGGATTCTCCTACTTTATGGTTGACTGGACTGAGACCATTGGAAATACCATTGGTATCCCACCAGTCATTATGGGTCTGACTGTACTTGCGGCTGGAACTTCTGTTCCCGATTTGCTCTCTTCGGTCATTGTGGCCAGGAGAGGTTCTGGTGATATGGCTGTCTCATCGTCCATTGGAAGTAACATTTTTGATATCCTTGTGGGACTTCCATTTCCATGGATCCTGTACACGTCCATTCGAGGGAAGCCAGTTTCGATTGCTTCGGATGGTCTTGTCCGGTCTCTTTTGATTTTGGTCGGAATGATCGTCCTAGTCATTGGAGCTGTTCATTGCCAAGGATGGAAACTCACCAAGACGCTGGGTGGAATCATGTTCTTCTTTTACCTTGCTTTCCTAGCGCAAGCAATTGTGTTAGAACTTCCCTTCACGTCCTGCTAAATCAAGAGAGAGCAATGGTTTTTACGGGAGCGTTGGGAAAATTACAGTAATATCAAGTATCTGTGTTCATTTCAAAAAAATAATAGTAATATCTATTACAAACTAAAAGTACACTAACGATGCAATAATTGGATCTGCTGTTCATTGTGTACCACCATTACGGATTAGAGTCGACACTGCAAGTGATATTGTCAAGAGGGTTCGACTGATTCTATTTCAGTAATGACCACCATGTGTCATGGGCTGGCGTGAGACACGAGTACCTACATGGTGCATCGTAGTGCCTTTACGAGCTTTGTAGACTTTCTTTGTTTTCTTGGGCAGTCGCCAATAGCTTTGACAATACTCGTTCACCTCGAAATTGGCAAAGAACGATTTGATGCCATCTGGTCCCAAGTCGGTCGGTCCATATGCACCCTTATTACGAGACATGATGACAGGATCGGTGAGGATCACACCATCCTTGTAGACGCCACCCTGCAAATCACATAGCAAGTACTTCCCACCAGTAATATGATAAGAGTAGAGAGAAAGAGCCTGCATGGCACGGCCCCACTCGAAGCCGTCAGCTTTCCAGCCAGAGTTGGAATTGAATTTCTGATACTTCTTGATGTAGGGTTCCTGTAGAACTTTTGTTCCGCTCAAAGGATGACCGGCCTCGATCTCCCAAACTTCTGGTAGATTGACTCGAACAATGCGATCAATGCATCGGTCTTTGTTAAACCTCGAGATAATTTGTATGCATTTCTTCGCGGTTCGGAGATCAGCCTCGTAGTAGCTATCCTCGTAGACAGATCCAGTCTTGAACCACTTGCAAACGCACTTTTCGCCGCGACGTGCACCTTCTGTGTACTTTCCCTTTGCGACATAGCGAAAGGATCCTTCGGCGAAAGGGTGTTCCATCGCATTGTCGTCAAATATGGCCCCAGTGGCATTGTTTCTTCGGGCAGTGGCCATGGTTCTACAGAATTTGTGCCGACCTTTGTCCTTTGCGTGGTGGATTGTATTGCCTCATCTTCGTGTTGCTACATAGCTTCGTGTTCTGTTTCGATTTTGTGAAACTGTCGCGGGAAAACACGTTTTGGGGAATGTGTCACACATACAAAATAACCGTGCAAAACAGGCCAAACGCGTTCTAGACCCCATGCTTTCGCAACAAGACACGATGTCGTGGGAACATTCAACGGTTACTCATTGCATTTCACTCCATGATGCACCATCTAATCATTCCCATCGTCATGCTTCAAACGTCGAAGTCGTAGAAGTCGAACAGTGATTTCGGATGGAGGACGGACGGCGGAACGGTTTTGGATTTTCATTGCACTCTCACATCATCCATCTCATCAACACCTTCAACATCGAACATATCACTGGGATATATGCCAAGTATGGCACTTCTAGCGTTGATTTCATCAGCATATTGTCGTTTTGCACTTATCCTGATAGTTATTAACGTTGGGAAAACCGAGTCGCTTTCGAAAAATGCTCCAACAGCTGCAAAACTGCCATCCATCAGCAACAGTCGTTTTGTGTGCTTGATCCAGGATTATGACAAAGTGCAAGGCCCTTATTTCCATGCTCTTTTGGATCAAATGATGGAAAAGGAATGTAGGTTTGAGCACCGAAGACTTGCCTTGTGCACTACACGGAAGCATGCCAGTTGGTGCCAGAAGGAACGAGTTTCACAACTTGAACAAGATTTTGGATTGGATGGTTGCCAGCTGTTTGTGCTGGACGACTACAACCCAATGACCTTAAAACAAGAAATGGAAGATTTTGATCCTACCATTTTCTGGCTTGTCGATGATAATGCCTTTCGGATACGATACTTTCTGAGAACGAGTGGCTTGGATGGTATGCTCTACAAAAAATGTGGATCTTCAAATGGCAACAACTGCTTGTACGTTGGTGAAAATTCCGGGGCCCTTTGCACCGGTTGTTCACTTGCTGGTGCCCATGTACTACAACAGGACCCCAAGGAAGCGCCAGAGCCGCAATTTTTCGGTCTGGGCCTGCTGGGATCAGAGCGATCTGTCAGTATCTGCGTATGCGAAGATTCGAAAGGAGAAGGGCAGGATGATACAAAGAATACAGAAGAATCTGATTCGAATGTATCCGACAAGCTAATTGCTTTGGAGCAAGATCATGTATATGTATGGTCACAACCAAAGGATGAATCTGCTACTAGCTTTGTCTTTCTTCCTTCTCAAAGGGGCTCCATTGCCAATTTGGATTCACCATTGTCACTACCTCCATTGGTAGTGGAAGAAAATAATTTGGGAGGTGTACAGTGCACTGGAGAGCCTGCAATTGATCCATCTCGAATGATGGAACAAGTGGGGGACTCGGAATGGATCAATGAAGCCGAAGATGCTCGTCAATGAAGATCCGAGCCAGCCAATGACGTGCTGTCTTGCTTGTACGTTGGCAGCCACAGTGTTGAGTATCAAGCGGTCCTTCATTTTCATTTTTCGATCACCCATTTATAAAAATAGATTATACAATAGAGTTAAGTTTTTGAACGCTTGAATGCATTATCGCCGCGATGTCCTCGTCTGTTTCATTGGTGGGATTATCTGATTGTTGTTCTGTTCTATGCAATATGTTGCTTCACCAAACCAAGGGCAGGAGCTGGCGTGCTGCCTTGGAATATTGATTATTCTTTTTTCGTCAAGTTCCTTACGATATTCAAAATGGAGAAGCTTTTTTAATGGATTCCATCGCATCATCTGTCACTCCTTTCAAAGTCGTTGAGACGCTTCCAGCAGCTCCCTTGATACTCGAATCCACAGCTATCGCCACAGAATCGGTGGTTGTCTTGACAGTAGAGTCTAAAGAAGCGACAGCAGAATCGGTAGCAATATGAATAGGAGCTACAAGCTTGGCATCCAACGTCGAAGTGATACTTCCAGCAGCCTCCTTGATGCTCGAATCTACAGCTGCCACGACAGAATCGGTGGTTGCCTTGACAGTGGAGTCTATCGAAGAGACAACCGAATCCGATGCATCCTTAATTGGAGCTACAAGCTTTGCGTCTAATGTCGAAGTGACAGCAGAAGCAGCGCTGTTGATGGTAGAATCAACAGCGCTCACATAGGGAGACGCTGCTTCGTTCATTGCTTGTGCTGCTTGTTCGACTACAGGAGAAGCAGCTTCAGATACCCTTTGGACAGCTTCCTGGACATAAGGAGTGGCAGCTTCAGATACCTTGTGCGAGGCCTCTTGAAAATAGGGTGCAGCTGCTTGACCGGCAGACATGACTCCCTTTCCAACCGCTGGAGCGGCAACTTTCAATCCATTCCAGGTAGCTCCGGCCACGGTTCCCCCAAAGTTGGCAATGTTTCCAATATCAAATGCTCCAGAAAGAAAAGATAGAGCATTCAGCGCAACCGCAAAGATACTGTATGTGAAAAAGGTACCAACTGACAGCAGCATGATCTGAAATACCATTTTCTTCTTTTCACGGCTGACCTCCTCGGCATCTTCAGCATTACTTTCCTTCTCCGCTCGAAAACCTTCATCTTGATCATAGGCACTCGCATAATGCGTTGCTGCTGAAGGGCTTGGTGAACTCTGAGGCGAAGATGACGATTCCTTAAAAATCTGAAGCTGAAGGCTGTTGATTTTTGTTGGACTGAAGGAAGTGACGGACGGCATCGTCAACACTGAGATGCAGAGCAATATAGCGAGAGCATTTCGAGTAATCATGATAGGGATAAGGTATGAGTACTCGTATCAGATAAACGAAAGTCAAACTGGTATTAAACAGAGTGGTGATTTGAAATGATGTGATACAGGGATTGCAATGACCAATCGGAAATGGTACAGTATCGTACCGGTATCTTGATGGCGTCTGACAATCTGTCCGCCGAATTTATTTCACAGGAGGCCGGCGTGCTTTTCGAAATGAACGTTGCTGATGCGGACTGAAATTTTAAGTTTGGTGCCGTGTAGAGATCCCCGTAAAATATTACGGGGACATCACATTTTGGATCAATTTTGGATCAATTTTGGATTGCAAAACTGCAACGATCTCTTGGAAGCACTTATCCAAAACGACAGATACACATGCTTCCAATGTCACTGTCTCTAATTACCATGAGATGTGAACACCAACGACAAATTGCGGTTTCGGAAACCTCCACCCGAAAATCGGCGGGAAGATGTGAAACTCGTCTCACAAATCAGAAATCCAAGCAATTGCGTTTCAATTTATAGTTCACTGATTTACCGATTTGACGTTTGACGATGCTAATCAAAAAGTTCATTGCTTCTGCCACTCTTCTCTTGGCTTGTGTTGCTTCCATTTCCTACGGGGCGGCACCACCAGGTTTGCCGAACTTCGCCATTGCTCGTCCATTCTCGTTGCACGATGTTTCCAGTTTGGAAAGTTCGTTTGATGTTTGGTCGACTTACCCACCTTGCAGTGACGGACCAGCCATCGGTCAGCCAAAGTTGTTCCTTGTTTACTCACAATCTTTTGAGAATGACAATGCCATCGTTGCCAAATCTGCCATCCAATCCGTCGAACTTCTCTTTAATCAAACCAAAGGTTGGGGGAAGTGTTTCTCTCAAGTCGTTGGCTTGGCGGTCAACATCACTTCCGAAGATGATCTATACCGCAAGGATGAGCAAGCTACCAACGTACTATGGGTCAATGGTCCGAACCGTCAGTTCGAGCGCACTGCTAGGGCCTTGAAGGATGAAGGAATCGACTTGTTTTACTTGATGGAAATGGATTCCATCCCGATCAGCGAGTATTGGTTGGATACCCTTGTAGAAGAGATCCAGACCCAGCCGATCGACTTTTCCATTCTTGGAAGGTAAGAATTGAATCGTTTCACCATTTCTGAATTCATTCTCTTCCTGTGGCTTACATCGTTTCATTTTGTCTTCACAGCAAATATCGTGGCGACAACTGGGATAACTTCTATTCCACACTTCCATCTTCCCTTGTCAACCACATCAATGGGAATGCCATCTACAACTTGACCAACGGCTTCTTCTGGCTACTTGTGGAACAGCTTGAATTGGAGGCCAAGAGCGTCGAGAATTCGGTTGCGTTCGACTATCGCATCTCTCAGATTTTGGACGAAGCTGAATTTGGCATCCGTCCAGCCTTTCCTCCATCTTTCTTGTCCGCTTACCCCCTCACCAAGGTATCAGATGCAATCAAGGACAGCGTCGAGGCTATTCGAGCTTCGCTTCTCGAGACTGCAGTTATCGGGAACTACGCCAGTACCAATATGGTGAAGACCTACTTGAACGATGAAGAAGTCATCATCCACGGAGCCAATTTGCGGGAAAGCTGGGACAAGAATGAAATGGGTGTAAGTCAGATTTTTTTTGCCTGAATGAGATTGATTCGATGGCTTGGCATAACTCACATTCATATGATTCGTTTCATTCGTTTCGCAGAATTTATCATTGATTGTCTCCGATTGGCACGAAGGAAATGCAAGACACCTTCTCGCAGACTTGGACCAGTCCAGTCACCCATTTGCTGAGATTGTTGTATTGACCGACAACACAACCTATTCAACCGAATTGGCAAACTTGACAAACCTTCCGGTTCAATTTGTCAGTCGTTACAATCTCTCGGATCAACTTGATATTTGCACTGCTCCAATTTCTACCGAATGGTTCATGAAGACCAATTCCTTTCATCGCATGAGGAAAAAAATGGAACTCATGACTGAAAGTGTCAATGGAACTCTGAAGCCAGTGGTCCCTTTCATCAACGCAAACAATGAGTCTTGCACTTTCCACCCATCTTGCACACGGGAAGTCGACTTTGCAAGAATGATTGATCAGGACACCAACGAAACCTTCCAGACCAACCAATTCATTTTCCATACCGATTCTCGCAACGACTTTTGCGATTTCATCGCCAGCGAGTTCTCGAACAATACAGTTGTAAGCGCCACATCCTACGTCGCTTTCCTCGACAAGCACTTGCCCAACAACGAAAGCATGTACCTGCCATATTACAAGGGGGAGGGAGGCTTCCGTGATTTGTTTGTGCGCTTGCCAGGATCGATCGTGCCATCCCCTCTGCAATTCGCAAACAGCAGCGGTTTCACAAACAGCAGTAATTCCAGCGACACTTGCGCACTTTTCACTGCCGAGGACGAGTGCCTTGCATCGCTTTGTGAATGGCGTGAAAACTTTGAATCTTGCAGATTCTCTTGGAGCAATGAGACGACCTCGAGTCCATCGGTGGCTCCATCCGTGGCCCCATCCTTTTCTCCATCCGCTCAGTCTTCCGAAAACCCAACCATGACCATGGATCCAAGCCATGACCCATCCATGCCCACTGAATCCAAGTCACCCAGTCCAACCATCGCTCCCACCAGCAAGGGAGTTCGCAATGCCCCAGTCACTGCCGAACTTCCAACTGTGGCACCAGTGGACGCTGCAGATCGACAAAGTCGGGGTGGCGCTGGTCGTACCAACCGACCAGTTTGGGTAGAAGCTGTCACCGGAACCATTCTTGGAATTGCTGCTTTGCTCTTTCTTCTTATGATGCTCAAAAAGTCAAGCAACAGCGAGTCCGAGGCTAATGGTGCTGAAATCACTAGCAACCCAGACAGTGGATCTGTCAATGCCACCACAATGCAAGCAGTCATGGTCGGCGATATGGATGACATGGATAGCATCCAAGGTTACTCTTCCGTCAGTACAGTCAGTGATTTGTACCAGACATACCTTTCGGAAACTGGGAATTAGATGAATCAAGCTGGATTCCAATTGCCACTGGGGGTAAACGTAGTGAATAGTCTACTTGATTTTAAGCACTGCTAAGATTCATCCATTCACACATTTTCACTTTTCATAGATCGCATAGTATGTATTCTGTGATCCAAAATCCTCCTCCAGAAACTCTCGATCGTAGATAAGTTTCATTCCTGCGGCAGTAGCCCAATTTCCGATTTGATCCTTGGACCATCGGCTACAGAATACCTCTTTATCCCCGATCATGTCACCAAAATCCATTTCTCCTGAGCCTTCCCAACAGCTGACCAGCAACCTTCCGTTGGATTTTAGCACTCTTGCCCATTCCATAAAGCATTCTTTTGCAGTTTCTTTTGCCACATGATGCAAGGCAAAATTGTTGAGAACTGCAATGACGGACTCATCGTCCACCACACCTTGCAATTTCGACATGTCAGCACACTTTACAAACAGTGCACCCGTCAAGCGACTCTTGGCATGCTCCACCATGTCCGGGGATAGATCCGAACCACATATGGAACGATTTGGATCCATTTTCAACAGGGCTTCCAACATGTGTCCAGTTCCCACGGCCGTATCCAAAATGGGGCCATCTGGAAGATCCTTCAGTAGACGTTCAAAATCTGGTTGGTATTTAGGAATTTCGGAAGCCATCATCCCCGCATATTGGGAGACGACATCAGCCGAGTAGAACTTTTGAGTATCCAATACATTCTTGTTGTTGTTGTTATTATTACTATTATCGCTGTTGTTTCCCAAAGTTGATGTCATGATGAGCGAAAGGATCTTCCGGAAGATCATAAAATGGCGTCACAGGTGAGTGAGTATCTGGTATGCCTGTATAGTGATAGAAAGTTTCGTCCAGCCATAAAAAGTAGTTCGAAAAAGTCGAACGTCGGGCGCTCCAACTTTTACCCGGCGTATTATGATCGACAGTACCAAAAAAGAAACGCTCAAGACGGAAGAACTGCGCTCCTAAAAACTTGAATTATTTTATGTTTTATAATACTGGGTGCTGTTTCGGTACAGGGCCTTTGCATAAAATATAAAGATCGTATTTGTTTTTATGGTACCAGTCATGATACGGCACTGGGAGCTTCCGATCGGATCCTTTACCTGATGAGAGACCTGCAGAATGGTACGGTACAATAGTGACGAACTCCGGAGCAGAAAAAGGATAATCTACAGTACTGTATCGGTGAGGTGCGGGCAACGAGCTTGTGGGATAGATAACAGTATACAATAGAAACAAAATCGTTAAAATTATTTATCTTCTAATGGTGTAGCTGGAAATCAAAAATAGCAACATAGAACTTTTGTGTGTGTGTGTGTGTGTGTGTGTGTGTGTGATGATGATGGGCGCTAGCCGGCTGGACATCCGTAGAACGACTTCCACTCCCACTCACAGGCAATCACGTGTAAAACTGCCTGAATGGTAGAGTATATTTACACTCCCACTCACAGGCAATCAAGTGTGAAACTGCCTGAATGGTAGTGCGTTAGCTGCTAACGGGTCAATCCATCTTGGCGCTTGGCTGTATCGAATCAGTATCAATGAACAAAGAAAGATTAAGCGACTCTCTTTCGCCGGAAACTGAATACCTTCTTCATCTTCCTCTTTGCACCTTCCATCTTCTCTTCAACCGGCATCATTGACAAGTTGTCAATGGTTTGCTTGCGCTCATTCCGGAACTTGAGATTGGCACGAGTACTCTTGGCAATGTCCTTTTGGGTGTAGCCAAATTCCCGGGCAATTGCTTCTCGAACATTTCTGGGAAGCACCAGCTGCCGCGCACAGTATCGAACGCCACCCTTTTGGAGTTCAAACTCATTCAAGGATAGCTTTTTACTCTTGTTATACTTCCATCCAAGTCCAATAGCAACACCATGGCTGCATGCTGGATTGACATCCACCACCCGCTCATAGTATCGGACATTGACGGAACTAAACTTGACCTCTTTGTGTTGTCCTCGTTCCGAAGAATCAATAATCTTGGGAATTGTGGGAAGGGCTCCTTGTGACCGGATCCTTCGATTACCCATGGAAACTTGACTTGAAGGAGAGATTGCATCTTCAGCACTTGTTGAAACAACACCGGGTGTAGTAACGACACCTGCAAAGCTGTGCCTTGTCACAGCGGTTCGCTGCGATCGCCGTCTTCCATCCGGTGTTCGTAGGATTCTCACACCTCGACGAGAGGCAGAACGCTCTTCATCATCTTCATTTCTAGGTCTCTCCGGTGAACTAGCGAGGCTTCCAGCACCTGGACTTGTGGGAGCAGCAGCAGAAGCCTTGAATGATTCGCTCTGGCCATGATTGCTATGATGGCTATCATCAAGTGAGGTAAGGCAGGGCATGCTAGTACTTGGTTGTACAGGCTGATCTTGGCTCCTATTTTTCCTGTTTAATCTTCTTCCGTCTGGAGTGCGCAATATTCTTACGGAAGATGGGTAGGATCTTCGGCCTGTGGAACCTGAGCTCATTGACAATCTGTCACAGGCAACCTCAGAGAGTGCAGAGATACTTCCGACTGATCTTGAGTGAGTGGAGCCTAATGGTCTGACGTTGGTGGGGGACTTGGGGATCCCGTTTAGTGAAGTTTCATCGTTCAGGCCACCTTCCGAGACGGAAGGATCATCTTTCAGAAGATCGACTTCAGACACAGACTCTCCATTCATGATGGCATAAGCTGCTTTCGCCGCTTGTTCAGGCGAGAACGGAATGGATTCAAAGCTTGTTCTGTTCAGCTTGGAGTCAACAGACTGAGTGGGAGAGGCCGGTGTCTCCTCATCCGTCTCACTCAACACTCTCGCCTGTGCCCTTTGTTTCATTGTTGAGTAGATCTTGATCGGATTCACAGGCAAACTAGCAGTGCTTCCAGTGTCTTCAGTGGCAGCTGTCTCACTTGATAACCTTCTATCGTCTTTCGTTACAAGTACCAGAGATGGCATTATTGGTACATCTTGGAACGGCATTCGATTTGTGAAATTTCAATTTTGCGCGAGTGACGAAGATCCGATGGGAATATCTGGTGTACGGAAAAAGAACTTCCACTTTTTGGGTAAGAGTTTCATCTCTCTTTAATTCGAATTTCCTCCCAGGGATGATTAAGGTTTCCGCTTTTTAAATGTCATTTGTTAAGAGCGGAGTTCAGAGAAGAGGAGCTTTTAAGTACTCCTTATGGTACCTTTCATGTTGAGATTCGGATTCGATCAATGAACATAGAGGAATGATCCCAAATACCGCTTCAAAAGTTCTGAATCGCTCCAGTGCCTACTTTTTTAGAGAAGTTGTTTGCGTGTTGTTCCGATCTGACTGTGTCAATGTTCTGAACACTTATGCAAATTTCGTTCGGGATAAATCTCTAGTCGAACACATCCGATTAAAAAAGCTAGCTGGTCCTACAGCACTTACCGCTTCATGATGCATGGGCCCCGCGTGAACTCATGCGTGTTGGTACGTGTACTGGGTACACGTGTACGTACATGTATCAAGGAGCATGTAGTACCTGGTACCGCGGGTACGAGTATGGTAGCTTGTACGGTTGGCGTCTGGAAGCATCGTGACGTTGGAATGATACGACTGAAATATCAAAGGAGTTCAAGTGAGTCGACTGAAAAGGACTAGAAAAACATCTTTTCTGTGACTGACTATACTGACTGACTCACTCATTGCAAAATAAAAACAACCAGGTTGAAGGTCTCGTTCGTTGATGGGCCTTCCTTTGAATAGTAATAGTTGTAATTGAAAATGTCGTTTGATCCACAGAAGGCAATCAAGGAACAAGCGGAAGCCAAAAGATCTCAGAGCTGGTTCTTGACAAAAGCTCATGAATTTACCCAAGCACACAATCGACTGAAACACACGGTTCATACGGCCTGGAGATATCCATTGCCACCCTGGGGAAGGTTCCTCATGGGCTGCTTTTACTTTTCCATTCCTGTCACAGGAGGCTACTATTTAATGTCAAAGACAGTTTCCAAATCGGAAGAAACTATGCATCAACGACTTGGAAGCGGAGTGGACGGAGAAGGTAAGAATAATGATTTTCAAAAGTCAAGTATCGGGTCCTTTCTCACAACTCTTGTCGTGTTGCTTCGTTTTCGCACCAAACACAGGAGGGAAGATACAAGGTATTGGACAGCACGCAGTCATCAAGGATCAATCAGGGGAACGGGTAGAAAAGGTTGGCGCTGGAGGTTGGGGCGGGGGTGTCCATCTTGCCAACAGTGATGAACGGACACAGGATGTCAACCGGATAAACTTGGAGAGATTCCTCAGAAAGCAACGAAAGTTAAAAGCCAAGAGAGAACGAGAAGCACAAAAGAAAGTAGAAGAGGCATAATTTAGATAGATTGGTTCCTAGTGATAGATTGAATTAGAATCCTTTCACTCATACATATGACCCTCTGGACGACGTTGCTGAGGAATAAAATTAGTCTTTTAAACTAATACTGTAGTATTTATAGGCTACAAGAAGGATCTCTACACTTCATATGAACTTCATTGATTGCCGCCAGGACATCCTCGTCCAATGTAGCAGTAGATCCATCAAAGGGCGAAAGATTTTCCTTGAGCTGATCCATGGTGGTGGCGCCGACAATCACAGAACCAGCGTCGGAAATGAATCTTCGAGTGCGACAAAAGGCAAGCGACAGCTCAGTGGGTGACATTCCCGCCTCTTCCGCAATTCTAGAATATTCATTGGCAGCATGAATGGTTTGTTCCGAGGCCGTAGCAGGGGACCATCGTGACATGTAGTCTTCGTACTTGACGAAACGGGAATTGGGCGATGGATTCTTTCCTTCGCGGTACTTGCCACTCAACAGACCACCAGCCAAGATGGACCATGGGAGTAATCCAATATTATAATGGTCGCAGACTTCTGCCAAATCACTGTCGAACCGACGATCGAGCAGGGAATAGGAATTCTGAATCGAAACTAGTTTGTCGCGAATCCCCAATTTTTCGGTCGCTCGGACCCATTCGCAGACTCCAAAGGGGGTTTCATTAGAAAGACCAATGTAACGAATCTTTCCTTCGTCAATCAAATCACGGAGAGCTGATGCAGTTTCTTCAATGGCGACCGAATCCTCGCGCTTGTTGTCATGTTTGAATTCCGTTTGACCAAACACAGGCTGCAAGAGGTAAAGACAAAACGATAAGGTGCGAATCCATAATGTCAGCAAATATTCTCGATTTGAAAACACTCTGGAGTATTGTTTTGAATTGAATGTATATACGTACAACATAACGATCTGGCCAGTGAATTTGCATCAGATCAATACGATCCGTCTGCAATCGTCGTAGCGAAGCATCACATGCCATTTTAACAGACTTGTCGTCCAGTCTACCATTCGGTGGCGGATCCGTCGGAGGTACGGTACGTGCTGCAGCAATAGCACTGTTTGGAAGAAATCCAGCAATTTTGGACGCAATGACGAGCTCGTCACGTTCGGAACCAATCTTCTTGATGTATTCCCCAATGATTTCTTCTGTGGCACCTGCTCTCCATTCGGGTGCTGTTAGTGGAACAGGGTACAGTTCAGCCGTATCAATAAAGTTGACTCCAACCGACCGAGCATAGTCGATCTGCTCAAAAGCATCTTCTTGGCTGTTTTGGACTCCCCAAGTCATGGTTCCCAAGCAAGCTTCGCTGACTACCAAATCACTTCCACCCAGACTCCGAGCTCCAGCTACCTTGGTGCCTGCTGAGGCAGCTGTGGATGATAGACCACTGACGCTTCGAATCGTGCCAGCACTGAATGTGATTAACGAAAATAGCGATGAACGGAACATCATGGTACAATGGTACAATGGTATAGTCAAAAGTGAGATCTTGTGCCGTGCTAGAATTCCGTCGATGCATGGCGTCGGATGATGTGTGTGACTGTGTATCGATGTTTCAGTCTTCGTACGTGGCGTGCTTCGACTCCTCCGACCCAGAACCCGAACCGCACCCTTCAAAACTCGAACGCCGATTTCGTGACACCTTCACGACTTCGGGCTTATATTGTATCTCTCCACTCGAAAATATTGCACAAGCAAGACAAGTAAATCAGGGAAAACAATGCTGCTGAAGAGACAAACTGCACTTCGGCGATCGGATCTCGCATATCCGCATCTAAAGATCTGTGTCTGGCACCGGGAGTGGCTGAGGAGATTTACTATGCAACCTTTCTGTTTCTGTTCCTGGTCGTGTAAGACAATGCATCACTTGGCCTGCATGATTTTCTGGTTTGAATGTCAAACACTCACGCATGCTTCCATGTACAGTCTTTGTGTGCTATACCGGAAACGAACGAGGTACCCAACGACCAAGCGGCAGAGGCAGGAACGTGAGAAATACATTGACGACAGAATCATAAAAAAGGTCAGCAAACTCAAACATGTCGGCAATATGGTTGCTTTAATAGAGCCTAATAGGTTAGGTCTGTGCTTGCATTAGACGCTAGAAAAGAAGCGAAAAGTCTCGTCAGAGGATGACAGCAGTATCAGTGACATGGAAAAAGGTACCGCTACGACAACAAAAGAACTTCATTTACGCCATCTTTTTCGAGCACAAGAACAGGGCTCAAAGTTGTATCTTTCATTTTGTACGAATGATGAAATTGATCTGGATGAATGCGCGATCGATGATGACGACACCGACGACTATAACAATCAGCTGCCTCATCATGCGGCAGGACTGCCCGCCTGTGCTATTTGTAAAGAAGATTATCTGGAGAAGGATGCCATCTGTTGGTCAAGAAATGAGCAGTGTGAACACGTATTTCATGTTGAATGTATAAAACCATGGCTGATTTACCATAACCAATGTCCCATTTGCCGCAACAATTATCTTGGGCAAAAGGAGGACCATACTGAAGATGGTGCTACTATCGAGAACGACAATAACGAACCAGCGGGAAATGCTGTAATGGGCCAGCCAAGTATTCCTGGATCCGAACCAATTCTAGAGCGCGTTAACACTTCTGTTGATTCACCGACACTAGCAGAAATGTTGCAGACAATGAATGAAATGCACATCAGTCGCCAATAATACTGGCTGTGACTTTCGCGACTGACTCGTCCTTGTTTCCAACAGGCAGACAATCACCCGCAGCATGTTCCACAAACCAACGTTCGGGTAAATTTCCCGCAAATGGACTGGACCATCGCCATACTTCAATGCTATCACAAAGTTCGAAATCAACAATCAATTGATAGTTGAGGTAGGTAGATCCGCGGTGGCGAGAAGTTTTTGAAAGCATCTGGATTCATTGGGCCTGAAGTGTCCCATTCAAATTGGCAATATTTTTTTGGACAACCCCAACTCGTCGTGTACCGTTGCTGTAGACAACGAGCTCGGTTTCCTTTGCAACGATGAAGGTACAGTAGACGAGTACCGATACAAGGCGATGGGGGAGAAATAGTACCAGGAAATGTTCGAAAGCTGGCCTTCAATCCAGACTTTCAAATGTTCTTGCCGGATAAATTGTGCCAAAGGTGAAGGCTTCTGCAGGACGTAAATCGCCCCACAGGATTGATAATATGGCTTTGTTCGGTGTGAAAGCTTGTTGAATATATAGATTCCTTGCACGGTACTGTATAAAATCTATTCAGGGTGATGGGCGCGCTTTATTCAGACTGTCGCAATCATCTCATGAAGGACGAAATCTGGAAACATCCGGGTTTCTTGGATCTGAACATTCGCGTTTATTTTCCCGTCTACGTTAGATTATAGATAATCCAACGTAGACCGCAGGCACACTGTTCGATTTCTTTGACTACATTGTGTTACAGACGGACAAAGGCCGAACGGCCTTCGACCGTCAAAAGTTGTTGTCGATGCGCCCAGGCAATGATGCCCAGTTTATCGACTGAGATTGAATTCACCCACTTGTGTCGTGGTAATTCAATTTTTCTCTCCCAAACCTCACCCGCCCTGTTGGGCACCGCCTCCATTTTACCATATCGGCGGTGCCTGGTAGGAAAGCAGATCTCAGTAATACCGCACACGGGATTTCTGAGATTGGTCGAACGAATCGAGTCTATTACTCGATCAGTTCGACCCGCTTCACACCACAACCCACCAGCTACACACCAAGACAAAATACTATACGAACACACACACGGAGGACGGCAGTAGGCTATCTTAGATAGGATATAAAAAAGCAAAACCGCACCTTAACTGCTTCTATATTGTAAACAACGAGCTCATCGTTTGCCCTTGAACGCATCAAAACCGCCAACTTCAACTGTAGTCAAAGAACTCGTTTGCCCTTGGACGTGTGGAACGATGGATGTCACTGAGTTCGAATACCGCCGAGGCAATCGGTGGCAAACAGTACCAAAAAGTGTTCAAAAGCTGATTATCAATCCACGCGTGATCGTTTTACCTGATAGTTTGTGCTGGGAATGTGAATGCTTGCGCGAAGTAACTCTGCCCAAAAGACTGATGATGATTGGTAAATGTGTTTTTGCTCGATGCAAAAGCTTGTTGGAAATCAAGATTAGCAGCATTGTAGAATCAATTGGACAGGGTGCATTTTCAGAATGCGAAGTACTGAAGAAAGTTGAGTTTGAATGTTCCTCGTCTTCCCTTCATCGGCTAAAGTCAATTGGCTATGGGGCTTTCAAACGTTGCCTTTCACTACAAAGAATCAAGTTCCCCTCGTCTGTGAATATGATTGATCAATATGTCTGTAGTGACTGCAGAGTCTTGGTTGAAGCAATTCTATCGAAAACGTCCATCACCAAGGTGCCCAACCATGGATTCGCTGGTTGTGGCTCCCTTCAAACTGTGAGCCTACCAAGTTCATTGGAGTGTATTTGTTCTTATGCATTCAAGGACTGTAATTCCTTGGTTACTGTGATGGTGCCTCTGGATTCAAAGCCTATTTTCATTGAAATCTCATCGGTCATGAACTGCGGATCACTTGTAAATCTTGTGCTTCCGCAAGGGTCAGAAGAAACAACGTCATCGGAAGCTTTTCAAGGATGTCCACTTTTGGAAAATCGCTTTGGTAAAGGATCAGAGAGTATCGTCGCCGGTTTGGTACACCGGTTTGACAACTTCCCAGTTCACAAAATGTGCTACGACCATTCCTCTATCACCGCCCAAGAACTTTGCGAGTGTGTTCAGAGTACAATGGGCAACGTTTTACCGCTCGTGGACGGCTTCGGAATGACTCCATTCCATCTCCTCTTTTCGACTCCCGAGCCAAGCGAAGATCTGCTCAAAGTCCTCCTAGACCATGATCCGTACCATGCGATCCTGGACCGCAAAGATGCCAATGGCAAACGACCACTTGACTATTTAATGTCCAACTGGACTGAAATAACCGCATCTTTGCTTCAGAAATCACTACAAAAATGGATGGTTGATCCGCTTGCCTCTTGGGGTGCTGCATCCTGGATGGAAGCCATGCAGAGTAAGGTACAAGCCGTACTTGCTGCAAATAACAAGGTACAAAGAGCATATCTATATCATGGAGCGTATACTGTCTTTGAACAATACAAAGCCATGGGGTCCATTTCAATCTTGGAGATGGCCTTGTGGAAACTTCAGCTCAGGGGTGGTTGGAACAATGATGGCACAAAGCGACAGGCGCTGGACCGAAGAGCGTGCCGTTGTGTCTGTGGATCGGACGCTGCGATTCCGAGAATAGTGGCATTCCTGGGAGTTACAGTAACAACCAGTAAAGGGTCTTAATCTAAAATAATTGACTTGGCAAATAGCACTAAATAATATACCCTGTCTATTGATGTTTTTAAAAATACTGAGCCGCTAGAAATAGATTGAAGACGAGGAATATATGTTTTATGCATGCAATGTTAATAAACCTCCGGGTCGCTACCGCAGTTTTCTCACGTTCAAGATCTTTGAGATATCTAACAAAAAAGGGTGCGAGCAAAACAGCGTTTTATGCTATCATCATCATCATCATCGTCATCTACACTAATGGAATGAAATGAGGCGAATTTCCTTCATTTTGTCATTATTCAGCTGGTATGCGTTGATACCATTTACAGATGCCTCTTCTGCCAAGGGTAGATCTACTGCCGGAATCTACAATTTGAATTCGTGTTGTTCTAATATTGATGACGATGACGGCTGTGCTCACTTCAACAATCATGAAGAGCTACGAGTTGCCGTAACTGACTACCTAAATAATGGCTGCTCAGACAAGAAGAAGTGCGAAAATGCAGTTGTCGAAAAGCATGGTTGGCCGATAGGATCATGGTGTGTTTCCAGAGTCACACGAATGGATTTCATGTTTCAGAATTTCAGATCATTCAATGACGACATTTCATTATGGGATGTGTCTAGTGTCACCGACATGGAATCAATGTTTGAGGGTGCATCATCTTTTAACCAAGACTTATCATCATGGAATGTTACATCTGTGAGTAATATGGTCAACATGTTCCAGGAAGCAAGCGATTTCGATGGAGACTTGAAATTGTGGAATACATCCAGCGTCACAAACATGGAGGGCATGTTTTCCGACGCGCTATCTTTCAATCAAGACTTGTCATCATGGAAGACCTCCAAAGTCACCAATATGGACAGAATGTTCCAGTTTGCGGAATCCTTCAACCAAGACTTGTCACGCTGGGACGTTTCTTCTGTGAAAAGTATGAGCGGAATGTTTGAAGGAGCATCAGCCTTCAATCAAGACTTGTGTAGATGGGGAACCAAGTTGCCTTTACAAGTGAGCATTGATGGTATGTTCAAGAGGTCGGGATGCCTTGATTCTAATGACCCCATTTTGCAAGGAAGTGGACCTTTTTGCGCTGTCACTTGCACCGTCGTCGTTGATGTAGATGAATCTGCTGATGCTGATTCTGATTCTGACAGTGGAGACGAGGATGTAGATAGCGATAGTAGCAATGACGCCGACGAGGACAATGGAAGTATTGGCGCACCAGTTGTAGACGAGGCAACACCAGTCCCCACAAATGTGCACTTTTCTAATGAAGGGGATATTGAAGGCATCTCTGAACACACTATGGACAATGCTACGATAGAGGATACCGATGACAACCATGTTCATTGGGAAGATTTTGATATGCTCCTCAATCCAACTACAATTGAAGAGAAATGCTTTGTAAGATATTCACGAATGAATCAATAAATCATTCGCCTTTTGTGTTAATGTTGTCCTCCATGCATACTTCTAACCAACTCACTAACTCTTTTAGTATTCGAAGGAAAGCCAAAGAGTTGGGGCTGCCTTACCGTGCAATTGTGCCGATCCAACCAAACCACTAGCAAAGACCGGTGTCTTTGCAGATCAATGGAAACGCCATCACGGCGATATGGTATCCGTCGCCAATCATTCGAAGTCAAACTTGGATGTTGTGTTTTTGGGCGACTCGATCATTGAACAGTTCAGTGGGACAGCTGGAATGGGAGTAGAGGCTCTAGAGGGACGCAAGGCTGCTTTTGATCGACGATTTTCAAAAAAAGCAGGAGGAAGATTGGATGGCAAAGCTTTTGGAACAGCAGGAGATGTCGTAAGTCTCGTTTCTTTTGCCCTCGAATGACCGGACAGTCTAAATTTATGCTCACCTCTTGATTGATTGTATTTTTATAACAGGGCCCAAATCTGCTGTGGCATATACAAAATGGTCTCATTGATAATCTCAAGCCAAAAGTTTGGTTCATTCTGATTGGATCCAATGATCTCTTCACAACTAGATGTACTGAAGATTTCGTCGTTGCAAGTATCATGAATGTCGTCAAGCTTGTTAGCGAGAAGTCACCAGAGTCGCTTGTTTTCGTTCATGGTATCTTCCCTCGTTTGGACAATCCGAAAACCGAGAATACTACAGTCTTGGGTGAGATTTGGAGGAGGGGACAGCGCGCCAATAACAAGCTTCGAAAATTCTGTCGGAATGACGATAGTTTCTATTACTTGCATGGAGGCGATTTGATGTTAGAACGATCCAACGTTACGGGGCTTCTCGATATCGACCCCAAGATGATTGGTGATGGTGTGCACCCGACGCATGAAGGATACGAAAAGTGGGGCGATTTTGTTGTGGAAGAACTCCAACAAGTTTTAGCAGATGGCGTTGAAACGGATGGCGACGAATCCGAGGTTGCCGGTGTCGATTCGATAGATGAAAGCGAAAGCAGTGAAGACGAAGATAGCGTCGAGGATAGCGATAAATCCGAGGTTGCTGATGCTGATACAACAGATGAAAACGACAGCAGCGGAGATGAGGAAAGCGTTGAGGATAGCGACGAATCCGAGGTTGCTGATGTTGATTTGATAGATGAAAGCGAAAGCAGTGAAGACGAGGATAGCGTCGAGGATAGCGTCGAGGATAGCGTCGAGGATAGCGATGAATCCGAGGTTGCTGATGCTGATACAACAGATGAAAATGAAAGCAGTGACGACGAGGATAGCGTCGAGGATAGCGATGAATCCGAGGGTGCTGATGCTGATACAACAGATGAAAATGAAAGCAGTGACGACGAGGATAGCGACAAAACCGAGATTGCCAATGCTGGTACGACAGATGAAAACGAACGCAGTGAAGATGAGGGTAGTGAGGAGGATAGCGGTGAATCCCAGGTTGCTGACGCTGTATCGTCTGATGAAAATGAAAGCAGTGACGACCAGGATAGTGAAAAAACCGAGATTGTCAATGCTGGTACGACAGATGAAAATGAAAGCAGTGAAGACGAAGATAGCGACGAGGATAGCGATGACGAGGGTGATGCTGACATGAGTAGCGAAGACAAAGATGGCGGCAATGATCGGATCAAGGAGGACGGAGATGATGGCGGCCAAGCGGGTAAATCAGAAGGTCTTGAAGTAAAGACGAATGAAATTGAGGAGGTCGTAAATAAGGATGCGACGAAGCCCAGCTCGTTTGGAAATGCTACATTGTGGCCGCCTGACAAGATGGTTGTTGGATTCGCGATAGTCTTTGTTTTGCTCTTGCTTTGCGTCTACCAAATCTGCCGAAGATGGTGCTGCTGTCAAAGTCGATCTAATAACCAGGGACAGTATCGACAGGTTGCGAATCAGAATGGTGGTACGAGGTATAAGGATAATTCCGATGACGATGAGTCGACTGGATCTGAGGGAGACATCGTGTGAATTGACCTTTCACCATGAAGAATATTTCGGTATTAAAAAAACAAGAACCAGAGGCACTCCAGCAAAAGACGAATGGTCTACTTAGCCGAAGCCTTGAACATCAAATAATGAACCAAAAAACATTGGATTTGATAACGACTTTACTGCTAGATTCGTTAAGATGTCAGAGTAGATAGTAGATCCTATGTCTCTCCTTGATTTCATAATTCAAAAGCCGTGAGTATATACTCGTACCACACGGTACTGTACCGTCCGTCCACGCCATGTCATCGCAAAGAAAATTTCATGTTTTGACGCTGACTTCTTACGAACTCCACGAAAAACCGAAGCGAACTTAATATTACTACCGCCATCATCATTCTGATGCAGTCATCATAAATAACTCCATCGTCGCCCGCTATGCAGCAATCAACGTCGGATAGCGCAATCCATCCCTCGCTTGGTCGACTGTTGCAGAATTGCACCTCATCCGATGACGCTTGCACAAATGATTCCACTTCCATCGACGACGACATCGGCTCGAACATTCTAACTGTTGTTTTGCTCATTGCATTTGCAATCGCAATGTGAGTCTATTCTGACTAGGCATTTATATAGATCAAACCTTGTTTTGGTGTCAATCTTATTTCTATGCTCACGGAATGATTTGTTATATATATTATACTCGTAATTCGCAACAAAGGGTGTATTCAGGATTGAGGGTGTTTTGCGTTGATATTCCACGTGACAGAAACAACGCCCGAGAAAAGGCGAGAAATAGAAAGGATCTCATTGAGAATGGGCTAATAAAGAAGGTAAGAAATGGTTTCGTTGTTCTGGCAATATGGATGAATTTTTGCTAATGTGTGTTCCGAATCAATGCAGAGAGTCAAAAGGCCACTGGTAGGAGAGACAGGCGACGACGACTTGGAGAAAGGGCTAGGTCCACGGAATTGCCGGCTTCAAAAACTGGATCTAATTTTACCGGTGTTAAATGATGGCGGCGGTGTCCATGAAGACGAGGAGTTGATGTGCCCCATCTGCTGGGAGGAATATGAAGAGAACGACGAAATCTGTTACTCGCCGAATCCCCGATGTGATCATGCGTTTCACTTTGATTGCATAAAGCCCTGGCTAAAGGAGCATGACCGTTGTCCGATTTGTCGAATGAACTATCTCCATATCTCGATAGATGGGGAAGGCATCAATATCCAATCCTTGGGTACAACAATTTATCGAGACGAACAAGACCGAATTTTTCAAGAGAGACTTGTTTCCAGAATTGAATCTCGTCAAGAGCAAATCGAATCCAATGCTGTAATTGGAGAAGGTCAAAGGGAGGAAGTTGAGCTTGCTAGTGAAGTCGGAGATACGAGCGAATCTT